CCTTCATGGGCTCTCAAATTGTGGTCTCCATCTTGAAGACAATGAGCTGAGCTGGGAGCTTATTCTGTCTTTTGGTCCCCGCCGCGTGTAACTCGGCCACATTTGTGGAGTCCGCATCTGCCACTACGATCTGGGGAAAACACCAAAAATAAAGACTGGGGCCGTTTTGCGCGCGCCGGGCTCTCAGACCATCCCCGATTTCTTCAAAAAAATGCGGGGAGGGGAGCCGGCCGCCGAATGACGGGACTCTCCACGCCAAGCTCATAGAGATGATGATATACAAGTAACTATACTTCTGGTATAAGACTAGTTTTGCTAATCAGCCATAATCTCCAGGTCCCTGCTCTCCTCGGAACAACTGAGAACGAGCTCGGCATCCGCAAGTGGCTCGAGGACCAGGGCCACACTCTGGTCACCACCTCTGACAAGGAGGGCCCCGACTCCGTCTTTGAGAAGGAGCTCGTCGACGCCGAAGTCATCATCACCACTCCGTAGGTTTCGCAGCATACACTACTTATCAAGTAATTCTTATCTAACAATTCATCTCAGCTTCCACCCCGGCTACCTGACCCCTGAGCGCCTCGCCAAGGCCAAGAACCTCAAGATCGCCATCACCGCCGGTATTGGCTCCGACCACGTCGACCTGCCCGCCGCCAACAAGACCAACGGCGGCATCACCGTCGCCGAGGTCACCGGCTCCAACGTCGTCTCCGTCGCCGAGCACGTCGTCATGACCATCCTGGTCCTGCTGCGCAACTTTGTGCCCGCCCACGAGCAGGTCGCCAAGGGCAACTGGGACGTCGCCGCCGTCGCCAAGCAGGAGTACGACCTCGAGGGCAAGGTTGTCGGCACTGTCGCCGTCGGCCGCATTGGTGAGCGTGTGCTGCGCCGCCTCAAGCCCTTTGGCTGCAAGGAGCTGCTGTACTTTGACTACCAGCCCCTGAGCGCCGACAAGGAGGCCGAGATTGGCTGCCGCCGCGTCGACAGCCTCGAGGAGATGCTCGCCCAGTGCGACGTCGTCACCATCAACTGCCCGCTGCACGAGAAGACAAAGGGCCTGTTCAACAAGGAGCTCATCGCCAAGATGAAGCCCGGCTCCTACCTCGTCAACACCGCCCGTGGCGCCATCGTCGTCAAGGAGGACGTCGCCGCCGCCCTCAAGTCCGGCCACCTCGCCGGCTACGGAGGCGATGTCTGGTTCCCCCAGCCCGCCCCCGCCGACCACCCGCTCCGCACCGCCGTCAACCCCTTCGGCTTCGGCAACGCCATGACCCCCCACATGTCCGGAACCTCCCTGGACGCCCAGAAGCGCTACGCCGACGGCACAAAGGCCATCCTCGAGAGCTACCTCAGCGGCAAGCACGACTACCGCCCCGAGGACCTGATTGTCTACGGCGGTGACTGGGCTACCAAGTCTTACGGCCAGCGTGAGAAGGTCAACAAGCAGTAAATTTCTTCTCTTACGGACAAGGAGAAAGGAGTTGGAAGAAGAAAAAAAGAGCTTGATGATGAATACCAACACACAAACAAAAAATAATGTCAAAACAACTATAACATACGGCTCATGGATATGATGACTCTGAATAACCACAATGTATAACTCTTGCATATCTAGCTACTAGCAATATATCTTTTTTTATTTTTTTCACCTGATGGTGCTCTTATATGAAGTGAAACTTGTAGTATAAACCACACCCTATCTAACGTCCTATCTACCTATCTAAAATTCACACTTACAAGCTCGAGTGCTGTACATGAATCCATTATCGATGTTGTCGCAAACGAAGTAAAATTACCAGCAACAATGGGGCTGACAAAATAATTTACAAGGTCGTCATTCATTACAGATGTCGAGATAAATGCGTGTATTGGTTGTGATTTGACTCCAGAACTTACTATATAAGCGCAAGCTCTGGTGACATACACGTATGATAGGCACTTAACATACATCACAATGATAATACCAGCATACATGGAATTAACAGAAAATCAAAAGGCCTTTATTCATTACATGTATAGATAAATGCGTCTCTTCGTTTGTCTCTTTCTCTTTGCCCACCATCATGCGTTACCTTCATTCTATCCCATTTCTCAGTCATACAAATCATACCCCCTCTGCTGGCGCCGTGAAAGCAAAAATCCCCCTTTCCTCCCAAGCCATCAAAAAGCCAATTAGAAGAAGAGGAAAAGAGGCAGCATTAATAAGTAGTACTAAGTGTAAAGTCACCCCAGCGAATCCCATCATTGAAAACAAAAGCATCTGTTTTTCTTATTTTCTTTTCTTCTTTTTCAATTCATCTCCAGAACCGCCACCAAGGCTTCTCTCCATCACCAATATCGCCACTTCTTCGTGTAATCGACTTATCTCTCCCTCTGATCCGCCAGTAGTACACGGGTATACCTGCCATGACAAACGCCACCACAATGAGCGTCTGCAGGGGCTTCGCAAACACAGCTCTGCTCAGCAAAAAGAGGCTGACGCAGCAAAAGATAATGGGCGTGGCGATCCAGGTCTTATACGGCCGCTCCAGGTGCGGTTCCTTGACCCGCAGCACGATGAGGCCGAGAACAGTGACAAAGTAAAATGTGTAACCGGCCACGCCGTAAAAAGTGACAAGGGTGCTGAATTCACCTGCCATGCAATAGCCACAGGTAAGCACAGCGTTGAGGAGGAGGGCGTTGACGGGCGTGAAGAAGAGCCCGGCGTCTTCGTCGCCAAAGCAGCTGCGGAACTTCTTGGAGACCCAGCTGCGAGAGCGCTGCGTTGACAGGCCGTGGTCGTTTTGCCCACCGTTGGTACCGAAGCCCAAGCGTCCAAAGAGATCGGGGATGTAGCCCTCCTTGCCGGCAACGTAAATCAGGCGACTGGCTGTAAAAGTAGACGAATTAAGAGCGCCAAAGCAGCTTGCGCTGACAATGAGAGCGAAAATGAGAGCGCCTGCGGGTCCAAAGACTTTGGATCCAAACATGACGGCCACGGTGTTTGAAGCGTTGATTGAAGCTAAAGGGAGAACGAGAAAGTAGGACACGTTGGCAAGGACGTAAGAGAGGATAACCAAAGGCATAGCCGAGTGAATAACGCGAGGAAGATCTCTGGAAGGATTGCGAAACTCGCCCACCACATAGTTCGTCTAGAGAAACCCATGTTAGAAGATGTCTCGAGGAAGAGCATTTGCGCGCACAACTTACGTTATCCCATCCGTCATAAGCCCAAAGTCCAGCATACAGCGCAATCGCCCAATTCGACGGATCCGACGACGTCCCCTTGAACCAATCGTTCGTTTTCCACTCGGTGCTCGCCTCCCCCTTGTACGAATAGCCCGTGATGGCCACCACAATGCCAATCACAGTAACGGCAATCAGCGCCACAAACTTGAGAAACATGAGAACGTCATTGACTCGGGTGCCCACCCTCGTGGATACGCAGTTGAGGAACGTCACGATGAAGATTCCCACCAGCGCAACGGCCTTGTTGATCCATGGATTGATCGTCTCGGCCTCCGCGCCGATAATAGCCCTGACGAAATACTCGCCCATGATGATGGCAATAATGGCGGCGCTCCCGGGCTTGAGCACCAGGAGGGCCACCCAAGAAAAGAGGAACCCAGAGAGCTCATTGAACGTCTTGGCAAGATAGACTTGGGAGCCGCCGTTGAGGGGAATTGCGCCTCCCAGCTCGGCATACGAGGCGCCGCCCGTCCATGCGAGAATGCCCGCCACCACCCATACAATGAGAGCCGCGCCAGGGGACCCGAGCTTCGAGCTCACCTGGCTCGGCGACGAGAAGATGCCTGAACCGATGATCAGCCCGATGATCAGAGACAGTCCGTTCATAAACGTCAGCGTCTTGAGCTTCTCCAGCGATCCTCCGCCCAGGCCGCCATTCGGCCTCCCTGCAGACGTCGGCGCGCCAATGGGTGCGTATCCGCCAGCGCCAGCGGTCGAGCTGCTGAGCGGGAACAGGTTGCCCGCAAAGTCAAACGCCGACGACACAGAGTACGAGCGGCCCAGCCTGCCCCCCGCCGCCGGATTGTTGTCGTTCAAGGGGTCCTCTTCCTCCACCATGGACAGGCGCCGCGAGGACGAGATGCTGGGGCGCGAAGACACTTCCGAGGCGGCGCCATCGTGGGCGACGCTGGAGCTGGCCAGCGACGCGAGCTCGAGGGAGTCTCGAGACTGCGACTGGAAGGGCATTGCCACCATATATTTTGTGTCCTTGCCTCCTCTCTTCCCTGTCTTGTTACTTTTTTTCTTCCTCCTCGGCTATCAGTCCCTTCCCCTCTCCAAGCAGAGATGGCAGCCCCGTATTATTCTAAGTATGTTTTTTCGACCGGCGAATCAGCAGAAATAGCCCATATCGTTGAGGATCCGAATTTCGAAACAAAGGGATGAGAATATCGCAAAGTGCTTTCGTGCGAGAAATCCAAAATCGCAGAATCCGATAGTCGTCGGTGAATGTGCGTCTCGTAACAAAAACCCGGCCCGCGCGCGCCTCGAAATCAGCAGTCAAGAGAGGAAAGCCAAAAGAAGGAAGAGAAAAAAGAGTCGTAAGGCTTCGTAAACGGGCGTTTCAATAAAAAAGGAGAGAACACAAGAATTAAATGCTAAGAATCTGTTTTAAAAAAGGATCCCCCTGAATTAGAATAATCTGGCCCTAGAAAACAAGAGAAAGAGTCGGTGGACCAGGAAAGACGGCACTTTTTAGATCAATATAGAGGAGAAATGCAAGGCACGCGCACTGCCACTTTAGAAAGATCGAAGCCATTGGGGAAATCCATTCCCCCCCCTGCCCGCTCTAATTGGGGCCCTCCCTAGTCATAGATTTGCATCAATGCGTTTAAGCTTTGCGGCTTAGCGTTCTATTGTCGCCTTCTCTTGGGTGCTCTATAGCACGCTCTCCTTGCTGACTAAGGTGGGCGAACCTACATGGCACTGACGTTTGGCTTTCTGCCATCTTCGTTCTTACATGGAGAGAGAGCATTCGGCGGCTTGAACCAGCAATGGGCTCCGACGACTACAAAGCCATCGGCGGCGGCGGCGCGCTCAAGCTGAAAGGCGCCAAAGTCAGCAAGAAGAAGAAGAAGGTCGCCAAATCAGACCTGGAAAAGAACCTGTCCGGCGGCGGCGACGACAACGCAGTAGCGCTCGTCAAAAAGAACCAAGACGATGAAGACGTCCCCAAAGCGAAACGCGACAAGCAAAAGGGCTCCCGGGACGAGGACGAGGAAGAGAGGGAGGATGAGGATGAGCCGGTTGCGGTAAAGACGGAATCAGAGCGACGGCACGAAGAAGCGAGGAAGAAGAGGGTAAGTAGAGAAATGAACCATCCCACGGCACAGTATTACTAGGAACGAATGGCTGATAATTTGAATTTCGGCAACAGCTTCTTCAGAGCGCGCAATCGTCCGGATCCAGACCCGAGTTGCTAAAGACACACAAAGAGCGAGTCGAAGAACTGAATACATATTTGTCCCGGCTGAGCGAGCATCACGACATGCCAAAGATTGGACCGGGCTAAGCACTTAACGTCTAGTGGAGGCGTGAGGAGGATAATATATGCATGGAATGGAGTTTGTGGTGTTTCTTGTCATTGGGATAGCTGATATTACACAATTATGACGGACATACCTTATAAAATTTGCCAAGAGCAGCCCGAATCTTGCAAGAAATGTTAGATTAATAATTAGAAAGTACAATCATTTTAGCATTACAGTTGGAAAACAATGTCAAAAGAACTTTGGTCTGATGTGCCTTGAATATATGCGGCGCTTCTTTTGCGTGTGCGTGCTTGCTGTGCTATATATGCTGAAAATACAACTCATATCCCCTTTTTAAGTGCCAAAATGATATATGCTTTGCAGTTGTGCAGAGGGTCCCCGTCCCAGTCTATCAAGTATCAAGTTCGAGTGTGCCAAAAAGAAATCAAAAACAAGAAAACAAAACAATGCTGTTGCCCAATCTATGTATCCCGCCGAGGTGCGCTATGTATTAGAGAAAAAGGAGTGGTTAGGAAGTAGCCGTGAGTGTCGTGATTACAAGGAATGAATAATACGCCGGTGCCAATTCCAATAGCATGGATATGCTGATGCAGTTTGATGAGAGAGTGAAAACGGGAAAGCAGAAGGGAGTGAAAAACGAGACACGTGTGTTGCTCTTTTTGGCTTATGCCAGCAAAACAGCTCCGACCAAAAGACCAATGGCAGCAGGCATCATCATCTCAGCACGAGGGAGAGAGGCGCCGTTCTGAAGGTCAGGGTTCTTTGAGCCGTCGGCATGGCTGGTGGGCAAAACGGCAACCCAAGAGGTTGAAGTCAGGGTAGTGGTGCCTCCATCGGGAAGTGTCCTGGTGAAGGTGTGGGCAACGGGTGCAGACGTCGTCTTGGAGCCCGATGTAATGGTTGATTGCGGAGTTTCGCTGGCCTCGGTTGAAGATGGGCCCGTGGTTACGGATTCATCTATTTGAAGAGTGTTAGCCAATTTGCCTAGATGATCCCTTGAACGAATAGTTGACTTTGGGGAAAAAAAGGAAGAAATAATTGCTAGGCCTAGGCCACAAATCTTAAAGAATTTGTAGCCCAGACTGTCGACAGTTGTTTTCACATCCAGTAAATGATTCATGACTGCTACCAACGCTGAGACGCCCATCTCGACAATGTCAAAGCGACAGTGCGAAAATCTGACATACCAGTAGTGGTTTCTGCTGCCGTCGCCGAATTCGGTGAAGTCGATGTAGGAAAGGAAGAGGATAAAGAGGAAGGGGATGAAGAATCAAAGGTGGTTGTTGCCTCAGACGAGGCAACAGACGAAGTAATGCCTGCCGACAACCTACCAGAGGTGGTGGACGCCGGAGCAGTAGTGGGAGAGGAGGAAGCAGCCGTAGTGGTCTCTTCTTCCGTGGTAGACGTACCAGAAGTTGAAGAAGCAGAGGAAGTAGTCGAAGCAGGAGCCGAGCTTGGAGTGCTGGAGGGTGCTGCGGTGGTGGACTGTTCCGAAGCAGTGGTTGATTCTGCGGTGGTGGATGCAGGAGCAGAGGACGTAGACGAATCTGCGGTAGTGGACTCAGCAGTAGAGCTAGATGAATCGCCTGTTTGATGCCACGATTAGTTATGATGATCAAAGCCTCGAGATATATGTAAGCACAACTTACTTGAGCTAGTTTCAGAAGCAGTGGTCGATTCAGGGCTGCTAGCGGTTGAAGATTGTACGTCCGTTGACGACTGCACAGCTGTGCTCGAGGGAGCCGTGCTGGTCGGCGGAGCAGCCGTAGTAGAGTTGTTGTTGCTCGGTCCATTGTCTTGTCTCTTGGCAATCTGAACGATGGCCGAGGCCACAGAAGGATCCCTCTCGCTAATGGCATCGATGGCGTCCTTATCAGTGGCAAACACTCCATGCTGGTATCTCTCAGGGAGATAGGCATGGAGCAGCCGGTGAAGCATATCAGGAGAGGCCTTCTGAAGTGCCTCCGCCAGTTCTCCATTGGAGCTGTGAGCCTTGGCCAAGTCCATCTTCGAGTTGTCGTTGTGTCTCTGGCAGTTCATCAAGCTCGGCCGGGCAGTGGCAACGCCCAAGCCAAGGACGAAGCCCATGACAATGACGAGCAGCGCCCGCCTAAAGTAAATCATCTTGTTGCTCTTGCTCTGTTTCTTCAACGCAAGTGGCGAATAGTCCTGGAATCCGGTCTGCTTCTCTCCTTGGGTGCTCTTGAATAGTCCAGCCTCTAGGTGGCCATCACCGTCGGTGTAACCGGTGGGAGCCATGAGTGCGGAAGATGTAGGTAGATATAAGGTATATCCAGAAGAGACGAGAGAGGGGCAGGTGTCAAACAAAGCGTGGCCGATATGCAAGCCTCGTGTGCTGCAGTCAACGGGCAGGGCAGGGGTGTCTTGAAGTTTACGAGACTCGACGAAAACGAGACGCACGCCACCTTCGGCACGACAAGCGGAGAGGTTTTGGGGATTTTGGGTTCAACTATGCTGGACCCGGAAGGTCTAGCAAGAGAGAAGGTCTGAGTGATAGCGGGTCCTCGTTCGTGCTGATTGAAGAATTGGCCTCGTGCTGGGGCAAAGTCTGGGGCTGCCGGGCGAAAGAGAGATGCAGGTCAAGCTTTTAGTCTCCGCCAGATAGGTTTGCTGTCAAGAAGCCACGGAGGATAGCCGGTCGACCAACGAGAGCGGCGAGAACAGCAGAGTGTCGGATGCAGGTGAAGGAGAGAAGAGAAAGGTCTGTCGACGAAGGAAAAGTATAAGTTTGGGGGCTGGTGGAGAGGCCGCGGGCTTGCATAAGTCTCGTCCAGCCGTTGTGAAGACAGATAAGAAGAGCTGGTATCGTGTCGTGTCGTCAGTCCCGATCTGGTGCGACCGTGGCACCAGGCCCTGCTCTCTTGCTCGTCTCGTCTCTTCTCTGCCTCACTGCCTCTCTCTCTGCCGTGTCTGCTGCTATCCACGGATACGAGACCCTCTCGACCCCAGTCTTGCAGGCCCGGGCTCTCGGCCCAGCCCACTCGCTGCGCTTCAGCTGCCAAGGGAAACGCGGCATCATTGACAGCTCATCGAGCCTGCGACAAGGACCAGGTCTGTTCAAGCAATGGCTTATCCGTGCGTCATTATTAGCGGCCGGAGCAGCGCGCTTGCGGGCCTTTGGAGGCTGGGATGGCGGAGACGTGATGGCAGCATCTCGAGGAGGAAGCCATCTGGAGGCTGTGACTGGCTGCAGCTCGGACAGCCACTGGCGGCGGCTTGCAGGCTGCAGCAGTCCACTAGGGCCGCCGCAGGGGCTCTGGAGGTTCCAGTTGCGTACAGTAGATGCGCCTGTCGAGGCTCAGGCTCTCAAAGCGCTGTGGCAGCTACATAGTATCCCGGAGCTATGGATTGCCGGATGCCTTGGCGCCAGTGGGAGCTTACAGGGGGCTGGCAGCGTTGGGCGTAGCGCTGCGGTACCCAGGTAGCACCTCGAGAGTCGATGCAGGGAGACCAGGAAATAAGTACATGTAAACATTGACGGAAAACATAAGAGAAACAGTATCCAGCACCTCAATTCTATAATATAACAATCTAGCTAGATTGTTGTAGGCTACATAGGTATCACCGCTACCTCAAAGTACGGCTTATATGACAATCAAGCATAGACTTGATACGTAAACTTGCCTTGTTGAGCGACAGCTGGGTACATTAATGTAGTAAAAAATGAACTGGGGCGTTGAAAATTACCCAAAACGAACAATCGATGAAATAAATTGAAGCCCCAACCCGATCGATTGGCAGGGCAGCATGCCAGCACAGAAACAGGCGTTACGCCACACCGTCCCCTGGTTCCTTGATTGAACGTGCTTTGAAACTTTGGCTTTGAGTATGAGGTTTTGTCTAAGCTTATCAACTACAATATAGCAGGTCCAACTAGCACGACTCAACCTACATCGAGGAGACGCTCGGCAATAGCAGAGGAGAACATTGTAAGACGAAAGGAAAATAAAGAGGATTACTAGTACCTAGCACGCAAGCAGAGCTTGAATCCTTCTTACGTGCTATTATTAGGCACGCGTAGCTACATATCTGGATCTGACGTTGCTTCAACGCAGGGCTGCTTCACGAACCAAGCCGTTTGCTCTCCTCTTGTCTGAGACATGCATGGACGGCAACGCTTCTAATGCTACGCACATGTGGTTATCCATGCTTCAATACTGCCAGGTAGTGCTAACACATACACAATCCGCTTGCCGACAAGTGTTGCCACCCAAATGCTCCGTAGCACACATGTTTAGGCGATTGGACCAAGCGCATTGGGTGTTGCCATTCACTTACAAGGAATAAACAGGCTGGCTGCTTGACATCTGTCCATCGGCGCCGAAACGGTCAACTTGACCACACTTCATGACTTCATGTTTACTCTTGAAATTCATGCTCCTCGCTTGAGCATCACATCCAGCACGTCGACCTCGGTAATGCTGGCTGCGCGTATACCCGTACTCTTCGCATCCTTCTGTCGGGCCTCTGTTGTCGTATCCCCGTTTAGCAGTGCTCGTAACGGAGTCCCTGCTCCGCGGTTGTACGACAACACCCGCATTTACGAAGCGCAAAGTAGCATCGTCCTCTCCTCCTGATCATCAACTGGTCATATATCACCCTCTTCGTCCCAGGGTCAGACACCAGAAGACCTGCGAATACACACCACGATAGTACCTGTGTCAAGGATTTCTCTTCCCATCCGCCAACCATCTGCATCTTGTACTATTTGCACAATCGTTTCCTGATGCTCGTACTCTGTATCTATAAGCTCTAGTAAACAGTACCTTGTGCGATTTCACTTTGGGAAGCGTGGCGTGATTTGCATCTCCACAGACCGTTCTGCTAATAGCTCTCGGTGCCGGCATTCCCGCTGCTTACCCATTCTTCGTCTCTACCGCTTCCCAGCTAGGATCATGACAGGGCCTGTCGTGAAAAATCGGGGCGGTGCAGCCCCTTTGTCGGCGCCTACAAGACGACGCAGCATGATCTCGTAACCATGACAGTGTCTCCCCAGCAATATGATGCGCACAATTACAAGTTCGAGCGTGTCTGCGAATAGGCCTCCCCATGGATATACCCTCGCTTTCGTCTATCCTTTGCTGATCACCCCGAGGCGGTATGAAGAGAAAAGATGAAACAATTGCCAGTAAAAGCTGCTAGGGCCAGCACTATTCCGTAGCTGCTCTCCATAACTGACATCATCGATTAAAAAAAAAAACTCAGCGGAGCTTGCGAAGCCGCATCGTTTTTGCCGCTCGTATTCGAAACCTGTATGGAGGAATTGGGAGGAGACTTGGCCGACCCCAACTGGCACAAACGAGACAAAGAGGTTCAGAGCGGACGAGGTCTAGAACATTGTCGTCTCCGGCCAATGTGCAATGAGCAAAAACTTTTGGATTTCGGCCAAGGCTCATTTAGGCATAAGATCAACGTCTAGATTGGCGAGGCCTCTCAGCCTCATGGAGAATATGGCAGGTGAAGCAAGGGTATCCACGCTTCTGGAAACGCCTCTCAGGTAACAATATATTTTTAGCGTAGAGCTTGAAAACGGGGCAAAAGAAGAACGAAAAGAAGAAACGAAAATAAGGGTCGGCCCTCAGTCTTCGTTGGGCATCGAGATGCGTGGAAGATGCAGACTCATGCATGCTGCATTGAGGCGGTATTTTCATGTCGCTTGCCAAATTTGTGGTTGGTGGCATTGGTAGCGCTTCTAAGGATGGCCGCGATAGTCGCATCAAAACAGTCGAGCCAAATAATCGACCGCAACTCCTTGCAACAATAGCCCCCGCCTCACTCTGTAGCGCCAACTCTGTTCAACTTCAGCCGCCTGTAAAGTTGCGGTTGTGAGAAGGCTAATATGTGCCACCGCAGCTGAATTGGCATCCAGTCTGAGACTTTGGTACTCAATATTAACCGGCCTGCTATGCTACTTTTGGTTTCATTACACCAGCACATATCTACTAGACCTACCTAGGTGTGTTCCATATGTACGCAGTAAGTGCCTACCTGTAGTCACTGAATCGCCAAGTGCTTGGCACACGTCGACATATGTAAAATATGCATGTAGTCTTCTTCGGAACTCTCAGCTGGATAATAAATTGGCAACAGTGAGAAAATAAAGCTCGCCGGTTGAATCATTCGTCCTATGACCAAAACCCCAAGAAACATACATCAGCTGGGGTTGAGGTTTCGAATACCCCAAGTGGCGCCCTGGAACCTACCTCTCCTCTAACTGAATTGAGCTTACCACTGACTTCTTACAGGCGTATGCAGATCTTGTCCAGGTCGCCTACACATGGCGTTGTCTAACCGCATGCTGTTTGGATGGCATCCAAAATGCAGGCCAAGCTGAAACTCTGAATAAGAGCGAATCAGAACTTGAGGCCCGGAAGCTACTAGCCAATGCTGGCACTGCGCAGCCCAAGCGCTCGAAAGCCTCTAGCATGTGATGATATGGAGTTTTATGATAGGGATGTTCAATGGTCTATCTTCATATCAATTGAAATCACATGTGCAACCTAAATGATACCTTTTTACCCACGGGAATCGTGTCCTAGATGAGCGATGTTGCAGCGTCAGGTGCTGATTATGAGAAACGGGACCTGTATTGTTGAATCCCATGTCATGTGTGACTACTTGGAAGTATAGGCAGGGCTGTTTCGCATATGTGGCTATGAAGTTGGAGGAGATACAAGTAGGTATTCGCAGACACAGCTAGAAGTCGTTGCGAATCTTTTGGCACTTGGTCAAAGTAAGTGCATGTCAATATCTTTGTCAAAAGCAACCATGCTTCGCGTCAAAACTGGCTGATCAGAGACAAAAGAGGAAGGTTTTTACACGGCAGCCTCCATGATTCGGCCGCGTGCAAAGTCCAATGTACTCCAATGTTTGAATTCGAATATCTTACACGGAATGAGATATCTCACTTAGTGTGCCTAAAAAAACGAGGCTAGAGACTTTGCCTGGTGTATTCCATTTTTTGCCCATTTCGGTAATATTCAAGCAATTTGATAAGTCGCTAGCTGCCAAGTGGCTGTTGCTAGGAATGGCAGCCGTTGAAACAATGAAACGGGCGCTCTTAGACAAAGCGGATCTATCTCCAGGTAAAACGCGGTCTCACAATGACAAAGGCAGACGAATGCTGCGTATCTGTAGTTTTGATTATTGATAATATTACTGAGACATGAGTCTCCTTTGAATTCCGGTGGTGTTATTACTGCAACTGAAGGTAGAGCTGCATTTCTAGAGCGCTGATCGATGCAAGTACTATGCGAGTATGATTTGCAGCGGGGTGACTTTGGCACCACTTAGATTTCACGTGATAGTACCCAGCAAAAAGGACACCACAATTCGGCCCATGCCAGCAAACCGGGGGTAGCTTTCATGTGAAAGCGCAAGGTCAATTCTACGGCATCTTGTCATTTTTTTTTGCTATTCCCGTCTGGTTTTTCCAATGTGAAATCCTCTTTGCATGCTGAAGCCGCTTGAGTGGCAATCATATTATTTGCCGGTGCTTCGACGCTTCGGCCGCGTAATTATACGTCATCTAGCCTCGAGCTATATTCCATCCCAATCGTCTTCAATGGTTCCTAGGAAAGGTGGCCTCACACAACATGTCAAGCCACCTCAGCCCAGAGTCACGTCCGACTGAGGAACAAGACAATCTTCGAGTGTTGAACCGATCGCCTCACCCGTATCATCATCAGAGCTCTGAACTTCCCCATCCTTCCGAGCAGCCAACCTCTCGCCGCCAAGGGACAGCGTCTTCGAGATTGGGAAGCGATTCGAACCAGCCATCGCCGTCCGTTCCACCCACCTATTCCAAGGAGTCGACGCCAGCGAGCGATAGCGGCACAGATGCTGACGACGAGCATTTCCTCAAAGGCTTGCCGCCTCCCAAGCTGCGACCTCATAAAGGGCTGAGAGGGAAAAATGAAGTCATATCTGGCACATCGACACCGGTGCTATCGCCTGCCGTGCTCCAGGAGCCAGTGCCCGCAGCTGGTCGCAAGGCATCGCTTGGCGGCAAAAAGAGCGAAGATAAAGCTACAGTGCCAGATGCTATCCGACGGAGGAAGATTCTAGTGCAACGAGCCCTCGAAGCTGGCATTATCATCACTTTGGCTAGGATGATCCAAGCAAACAAGCTGCTGTCGCCTGTATTAGATACTTGGCGCAAAGGTATACACCCCCCTTTTGTCTTTCTGGGACAGACTCTTACCACTAGTAGACTATTATCTATTCAGCGCTTTGTACGGAGGACTGCTCTTGCTCTACCCCTTTCGAGTCGTGCTATGGGGCTACAAGCTTCAGAAGCCGTCTTCAAGCTTGCCATTGAAGCTCCCTACAGCTTTCGATCCCGCGCCTCTCCTCTATCCTCCTTCGATTACGATATTTGTGTCGCTATTAGTTTCCGTCAACTGCCCGGCAGCCATCCTTCCGAACCTCATACTGAGCATAAGCTCAATTCCTCAGCAAGTGATACCCAAATTCGACCAGTACGCAGCGTACGACTCTCTTCACTGGGCTCTGTCATGTCTCCCCCTGATTTGGCGATCCCCTCTTTCAGATGGCTCTCGATTTACACCGACGTACGCTTTTCTTACTCAAGAAGATCTTGCCTTGCTGTATCCTTTGCATAGAACGGCATGTGCTGTATTACACCATCTTACTACAACCAGTCTCCTGACCGCTGAACTTCAGCTTCTTTCGATTGCTTTGATCAACGTCTTGCTTCTAGCGTCTTCACCTCAGATTCAGATTCTAAAAGCTTTGTTGTGGGGTGGCGGTTTAAGCCTACTTGTACTATGTGGCGCCGTGATTAGATGGGGGATTGTGTTGGCAAGAGTTCCCAAGTGGCGATTTCGAAGAGAGCCACATCCCCCAAGGCGTCCATTTTGGAAGTCTTTGGTCAGGGGATTGTCTTGGCAGAAATTCAAGAGCGAGATTCTGGGCTCACCTCTGGATCAACAGAGCGACGATGCGCTCTTCTCAACCGATGAGGACGAAGACGACATGCGGTTTAGCGGCCCTACCAGAGTCCAAACTATTGGTGCAGCAGAGAAGTCATCTCTTGACACATCCGCCGAAAACGGGTGGAAAACAGGCGGAGTTTCCAGAAGATATACAATTCCTCACATGGATAGAGCGTCTCGCAAAATAGCAACGCACACTCCATCTGGAAGGAGGAAACGCACGGCATCCGTGTCTATTCGTGCATATTTCAAGTTTACGCCCGCACAGGCAGCGATGAGAAAGTGGGTGTACGCAGGCTATGTATATGTGTGTTTAGCAGTCATCATAGTAGCATTTATCCGTCCCTATGTGGGAAAATATGCCCTTGGTGGCAAGGAACCCCTAGGCTGGGCTCTCGGATACTTTTTTGGTGACCTGCCGGAGTTTAGATATCGTGTTGTTCGAGCTAATCTGGAACGTTGGATCTCTCTTCCACCAAGGACCGAGGCTTGGGGCGAAAAAGAATGCGGCTTTGGTTGGGTACAACATGTCCGCCACAACGACTTTGGCGAAGCCAACACACGGCTCTTCATCAGCGGCTACTGGGTTGCGATTCTTATTGTTGGACTCGCAATCGTGTTTCAGCTGAAAAATACATACGAGGTGGATACAAGGCGGAAGGTATTCCACTTTATGATGGTCGGCATGCTTCTACCGGCGACTTTTATAGATCCTACGTTTGTTGCCTTGGCGCTATCCATCGTCTTGGCCATCTTTTTGATCCTGGATTTATTGAGAGCAAGCCAGCTACCCCCTCTCTCTAAGCCAATAGCCTCTTTCCTGGCTCCATATGTCGACGGCAGAGACTTCCGCGGGCCTGTCGTGATATCTCACATCTTTCTTCTGATTGGGTGTGCCATTCCTCTCTGGCTATCACTCGGATCCTTGCCACGGACCGGATCGGATTACCTGGCCGGCTGGGAGATATCTACTAGAGAAATCAGTATGATCTCAGGGGTTATTTGTGTTGGGCTAGGCGATGCGGCAGCCTCGCTTATTGGGCGCCGCTATGGTCACCGCAAATGGCTCTGGGGCGGCGGCAAAAGCCTTGAAGGGAGCTTAGCATTCACAGCTGCCGTCTTTCTCGGCCTCACAGCTGCCAGCATTTGGCTTCGCATAGGGAAATGGCCCATGGCCGGTGAGGATATAAGCATGGCGACTAGAGCTGGACATGCCTTGGCGTGCTCTTCCATGGCTAGTTTGACCGAGGCGGTCCTGACGGGAGGCAACGATAACGTCATTGTGCCAGTTATTCTCTGGACATGCGTAAAAGCGCTTGAGGTTTAATCTTATAGAGGCATAAATACGGCGTTTTTTCCCTTTTTCTTCTTTGGATTTATTTACGATGGGTATTCGATTGGCGATAGAAGGCCATACGACGATATGATACTTTTTTTGATCGTCTTTGTGTTTTATAGATCAATCTCATACGGCCTACATGACTAAACATGATCGCATAATATTTATACACAGAGAATGAGATAGCCTAATGATTCGATTTGAGATAAAGATAAGTGGACTTTAAAGCATAGGCAAGTACATAATGGCAATAAAAATGCGCAAAAAGGGTAGAAATATGTCACCTTGGTCATCAATAGAAAGTGATTATGAGGAAATGTCATCGCTTTTGGTATATTCATCGTCCTTGTGCTTCATCTTATAGTATATATGGAGATTGAATTGGTGGAGCGACCCGTTTGATAAGGAGAAATTAGAGACAGTCAAAACCAACATCTATGCAGTCAGATCTTCTAAAATGGCTTCGAGGTCTTCTTTCCTGAAAGGCAAGCTTAATAGCTCCGTTCCAAGATTGTCTTTGCGGCTTGTTAACATTTGATGGTCGTGAAATCTAGTCAGCCATTGTCAGCATCTTTCATCAAGAAAGGAGAGGGGAAAATTAATGGTGACAATGCGCTTACTCTTTGAGCAGTGTCCGGAAAGCCATCTCGGAACTGCAAATGAACTCCTCAACGGCCTTGTTGTATACCATCCTATACTCAAGACCGACATCCTCGTCGCCTTCGTCCTCCATTGCGATGAGAACCTCACCAACGAGGAGACGAAACAGATTCTTTGCGTTTTCCGTAAGACTCTTCAAAACAAAGGCGACACCTTCGCGGCCGTTGACGCGCTGTGATTGTCGGCCGAGAAGCTCGTGCACGTCGTCCACGACGTCGAGCTCAACCTTGAACGGAGAAAAAGTGGTGCAGTCGTGGAACACAAAGTTGAAGTCTGAGCGTACGCCAATGTCCCATAGCAGCGTGAAGTCGGGGGTATCGGCGGAACATATCAGGTTGACTTGCGGAAAGGCTGCAAGCTGGGCGAGGATGGCTTGAGCGCCCGGCTTGCGGAGGGGAGCGGCGTCGATGGAGTTTACAATGATGGTGAGAGTGAGTTTGGAGGCGGCGGATAGAAGAGAGGCGATGTTTTGTATCATGATGGCGGGCTGGGCGGTTGGGATCCTTTGGAGGGGGTCGATAGCGGAGGCGACGACGCTGAGAATTTCGCGGAGGTTTGTGGTGTGGGCGTAGCCGTTGACCATGACGATCTTGCCGACTGTTTTGCTGCTTTTGTTGTTGGAATGGATGTAGGTGGCGAACTTGTGCAGCAGAGGTCTCTTGGAACCTAGGCCAAAGAGACATATGCTGAAGCCTTGTGATAGCTCAAATGCCCATTGTGGGAAAGATTCAGCGTGCAAGGACTCGAGATATTCGATGTTCTCGGCATGGCGGTCCTGATGGTCGTGTAAGATGCTAAAGTACTCGTCGTGGGAGAGCAAGTTGAGAGACGCCAACGTATTATCCGACGTCTTGGGCCGGCCAGGCTTGTTATGTAGAAAGTACAGCTCATGAGAAGGCAAATCCCTCGGCGGCGTTGGAGATCTCGCTCTCTTCGCCCTTGCTTTTCGCCGCGCTGGTGTTTTTGAGGGCGTAGCAGGGTCGCCTTGTGCCAGTCCCGCTGCTTCGCCGTCTGTTCTTTCTTCGAGCTCGTCCTCGCCGTCATCTTCGTCCTCGGCATCGCTCGACTCGTAGATCTGCCGCGTGATATCGGCCCCGAGCTGGTCGTCGTCGTCGCTACCGCCGTCGCCAACAACTCGGTCTATTAGAGCTCTTGCGCTCTTCCTCCGCGCTGATCGATCTGCGGCTCTGCCCGGGGTGAGGGCATTGAAACCCACTGCTTTGGTGGGCGTTGAAAAGACAGGTACAACGTTTGATTTTGCATTCGGGGTGCTGTTGTTGGACTTGGATTTTGGAGGGCGGCCACGGCGTCGAGGCGTAGGTGTTGTTGCAGAGGGTTCGGGCTCTGTCGCTGTCTCTTGGATTTCAATATCCATCTTGTCGCCCAATGATGGGGGGTTTGTGTTGTCTTCTTCATTTGTGTCCATTGAATCGATACGGAATCGTTCGTATAAAATCGAAGACTCGTGAGATGTCAATGCTGCTTCGTCGTCGAGGTTGGAGGGGCTTCTGGAGAGTATGTAGGCAGGGACCTGAAAGACTTTACTGTCAACAAGTCCCAGTGACAGGACGCAGTAATTGGCTGAGAAAGAACTCGTAGTTTGATTAAGTCTAGGGAATATTGCTCAATGGACAGCGTGTCTGTTAACGAATGTCAATGTAATAATTGCAGCAGTTGATGATCGCGAACCAGCTCTGACCTCATCCGAGATTCTCCCTGGCAAAAAGCACATGCACTCAACGCGCTGGACGCGCTGCGGGAGCTACAGAGCTCAAGGCTCCAGGGGCGCTAATCCAGGGAATCCATGGCGCAGCGCTAATCCGACCCACTGAAGCTCCAGCGAGAGAAATCCCAGCTTGTCTAAACATCAATCCATTGATCCAGCCATTGAATGCTTCCAGCTTATACAATTGAAGCTTGCACGGAGCACGGATTGTCACTCAAGCCATCACAGCTCCTAAATTAGAGAAGCATCTTCAAAATGAACTTTAATCTGTACGGATCACTTAACTCTGCAAAGCTGCTGCTCAAGCCCGGCCTGTGTTTGCCTCACCACATTGCACCGACCTTTAACGATCTACCCATCCCGCTCGATGCGGTCCTGCAGAGAGACGGCCGAAGAGCCAATATCAAGGCTGTAGTCTTGGACAAGGACGACTGCTTTGCTTATCCTGATGCAAAAGAAGTATATCCTGCTTACAAGGTAGCATCTCATCCCGCCAATTGTTCCCTGCGGCGCCGCTAACAGAAGGTTTCAGCAACACTTTGAAAAGCTGAAGCAGACATACCCGGGACGAAAGCTCTTGGTGGTGTCCAATACGGCTGGCTCTACTAGCTGGGATAAAGATCTCAAGCAAGCAGCCGATGTGGAAAAAAGCACTGGAGTCTTTGTTCTCCCTCATTCTACGAAGAAGCCTGGCTGTGGTGCTGAGATCATGGCGTATTTCAAGAAATATCCAGAGACGGGAGTGACCGATCCATCGCATATTGCCGTTGTTGGTGACAGGCTCACCACTGATGTGATGCTTGCTAACATGATGGGTGCCTGGGGATTTTGGATCAAAGATGGCGTGGTGCCGCTGAGCCAGAAGAGCATCGTGAGTGCATGAAATCGCCAAATGATAACTTCTGTGTGAATCTGACGATGTGTAGTTCTCAAGGATTGATCACTGCCTGGCGGGATTTCTGCAAGCAAGAGGCGTGAGGCCCCCTGAGCCGCAAGTTTCGTCTGAAAAGTACTGAACTCTTTGGCGCCCTGACCAACCCGCACTCTCGATATGCGTATCCTGCTCTATTTCCCTCACACTGCAACTGTGATTCACAGTCAAAGCATGAGAGTCAGCTGTTGCAAGGCCATCAGGCGGTCAACAATGGTATTGAGGTTTGATACACTGATAGACTGAATCAGCCCTCGGATATCATCACATGTGTCTCGCTGCTATAAATCCTTCCTCTTTATATCCTATTCCGCGATCGCTGTTGGCTGGGGACTGGATGCTTTCTTAACTTCTTAACAAGCTTCGTAACTTGTCAGCTCTGGAGCATATATCATAGCTGCTCTACTCGGATTTTCTGACTGCCGACTTTCTTCCCTCAGATACAGTATTCCTTCGTCACCCTTTGCGCTCTTAACGGACACACAAATGGGCGGCAAAACGTGGTCCAGACAAGAGGAGCGCTTCTTCTGGAGAACCATTGTGCCACAGTCCCCAAAGGCTGTGAAACCGTCCGATCGAGTTCACGACTGGAAGGTCTGCGCCGAGATTATGCAACAGGAAATGGGAGCGAATGCTCGCCGCAAGTATTCGAAGCTGATGCTCTGTGCGTAGCGTAACCCGCGTGAACCTAGGTGGCGACATGCAGAGACTTTGTTGCTAACTGGTTTATTTTCCTGTCCTACTTTCAAGTCGAACACTATTTCCAGAATGTCCAGACTGGACACAAGTCTCCTTGCGCTCGGGAGTTCGTGGTGGAGCATAAGCGCGCTCTCAGTGAGTTCCGCAAGGGAGAAGTGGTGGCCTTTGGCATCATGACTGAGAAGGACTTAGTGGAGGCTCAGCAGCGAATCCATGCCGTGGTGCAGAGCGATGCAGTGCAAGATGACCATTGAGTGGCACGATATATCAACCTGGCTGGATCTGGCAACTGTGATGAGCATGAAAGAGCAAGGGGAGTAGGAACGAAGATGGCAGTTATTGTAGATTCAAGACGTCAGGTATTACTGCTAGACGATATTCCGATGGGGTTTACAAGTAGAAATGCAGCATACCTCTGTTTGATCTTGACAGTGCCTTCAGGGAAGCTTCTCGCATTTCGCATTCCCTATCTGCACAACCGCCAGTCACTAAAGAGACATAGAGTTGGTTTGTTGATTGTGCTTGACAAAATTAGTGGAAGAGCTCTTGTTGAGATGGTAGTTCAAAAGAAATTTATATTGGTATCAATTAATCCCAGTCCAAACCCCAAACCGCCAAAAAGCTATACATAGAATTTAATCCTTCCAAATCATCTTTCTGATTTCCTCTCCTCCTACTAACCCAACAGCAGCAGGCCATCCTCCTAACGCGCCAAAGACCCATCCATACGTTGCTTCATGCGCATACTTAACGCCACCCAGCAACAAGTTGGCAACATCAAAGGCCAGACTCTCTTTGGGCGCAACTCTCATCACAAGCTGAGTGCCCGTCTTGTCCACGTCCAAAGACCAGTTGAGGTCGAGTGTATGCCCAGAGCGCGAAATATCCACAGTGTGATTTTTGGTCGACGAGTCGACGAGGTTGTACGCCAGCTCAATCTTGTCCGGGTTGCTGTAAAAGGACCAGAAACCGCCCCAGGGAGGTGTCGATATGGTGATGGTCCCCTTTTGGCCGACGGCTGTGGGCTTGCCGTTGAGCGTCGTTTCGCCGGTTATGATGAAGTCTATGCGCGCGCTAGGGCCCTCGCCAGAGTCAAAGTTGCTAAGCGAAGTGAGGACGATTTCGCCGATTCGACCATTGTTGATTGAGGGGCCGGCTTCAAAGGGCAGATGTTTCTTTCTCTCTGCTTCCTGTAGGCCACATGTTAGCATGTTGATTGCGCATTGAGATGAGTCTGTGAGAATCTCACATTTGATCTGCTTGAAATGCCGGCAAAAGTAGGCCACCATTGGTTGTTGCCTTCGGGAATGTCAAAGTGGATGCTTGTGATGAACATTTTGAGTCCTGGTGGGAGCTTGTCTACCACGAGGACTTGGCTGACTGATCCCCAGACCATTTTGACGGTGTTGTTGCTGCTTGTTTGAGAAACGTGGCAATGAATGAACAGAGAAAAGCTATGTGTAGCTTATTTCATAAGAGGGCAACAGCTGAATTTATCATAAATACATGTATCCAAACGTCTCTTACACTGCAATGGTTCATAATTCGGCCAAGGCGATATCATCACATGAACGCAAACTATCGCTCTAGATCGATCGAGGCACCATCCAGCACTTCAAGCTGCTGGCACCAATCCTCTCAATCAACCAATTACCGCGTACTGATCAGCCCCAATGCTCTCAGCTGAAAAGATCATCGCCAATACTCTTGCCACCCAGAGTGTCCAGATTCGCTCAAATATCCCAGATATGTCAAGATCACCGCCAGGCCAAGCAAGGGAGGAAAAGGCCGCCCGCAACGGCAACCATTTCTTTTCAGCTGTTTCCAAACCTGGCTACAATGAATTTGCGATGGCAGTCCAGAACTCGCGACCCCCAGCTCGGCAGACGGCTAGATCGCATTCTCCAGGCAATATTTCCCAGGGACCGTGGCTTGGCTAGCGGACGGGCCGCGCCTAAGTGGAGCGGCAGAGAGGCTTAGGAGAGACAAAAAGCTCAGCTCAGCTGGGCCAAAGTCGATAATTCGCCTGTGGCGTGCCTAGAAGCGGCGTGGTCCGTTGATAGTTTGCTTTTGTTTGTTTGGTTTGGTCTGGTAGCTCCATCAGCTGTGATGCCTGCCGAGGCGCTCATCTCGTCTTATGTCCCTATTGAATCAAGGACATATATGTATATATAGGCCGTATAAGAACCTATGCTCGTGTGAATCTTTATTTGCATCTAACCAATACATCTTTCTAGTCATTTATTTACATCCTTTTTACTTGTTTTTACTCATTCCTTTCTCACATAGCATAGCCCATCTCAGCATATCCCAGCCATGGTCTATCTTCCCGCAACAAGACACCTCAACGGCGTCCGCCTCCTCGCCCTGGATGGCGGCGGCGTCCGAGGCGTGGCATCTCTCATCATCCTCAAAGAAATCATGAACAGAGTCCAAGCGCGGAAGGGCCTCAAGGAGGAGTGCCGTCCTGCAGACTACTTTGAGCTCGGCGCCGGCACCAGCACTGGCGGCATCATCGGTATCATGCTCTTCCGGCTTCGCATGAAGGCCTCAGAAGCCATTGCAGAATACGACAACATTTCCAAGGAGGTGTTTAGCCCCAAAATCTACGGCTGGAACATTACGCGCGTGATGCCCAACAAGCTTGCCTCTTGGATCAACAACAGCAAGACGCTGGTGCAGAGCAGCCGATTCGACGATGCATCGTTAAAGAAGGCTATCAACAAGGTGGTGGCCAAGTATGGCCTGGATGAGGAGGACAGGCGGTTAGAAGGCGATGCACCATTGTTACACCCGAAATCAGGCAGGATGTGAGTTTTCTAATGTCTTCTCTCATATACTTTGTCCGAACGTATCTAACAAGATGATAGGATTGTCTGCACAACGGCACAGAACAGGGCTGAAACAGTCCTGCTGAGATCTTACAAAGACAACACAATCCACGTCAAGTCCAAAGTCAATGATACCATGAAGGACCACTCAGACAAAATCACAATCAGTCTGGCCACACGAGCTACGTCCGCCGCACCTACTTACTTTCCCGAAGTGAAGTGGCCCGAGAACGATCCCAAGTTGACATTCTGGGACGGCGGTCTTCTCAACAACAACCCCATCGACCAGCTGTGGTACTCGAGATATGATCTCGTCCAGCCAAGCGAGCCAGCCCCTCCAGTCTCCTGCGTCATCAGCCTGGGAACCGGCTACGTCAGGCCCGACTCGCCATCAGAGTCATGGTTCCAGCTTGCGGGCGTGGCGTCTTCCGTAATGGGCTTTGCGACAAACACAAATGCAAAGGGCAAGGACTTTTCACGGCACATGACGGCGCTGAACAACCGCCCCGAGCATGCAAAGACGAGATACGTCAGGCTGAACCCGTCGCTGGGCGCCAGTGAGATTGGACTGGCGGATTACACCAAGATGGAGGAGCTGAAGACGTTGGCGAACAAGTATATTGAGGACAAGGATAACCAGCTGTGGATTGACAAGGCTGTTCTCGCATTGTGCGATGAGTAAGGGTCTCCAATTGTACATTTTTGAAAAGATTAAGAGAAGACTTATGTATATGCCGGCATGCACAATGGATGATATTTTCAGAAGTTGAAAATGAAATTAGGTACATGTTCGGTTCGGTTTAAGATACAACAAGAAAGCCTTGCCCTCTACATTTCGTTCCTCTTTAGTGATGTATCTTAAATATATCTCGTTCATATGGCGTTATTTTAAGACAACACACCTTTAAATAAAGACTATTCTTGAATATATTCATACGCGTCTTTCACAAACTCGAAATTCCATCAACTGACCATCCCGCAGCGACCTCTCGCTCCGCTCCGCCCCGCCCCGGCCGGCGGCACCGAAAAAACTCCCCGCCGCGGGGACCAACCCACTACCCGCCAAGGCGGTCAAGCCCGGCAGAAATAATTCCTTGTCCGAATCCTCGATAGCAGTTCCAAGGTGACAATCTGCTGCTCAATACCTCCATACAAAAATCATCCCCATCATTGGCAACGCATATCTCAGAGATAGTCTCCAGCCACTGCCATATAGACAGATTCACTTCTATACACGATCAACCTTGCCATCATGAACGTCCCTTCACCTTTCGGCGGGAACACTCCCTCCATTCCGCAGCTTGGTGGCCAGGATCCAAATGTCAGAGCTGTAGGTCACCCACTGCTACCTTTCCCTGCCTTCTTTGCGCATATACAGCTTTGCTAATTCGATTTCACGGGCCTAGATCCAAGGCGCAATGGAGTCATGCTATGGAAAGTCCATCATGTCAGGAGTGATGGGTTTCGGCATGGGCGGACTGTTTGGTCTCTTCATGGCTTCGGTACGTTTCTAGTTTCTATTCCTCGTTTCCAGCTGGCTCATTCCCTAAATCTTTGTATTTCTACTAACCTGGGCTTTCTTTTTGCTATAGATGTCCTACGATACACCCTTCGGCAGTCCCCTCCAAGGCGCCAACGGCCAACCTGCCGTCACCTCACTCCCCCTCCGCCAACAACTCAAAATCGGCTTCAAGGACATGGGCACGCGGTCCTGGAGCATGGCAAAGAACTTTGGCAAGGTCGGCGGCCTGTTTTCCGGAATCGAGTGCGGCATCGAGGGCCTGCGAGCGAAGAACGACCTGATCAACGGCGTGGCGGCGGGATGTCTGACGGGAGGCATCCTGGCCAAGAACGCGGGACCGCAGGCTATGGTTGGAGGCTGCGCTGCGTTTGCGGCGTTTAGTGCGGCGATTGATGCGTACATGAGACAGCCGAGCGATGAGTAAATGCGGCGGGATGCTGTCTTGTCTCTACGAAAGCGAGAGTGAGTGACCAAGAGAGAGAGACATGTTGTACGATGATACGAGGATTTTGGAAACAAATTTGGGTTTGGCTTTGTCCTGATTACGGACTGAGGAGTTACGGTAGAGTCAACATATAGAGCATCTGGGTTGGCGTTGGAGGCATTGGTATGGTACATCTCTCCACTTTTAGTGTGATCTTTTCGAGACACGAGGAGAGAGAAAAGAAGGGGACAGAGGTGACAGCATGCTGTTATCTCTTTTCATTGAGTGATCTGGGTGTGTATGAGAATACCCGGACTGCGATAGAAGCAAGTTATCTGTATTATAAGAGTCATATTATTTAATTATCAAATTCTAACGGCTGGCCCCATTTCGTCAAGGGGCCTATATTTCATTCCTTGTTTTCACCGTTTTTTTTTTCTTTCTCATTACTACGTGAAATAAACCCGCATTCATCCTGTTTCTGCAATCTTTTACAACTCATCTTCATTTTGAGCTTTGCTTCATTAAACGGCGGGAGATTGCGCTGGCTACTATGATGCCTGGTAGACTTGGAATTTGCCAACCTCCCAGTAGGCGTCAGTGAAAGACTCTGGGTTGTTGGCAACAAGGTCTGTGCAGTTGCTAGAACCTAGAATAATAAAAACCGTTAGTAAGAATTTTTACCTACATACTTCGAATGAATGGATGTATGAAGAAAAACATGGAAGAAGAGGCGATATCCAAAAGCACTTACAGCCAGACTTGTCCCAAACTCCATACACCAAATCACCACACAGATCGATATTCAGAATGATGGAGTTGTTCCTAAAGTGGTTTCCAATACTGCAATCCGTGCTCGGGAAATCAGCCGCGGCCTCGCCCCAGGTGCTGGGATCCGGCTTCTGGCTGGTGATGTCCGAGGGAATAGCGCTGCGGGCAAACTGCCACACGCGGATGCCCGCATCACGCCACTCCATGGCCATGATGCCGCCGCCGTTCTTGTTGTACGCCGATCCAAAGGTGCTGTCCGAGCCCTGGACGCCGCAGCCGGCGTTGCCGTTCTTTGACGAGTCGCAGTTGTCCTGCAGCGTCTTGTCGGCCTGCTTGCGCTTGACGTCCATGGAGCAGTCGGGCGAGGTGTGCAGCGTCATCTGGTTTCCGTCGTCGGCCTTGTTGGTCGCCTCCATGACGTCGATCTCGCCGTTCTTGGGCCAGTTGGACGGGTCGGTGAGCCACAGGGCCGGCCAGGAGCCGCAGCCGGTGGGAGTGTGGCGGACGTCGAAGATGAAGAGGCCGTCGTTGTAGGTGTTTTTGGACTCTACGCGGACGGAGAAGCGGCCAGTGGAGGCGTTGGGGACGCTGTTGGGCCCGACAGAGGTGTCGACTTTGAGGACCGCGGCATCTTGAGATGCAAAGGTCAAATTCTGTTTATGAATGTTAGCGATATCAGAGAAGAGTATAAATCGATACGTAAAGTGAATGGGTAATGTAAGCCATCAAGACACTTACAAGCTGCTTGGCCTGGGCCTCAGGGACATAGTGCACAAAGCCCTGGGCAGGGTCGAAGCCAGTAAAATAATTGAAATTATCAAAGAAGTTTTCGCCTTGGACTGATTGGATTGTACGCGAGCATTCATTAGCATGGTTCAATGGAGCCTGTTATGATTGTTGTTGCGGAACAGATGGATGTAAACAATCAATTTGAGTGAGGTGAATAAAGGCCAAAAAACCATTGACCAATCAACCAAAGGAGACAGAGAAGAGAATAAACTCACATGTATCTTTCAGAGTGTAAGTGAGCTGAGAGTAGTCGGGATACGAGCTCTTCTTCCCCTGCGTCACACCCACAGCCACGCCAATGACAATAGCGATGATGACCACAGCCGCAACGCCGATCCATACTTTTTTGTTCTTCCACCAGGGAGCGCCATATCTGGCGCCATCACTACCGCTGGATCCGAGATTGACCTCTTCGTATCTGGGAGGGATCTCGCCCGGCTTGATGCGGTCCATTTTCGTCTTGAGATGCGAGCGTATGGCTTTTGTTGCAGAGATAAAAAAAAAAAAAAAAAAAAAAAGGAATGAGGATGAGAATGAGGGAGACGAGATAATTAGCGAGTGCGTATTTCACCCTTCTTTATTGTCTTGGCGCCAACTCAATCCAGAGAGAATACGCAAAGATATCGTGTTAAACGACCAATCGATTTGGAAGGATTCCGGCAAATGACCGACAAGTGGTTAATATGGTCGGCGATAGCCTTTTTGGGAAGAACCACGCCAGGCACGGCAAAGTCGACGATAACGAGCGCAGGGCAAAATACCCGGAATCTCCAACAAGACTTGATGGAAAAAACAAAAAGATGTATGAGAGAGAAAAGAGAGCGAGCGACCTCTGGGATGTTTAAGGGATGACAGAAGCACAAAAAAAAACCCTTGGAAAGCTTACGGCAGTGAATACGAGAGTGAGAGCGAAAAAAGGTGGATTAGACATCGGGCTCAGACTGGCCGGCCACTCAGACTCTACAGCAGCAGATACGAGTCCCGGCTTTAACGTCCATCGTACGAAAAAAGAAGCAGCGCTCCGTTTCTCCATTCTCCATCCATTCCATGCAACGTGCTCGCACTAGGCGCAAATCGGATCCAGCGGCAACCCTGAAGCGCTTCGCCTCAATACTTTGGGACATTGATGGATGGCTTTTATTTCAGATAAACAGGCATTGAACAATGTGTCTACATGTGCCTGTTTGAGAGGGGTGATTGTTTGCTCGTTTAAATATTTACACACAGAGTTAGACAGCTGATTATCGGCTATGCTAAAGACAATGGTAAGAACATAGCCACCACGTTGATAGAAGCTGGAGCTCCATGTGTCAAATCTCGATACAGCCCAGCTCTTAAACCTTGGAGCGACAATTCCAGAGTTTCACATGACGCGCGTCAGTGTTGCAGGGCCATGTTGATCCCGAGCCCAACTAAACATCTGATTCCATCACCTTCATGCCGCTTTCGGTCATTTCCCCTCTTCAATGATTCAATGCGCAGTCTCTGCAATTTTTTATCTACATCAGACTGTTTTGAGGCTAGCCCAGGGCCGTCATCCTTTGGGCCTTTGGGTGCCTGTCTCTGATGTCTTTGACGTAAGGTACAGATTAAGTGGCGCTAAATATAGGGCACCCCCCCATTGGAGTGGCGGCTACTTGTGCTTGACATGTGCCTGGCTTGCTGTGGCGCAGAGTATTCTCCGAGATTAAAACACCTACATGCCCCAAGCTCTACCTGTAGCTAAGCTAAATGTAAAAATCAACTGCGCATCGGCGGTGGTTGAGGCTGTGATGTGCCTTTAATTACGGCGTCGACACTCATTACATCGAGAGTTGCTTCCGCAGGGTAATCGTCTTATCCCCATCGCACACGTCCTGCCAGCTATTAGCCGAAAAGAGACCAACCGCTTGAGCAATTTGAAAGCGGTGCATCGTTATCATCAATGTTATTCTCGAATATCCTATGGATAGTTTGACATTTGTCTTGATTCTGTAGCTACCTAGGTAGGTAATATTGTACATGCGAAGCGTTCACGGAGAGCTCTGCTTCGTACCCAAACAAGTAGCCGCCTTCAAAATTATCCCTATATGTCCTTAAGGGGCAGGCACTGACAATAGGGACCGAGACGATGTCATCCTCCACTAGCCACTTGCGACTGCCATGTTTGATCGCGCGTTGCAACAGTGGTGCACAAAAGTCGCAGCCGAGATCATCAAAGGAGTGAAGAACATCTGAGAAATTTGCTAGTGTTATATAATTGAAGTAAATATCAAGCAATGGTGAAGATATCCCGGTAGGACTGATGCTTGTTTGTTTGTTTTATAAACGACCACTGTATAAAGTCTGGTTACAAAACAAATTCAATACTAGTAAGAGGTACTCATAATGTACACTTCGCATCCATACTAGTCGAAGATATGTACATGTACGTTTTCTGACTTGCATCGGGGTAATTGAGAGTGGTTTATGAGCATAATAGTATCCTGGTACAGCTAGCATTGACTTACCTTTCGTAGGCATGACCCTATCATTGCTTTCAATTCAATGTGCACATATTATTACGGGCGGGTTAGTTTATCCGGCTCGTCTTCCGCAATCTGGGCGGCCGGGATGACCTCAATGACTTCCTTGGTCTCCTATAACGCGGCGGCAGCTATTGCTGCAAGCCTCGCCATAGATAAAGTCCTTGCTGATCCCCGCGATCGTCCTTTTGTAGCTCTCGAAGCCTGCGAATTTATGCGTAATTGGGAGCTTCTGATGGACTATAAAAACTGCCCTGTAAGCCCTTAACCTTACAATATTATACTCATGTGTGGTGTTGCAAAGTATATGATGCGCCAGGGCGTCAGACTGCAATTAGGTGTAGATTGATGGCATCGGTGGTGTGTGTATATTACTTTTAGTACGGGTACGAGCTACTATGGTGAAAATAGGAAATATTTTGTGGTGAAAATCGGAAGACTCTTCTAAAAAATAACAATTCGCAACTCTCGATCTCCCACTTGCTATTCCGAGGCTGACGATATAATGCTGCATTATAAACTCTGTAGCACGCAGACAGAATTGCCTAAGCTATAAGCCGTTATTCTAAGCGTTAGGAAAAGCGGTATGAAAGGAATTGTTTATCTATAGATGGGCTACTGTCTAGTCTATCGCATATACTTTCTTTTAAAAGCAACGAAGAGTCCTGGAATTTTTTCTATCTCGCTCTATAACTCTTACTGTTTATTTGGCTGTTGATTTGTCTATCCTAGGCGGGAGGGAGATCTGTGTGATCTTATATTATGCAATGACACTGTAGGTCTCTATCTATTAATAGATAAATCATTCTGACACTGTTTCTACGCCCCCTAGGGCGCTCTGTTCTATCTGGATCTGCTGCAACGAGATAGGCCGAATGACCTGGCCTGAAAGCATAAGTTTGTCGAATTGCGTCACCGTGAGATTTGATAGTAGCTCCATCTAGCAGATCCTGAATTAGATTCAATCTCCAACCATCTCGCTGATGTACGAGAACTTCCCAAGCCTGGACTATTGAAGATTCCATGGCAAGATTCCAGGTGCCTCTCCAAGTGATTCTAGCTTGCCGTATATTGCGAAACACCTGATATTTAAAGAGTACTGCTAAGCCCTTTTGTCCGTTCCAAATTTCCATTCTTTCCAGTTGTGGCATCTTTGTAGCTATTGCTGCTGCGGCCTGAAGCATAGCTCTAATCTTAATTGGACTTTTGTCTAGTGAAAGTAAGTTTGAAGTTAGCATAAGCGAAGTTAGGTTTGGCCACTCCCAAGACGGTTCAATATTATCAAAGAAGTGGCTAGCATCTATAATAAATGATGCTGCAAGATGCTCAAGCTTAAGGCTAGCGAGCACGACCATCCGGCTGACAGCTGGTGTTGGATTGCGAATACTCTCGCATTCAGCTATATCAACACCAAACTGGAATCGCTGCATAATAGCTGGATACTGTTGATTAAAGTTCTCAAAGACTACAAGTCTTTTAAGATTCTTATTAAAATGTTGAATAGACTTGAAAAGATATTGGTACTCTAAACAATGGATATATATTATTAGCAATAGTATACTTATATAAAAGGGATTAAGCAATAACTTGGGCTGATGTGCAACCACACTTACGTTTATCTGTTTCCAACTTCATAAAGCCCCATTCTCTCCAGGGTTCATAGTGGACTTCTTGGAGTCTGGGAAACTGGGCAAACATATGTGCAAGCGCTTCTGGCTTCCATCTCCTCCGGTTCTGTTGCCGGAGAAGTAATGTGGTTACTGCCGGGACTGATGGAAGCCGATCCCACCATTGTAGCTCTGCCTGATCACTCTCAAACGGTCCCTCTTCCATGACTGAATGAAAAACTTTAGCAACTGCCGATCTAGGCGGCGCGCAGTGTCGGAAACCATCAACCCATCCATGTTGAGGATCATTATAGACTGGTTTGCTTGAGACTATCTGATCTATGCCGTGCCGACCGTCTAACGGGTCTAAAGGAGTATCAGGCATAAAGGTCAGATATTTGAACCAATGTGTTGAGTCACTAGGCGAATAGATGCTGATATCAAGTATTAAACCGGCGCTAGGACCCCATCTGCTGAGGACGGAGAAGAGATTCTGAAATGATGTAGTGATAGGACAGTGATCTGTATCACTAATAGTGAGTGCTTCTTCATAATCCGAGATTGAACTGGCTGGCGCGCATTTGGTGCAATCGTATTTATCAAGTTCCAAGCAGAACCAAATATAGCTAATAAAAGCCTGATTGCGATGAGTTATTGAATCAAAATCAACAAGTCGCGATGGTGTCAGTTTGATTCGAGCAAAATTATATCGCTCGAGCTCGGTCTGCCACTCTCTGGACACTGTGGCAAAGCGACTCAACCTGCAGCCATCTTGCACCAGGGCTTCAAAGATGAGACGTCGAATTTCTCTAGGCAAGCCATCCCAAGTTGAATCCCATTGTTTGTTGCTAAGTGATGTTGAAAACATATGACCAAAAGCGGTGATAGTTGTGGTAATAGAGCGATGCAGTTGGAGAGTATAAGATACAAAAGTGTGCAATAGTTGTAAAGAGGAATGGAATTCGGCGACCATCAGATACGCAAAATGAGAGGTAAAGGGTCGGGTTAAATACCCATCTGCGTACATGTATCTCCGCTTATCGGAGTGGAAAGTTATATATGTGGTGTAGCGAGCTTAAATGCCGGATTGGATCAGCGCCACAGAGCTTATCACAAGCCCCATCATCGGGATGCTATGAACTTACGTGCAGCATGTGGAAATATTTTAAACAAATAGAATTTGAATTGCATTTATTGCTCACGCCTGGCTGCTGCACGCGTCCAATATACATGTACTCGCCAGTAGATTAGTTGTAACGCGCTTTCAGGTGCAGTAGGTCTCCCCACGTTTTCTGCTGCCTAGATACAGAACATGAGAGATTCTATTGTCTCGACAGCAAGCTATTGCCAAGCAACAATATATGTGTGGTCTTGTTGTGGCTTTCGCCGCTTTGTCGTATCAGACACCTCAAGCACGTACAAGCTTAGATAGGTAATGGGAAACTCGGGGTTATAGATAGCTGTCTCATAATCTCGCGTCACCTGAATGAAAGTGTTCATGTCGCGTGAGCTCCGAAAGGCTTATAAAAACTGTTTTAAGACAGTGCGCAAGATCTTTGCTACCGGCCCTTTTGGTCGTCTAATAATTTAGACGGTGAGAATATTTATATGCAGGACTTTCGACTTATACTTCAAAGAGAATTCACGGTTGGTACCAATTGACTATGCTCTCTTCTATTGCCTGTGATGTGCCTTCAATTACGGCTGTTCAGGGGAAAGAGAAGAAGACCGATACGAGAATCAACGAAAGAGACGGAAAGCTGTCTGAAGAAAGCAGCCTATGTTCACAAGTTGATGGGACGCGGGTGCAAAGGGTAAAGGAGGCATGTTTGATACCAGAGCTGGGACAAGCAGACTGAGTAAGGCTCGATGAATCGTCTAATCTCAGTCTGTTTTGAGCCGATTGGATGACGAAGACGCAGCTTTTTCACAGAGTTAAGCCTCAGATGCTTCCAAAGCTTCCACTCAACAACACTCTCGCTCCACTAGGTCCGGCAGCTATATCGGTACCGTTCACTTCTCCTGGTACTCTCCGGATATGATCAACAAGAAACTGAAAGCTGCGTTCCGAATGGCTGAGAAACGTAATTAATTGATAGTATTGTGTGTCGTTAGAGTATAGAGATATATGAGGCACAAACATTAGCCAGACTATAAGTAGATAGGTAGCCGGCATCCGCGCAATAGTAGATTGGATCCACACGTCTTGGGACCACATGAGGCGAATATAAAAAAAATAGAAACAAATCAGTACCAAGTGACAACGCGTAGTTGTGAAATGTCAAGGTCATCGCTTTCGCTACCCTCTTAGCCGTGGATAGTGATCCTATCAACTAGACTCTCCCATTGCCAAACCCAACCGACCATCCACCCCTTGACTCACATCTTTTGCTCTAGCCAAAGCCTAATCTTGAATCACATACATATATATATTAAAGGAAAAAAGACCAAAAGACCAAAAGAACAATAAGAGATAAAGTTTGATTCAACGGAAAACGTAAAGCATCAAGTCATCAACTCCTGGACATTGGAGATTGCATTGCCATTCCTTATCCCAATATTTTCTAAAGCCTATTGTCGCTGCAGATATTCGTTGAATTGCCCATGTGTGTTTGTTTTCGTTTCATGATGATCGAGGCTTGCGATCTCTGCAATCCGAACTACGTTAGCCGCTAAAGACATTCAAAAAGAACGGAAACACGCGTTAACAACAAGAACAAGCAAAAGGAAAAAAGTCACAAGGCTTGGAGACGCCAAGGATGAGGAAGCCAAACGATTTGCAAAGGCATCTTCTGGGGAAAATACTCACGTGCTAAGTCTCCGGGACAGCTGGTGCAGCTTCTTATCATTATCGGCCTCCTCCGCGGCTTTCTGCAAAGCAATCGCTCTCTCCTCTTCTTGATGCTTCACAACCTCGTCGTGAGTAGGGGGGAGGTGTTCATTCTGCAAATCGACCTTTCGGGCATCCTCAAACGAGCTAATCGCGTTCTTGATACCTTCGGCACCGAGCATCAGGGTGCCGGCGGGCAGCCTTCCACCAGATACAGTCTTCAGCTCCGTAACGCGCTCAGACTCTTCTCGCAGAACCTGGAAGACACGGGACATGCGGCCAATGGCCAGGATCTTGTTCTTGATCGCCCTGCGCTTGAATTCGATCGAGTTGGGATCCTCCATACCGCTGGTAAGAGCTGGCGAGCTGGGGCCAGGCGAGTGTGAAGAAGGCGTCTCCTCCTTCAGCTCCTCCTCTGAACATGTGCTTAAAATGGCAATGAGCATGTCGGTAATCTTTTCGCCAACAAAAGGCAGCGACCAGGTGAAGACATCCATGAAATTGGGAAGCCAGTACGGGTGCGGCGTGCAGTTGAATTGTCGGATATTCATAACGTTGTTTTCATATTTCAAAACAGCGGCTTTGTTGTTATAAACGTCGAGGTAATTGGGCGCCGAGAAGATGGTCATAACACTGGGGAAGCCGGTCGTCCGCGTTTTACGGTACATTCTGTATCCGGCATCCTGGGCTTCGTGGGCACGAATGACAGAGAGCAAGTTGTTCTTTTCCAGAAAAGCACAGGCTGCGTGATATGAAAAGAAGTACGAGCATCCTCGCACGTGGTTATGCAAAAAGAAATCGCTAGATTTTTCTTGTCCAAAGTCTTCGAGGGGGTCGGCCCACAGGATGTCGCACATGAGGCCCTGGGTAGGTGGCTCTCTGAACCGATCAATCTGTGCCATTATGTTAGCTTCGGTTCACATAGGTTTTCATACTTTTGAAAACAGTTTAATACTAAACCAGCAGTTGGACAGCAAGACTTACACTTCTCAAGTCGTCGAGGGTATGCAACTCAGGGCTCAATCCACCGTGGATACACAGGAATTGCTTGTTCATAACGGCAGCCAGGGGAAGACAGCAGAAAGACTCCATACAGGCCTCGTAGACGGCTTCTGAGTACTTGTGCTTGCACTCCAGCTTGAAGGTGAAGTAGTCGGTCAAATGACGGCACTCGTGATTGCCTCGCAGAAGCCACAGTGTATTGGGGTAGTGAATCTTGAGGGACCAAAGGTAAAGGACACACTCGATGGAGAAGTAGCCACGATCGACGTAGTCGCCGAGGAAAAGATACCGCGTCTCGGCAGGGTCACCTCCAACCTCGAACAGCTTCATCAGATCGTAGTACTGGCCGTGAACATCACCGCAAACGGTAATGGGCGCATCCATCTCAAGAAGGTTGGGCTCTGCTCGCAGAATCTCCGTGCCCTTCTTGATAATCCATATCGCCTGTTCCTCGGTGAGTCTGCCCTCGCGGTAAAAGTGCTGCTTCAGAAAGTTGATGTCGGGCTTTTCCTTGGTATCATCCTCAAAAAATTGCTCATCGGTAGGCTTGAACATGGCCGGCGCCTGGACATCTGTATATAGGGCGGTGCCATGAAGGTCAGCGGCGTCGCAGTTGAGGTATTGCGAGACATTGATGGCGGAAAACAGCACCCCCCCCTATCGACAACAACAATGGCGGGGTAGTTGCAAGAAGCTGAACTCGACAAAGCACGGGGTGCAGCCAGACGTACCTTTGCACACTCGCTCGAGCGTGCTGACCTGAGTGCCGTCCTCCATCATGTGGATGGTGAAGTCGATCTCGGGCAGAGGCTTCTTCTCCTGAATCGCGCGAATGGCATTGTCGACCTGGGCGGTTCGTCGAGGCACCTGCTCGGTAGCGTTGGCGTCGCCTTCGGTATCCATGGTGGCGACTGGTGGGCTAAGGAGCTGGATGAAAGACTAGAAGCAAAAAAATGAAGAAGAAAGAAAAACTCTCTGGACGGCGAAGAGTTTTGAGGAGCGAGTCAGAGGAGCTGCTGCCGGAGACTTCTGCTCGGCGCCGAGGGTCCAAGAGTTCGCAGACGCCCAGGAGCTGAAAGGCGTGGCGGGTGGCGGTGAGCGCAGAGAAAAGCAGCAGGCCTGCAGCTGCTAGCAGTTCGCGGAAATGCTGGGGGCGAGTCGAATCAGGGCCCGTGGCAGCGACGTTTTGGCGGAAATCCCAGATAAAAATGTGCTCGAGGGCCAAAAGTGTGTTCGAGGCAAAGGCGAGATAGGCCGACAGGAGATTTGAGAACTTGGCGGTGCCCGCGCGGGAGCTGGCCACGGGGGGCGGACTGGAGCTAGCACGACTTATTACACAACGCCCCAGGGCTATCAATTAGGGGACTGCTACTCCGTACCGGCACAGCACCTAATCTAACCGGAGGGCGGTACCTCATGCCTTAGCAGCCTTAGCAGCATCTTGGCCTCGATTGCTGCAAGATTCGCTGCTTCTTGCTGGTTTGAGGCATAGCAGGACATGTCTCGGACGGCCTCCAGCCCAATCACGATTTTGGCCCGCAGCGCGCATGCGGCTGACGGGGCTCGTTATTTTTGGCATCGACGTAAATAGCATATATCTTAAAATTTGGTGTCACTACCTTATCTCAGGAGCGTATTTACATACACTCTGGATGTACGTACGGGATTTATCAGTCTCTCATATCGATAATTCACGGTAGACAAGCATTCTAGACTCTAGATATTCCTTGCTCCAAAGCCTGTCCGAGAAAGGGGCGGGGGAAGTACAGGTTCATTGACATCACTGCTATCCCTAATACCTATCCCTATCCTGTACCTAATACGAGCTACCACTATTAGCCCGCTACCAGTTCCCCCGTGCTGCTAAACTACCCCCCAACATCCATCTAGGTACCAAGTGCTCAACCCCGTAACTCCATCCTCTGTATCATTGAATCTCCTACCAGGCTCTGCTGATTTGAAATGCACGCAGCAGCCCGTGTGTAGCACCGCGGCCGCCCCGAAATCTGCTCCTTCAGGCTTCATCTTCAGGCTGCTTGCCCCTCAATCTGTCTACTACCGCTACGGGTTCCCGCTGCAGCCCCGCTTCAATTCCGCCGCCACCAGACCCTGAAGAACGGAAGCTTGCCTTCATGTTTTGGCGTGCTACTGTACATTTGCTGCTTAGCTAAACTTGAGCTCATATAATCGTAAATGCACGTTCCGTTGTCATTTATTTTTTATTCTATTCTAACACTCTATGCCTGCGTCTTTATCGGTATGGATAAGACTATCTCGTCGTACTAATGCAGCAGTTTATAGAGACGCCCATCTTCGTAACGATTCTATTGTCTATCGCAAACCATGCCCATTAGTTCCCATTCTTTTTTTTGAAATTTATCCTCTAGCCATTGTTTTTTACTCCCATCCAAGTATATAGTCCTTTATGGTAGGCTGTAGCCGCCGTCGACAATCATATCCAGACCGGTCGTATAGGAGCTTGCATCACTCGCCAGGTACAGGTATGCGCCCTTGAGCTCTCCGGCGTAACCCTCGCGGCTATGCGAATATTAGCATCTGGATTATACTCTATAACAGAAGGATTCAACATACCCCATAACAGTCTTGTCCTTCCACGCCTTCTTTGTCTCCGTAGGCACAAAGGATGAGATCTCGGTCAGGATATATCCAGGGGACACGGTGTTGGCTCGGGCAAATCCAACCCACTCGACGGCCAAACTCTTGCCTAAAACAGTTCTTGTTAGCTTTCTGTGCAGCTCTCAAAAGCATCATGGACCCTGGTGACATACAAAAGTGGATCACAGCCGCCTTGGAGCCGTTGTAGACAGCCTGCAGCTGCGGGATGTTGACGATGCTGCCGCTCATGGACGCCGTCGCAATGAAGCTTCCGGTGGTGTAGTTTTCGAGAGGCTTGCCGTCAATCGTCGTGCCCTCTTCTTTCTGGCGGCGGAAGTGAGCGCCGGCGCTCTTCGCACACCACATGACGCCGTCCACGTTGACGGACATGACATCGCGGGCCATGTCGGCAGGGCCGTCGATGAAGGCGCCCTTGGTCCATGGGATGCCCGAGTTGGCGACAAAGACGTCGAGGCGGCCGTTGAATTCCTTGACATTGTCCGCGATGGCCTTGTCGACGGCCTCGGCCGAGGTAACGTTTACCTGGTATGCCTTGCCTGTTGTTTGAACCAAAGTTTTAGCAACTCAAGTATCTACTTGCAAATATGGATAAGAAGAAGGAAAATACGCACACTTGACGCCGTACGTCTTGGCAATGGTCGCAGCCGACTCCTCGGCCTGCTTGTTGCTGTTGTACCAGATCGCAACGTTGGCGCCGGCCTCTGCAAAGGCCTCTACGACGGCGAGACCGATGCCAGCACCGGCGCCTGAGACAATTGCGGTTCTTCCCTTGAGCGAAAAGAGGGGCAGCACTCGGTCGACGTTGGGGACGGGGGAGTTGTCGTGCTTGAAAGCGCCATTGGTCATTTCCGCCATTTTGAACTTGAATGTATCTCTTGCACTAAAGAAGGCTGTAACGGCTTGTCTAACTGGTAATCTCGAGGAAACGAAGCAAACAGGTAAACGAAGAGGGTATCAACACTGCAAAGTAACCTGGGAATCAAAAGTGACGCTATCGCGAAAGAACTGCGACTGCGGGGGAGGATGGAAAGCCACGCCCTCTTTATAATCCTTGACCTCCTCCTCCTCATCGCCTCTGGCCTTCAGAGCCGCCGCTACTCTCCGCAGGTGCTCCATCTCCAACCACCAGACCGAGACTTTCTGACGGCGGGACCCTCCATGCGACATTTTACCGCATCTATTTGGCCGCGTCGACACGCGCTCCAATGTCGAGTCGCTATTCTTTGGGCTTCTTTTTTTCCTCTAACATGGCCTGTCTCTTAGCCCGTGTGGAGCTGAGCGGGATTCGTTGCTGACCCCACGTTGACATTGATTCATTTGCTCCATATCTACCGTGTACGGAGCAGGCCTATCTGCTTCGTATCTATCCGTACAACAGGCCGGTTCGATGCTACGGTGGCATTGGCACACGTGCTACTATGCACCGGCAATATTCAATCTGACTTTATCCAGCAATAGTCTGATCTTCCTGGCTGCCACATACTACTTACTTGTTCCTCGTTTGGTGCCTGAATATCGACATCTACATATAAACTCGCGCTCTTTTGTTCCCTTTGGCAATGATAGTCAGCTTCGGTTATCAATGGCCCCCCGCCAAACATCGACGTCTTGGGTTACTCCGCCAGAAGCCAAAAAGCCCCGTAGCGGATCCATCTCTGTTTGCGATGCCGGACTATGGCCAAGTCGGGAGGTTGCGCCTGAAGATCCCCACGTCATAGTGGTGGGGGGGAATTCTGCAAAGTCGCGTGTATCTCAAGTTATTGTTTACTTTTGCTTGTGATCTATGCGAGGCGGTAAGTTGAGTGCTTCTGTTAGGTGAGGCTATTTGTTGTGATAGAGGTCCGTTAGACTAGATGTATAAGCGGCATCTTGAAATAGCGTCTGAAGAGGGATCACAAGCGGGATTAATGCGACGTGTATTTACAGCTTCCACCTTTGTTGAGTCTACAGAGTACGGTTGATATATACTTGACAACTTCATCTAGCTTTATATACGACCGAGGAGCTAACTGCAAGGATCCATCTACTGTTTTCTGTCGAATGTTATCGTAGCTGCATATTCGACGCAATGACATCTTCTCGCGGGAAGTTGGTCATTTTCCACCGAGAGATGAAGTCATCACGGCTGACTATTTTCCAAAACGTTAGCTTCGTTTTCCAATTATACCGTCTCTGGAAGACAGCAAAATGGGTGAAAGAGTTAGTTATGTTGCTACTTACTATAAGCGCCGCAGATTCGCCGCAGCCCCTCAAAGGCGCTTCGCCCGTGAAGCACTCGCCAGTTGTCAAAGACTGTTGCGAAGAGTTTAGCATCACGGCGGACTTCAATTCCACTTCATTTCGGCACACTTACTAAGCACTCGTCCTGGCTCAAGTTGGAACCAAAACTCGCTCTCTTTACTTTTTAGTATCTCATCCCATTTCCGAGCCGCTTGGTACCACGCATCGACGTCGATATCCGTGGGCACAACACCTCGGTCGTCATTGTTCCACCTGATCCTGTGCAAGTTGCCGCCGTTGGTTTCAATGACAGGATATGCCATATCTGGCGCAATTGCAACGCCTTGGTTGCCGCTAGCGTGCCATGGCAGCTTGACTTTGCGTAAGATCTCAAAATCCTCTGGTGATTCTTTCCGAAGAGTCTCGGCGGCATGGAATCCATCTACGAGCAACGATTGCCCGCCAAGGACCTCGTCAGCGGGTTTATTGGCAGGCGGTGTGTGAGACAGCAGATGGAAAGCCTGTAGACCAGCCGGTTCCGTAAAATATGTTGTATCTGTATGGGCTGGGAGAGCCAGATTGGTGTAGGCCGTATCAGCGAGGGCTAGATCTGGAATGAAGTCGTAAAAGCCGCCATAGTGCGTGTTTCGTATAGGCCCGATAGTTTCCAGGAGCTTCTCAGTCGCCTCTGGCGTTTTTGGCGAGTCGGTAACGAAGCATAACCCATACTGACGCTACTCATGGTTAGTTTTTGATTAATCACTTTGATATAAACGTAGTCGGTACATGCAATCTTGCTGGTCAAGTCGGCCAGTCCCTTTGGAGAAGTACTGCTCATAACATCGTCAAACCGGACTTCCGGAGGAGCTGAAGCTATCGTGGCGTCCCAGAGCTTTCTTTCGCTACGCACAACATTAGTTGACCTAATAGTCAAAGCTATCAGGTACAATAATTTGCTCACTCTTGATTCGCAAGCTTCTTATTGCTAATGTCGCGAAGAGTGACGCTTAGCCAAGACCAAGGGTAGTGACTCTTGTGGGAATCCGACCCTAATAGAAAACAGTGAGTTCGCATCTTATAGAGCGAGAGGGTGGTGGTTTGTGTCTCAAGTACATAAAATATCGACGCCATCATTCTTGGGCGAGATCTCTTTGGGCGAGAGGTCTTTCGGTATCTGCAAAGCACAGCCAAATCAGCTGTCAGTGTCCTGGAAGAGCGTTCAAGGGCCAATGGCTACCGCGAAAGTGTCAAAGTTGCGCTGCAGGGTATCTTGGTTCACGCATTGTGCGCAGCGGCAGTTATCGCTGCATAAGAAGATTCGCTGTTAGTCTTGTGTTACATTCCATGCTCGATGCTGTCATATGCAGCATGTGAGCGCACACACCGGAGCCATAATTTAGATCTTGCAGTGTCAATTAGCGATTCCCCTCATACCAGACTAAGTAGCAGAAAGAGAGACGTGGCTACTTACAGTTCTGCTTTAAAATGAGATCCGGGCTCGTCGCTCTTGAAAACGAGTCCCTTGGAGCCCGCCTCGAGACTTGTTGCGTAGAATCGTGGTCTTGAAACAGCAGCCGAGGCATGCCGGGCAATGAGACCACTCCGGCCACTGAGACGCACAAGGCCGGAGCTGCATGTGCCACAAAGACTGAGCAACCTAGAACTCATAAGGGAGGAACAAGAATTCTTGTTACTTACCCAAAAGTACTGCGGCTTTTCAATGAGAAGAGCATGGCTCGAGCAGGAACACAACGATATGACAAAAACTAGTCTTTGATTCCATTGAGCCGGCGGGAAGATGTTGCCTTTCGACAGATATGGAGCCATGAGACGATAGCACGAGCTAATAATACCTAGCAGAGCTACTAGGGTGAGCTGTCATTAGGTAATACAGTTGCTAACTTGAGGGTCTGGGGTAGAAACATTTTAGATCTGCATGTTCTCCGTGCCTATCTTCGTTTCTAATATCAATAATACTCGTCTTCGAATCTGTCTAAGCGGCACTATCATTGCCGATTGAAATCGGAAGAGGTGCTATTTGATCGGCTGCAGGTGTTTGAGCCAATTCAGTCAGAATAACAGAGAATTTAGTCTTCGATATTGTTGACTTGAATTCCGACTCTTAAATTACACGTGAACAACCTTCTGATAATCATGGTTTTTTAATCGAGCTGTTTGTGTAAAATACTTATCCATCTATCTGCTTGTATCAAATATTTAGGACTGCTGGTAATCACTGTGCGCTCTCTGTTAAGATGAAGGGTTCCTGCATCTTTAAATTGCGTGCATGCTGTACATGTATTTAGCCGCGCGAAACAAGCGCTGATTCGGTATAGGCCACCCACGGATTAGCAGCCTGCCACTGAAGATAATCCGGCTCCCGGGGTCTATTCTTAGCGATCGTAGAGTCCACTACCTACCATGTAAAGTTTTATAGCTTCGTCAAAAACCACCTGTACGGAACACTTCTGCGAAACACGAGAATCCATATCACGTCTCCTTCATTGCAAGAAATCTTTCTTCTAGGCTGCGACACCTTATCGTTACTGCGCGACTTCACAACTCTTCCAGCGAGGCGTTTCCGATCGGCATATCGAATACTCGAAGAATCTACCGTCGCTATCACGATACTTTGCGCAGCGCCCTGCTGGCCATGGAAGCATCGTCATCCAAAAGCTGCAGCACGTTAGCTTAAATCTTGCGGGAATTCAGGCGCGTGGGGCCCTGGGAGAAGGCAAAGTTTGGCAGTATGAATTCGCGACAGGACGGGTTCGATACCTTTTACGACGACCAGGTCGCAGCCCGTCGACAGTTTTACGCGCGAGAACACGCTGTTAGTCGCACTAACGACGTTGCCGTTCTTCTTACCGTCACTGCCCTCGCGGTGACCTTTCTGTTCAGATATATAAGCCCTGACGGATCGCTTGAGGGGGCATTTTCGTCCATCGGCAACTTCCTATGGGACGCGCTCGAATTTATAATCCCTGCGCCGCTGCTTTTCGCAATCGACAGCTGGATGAATTCCGCTACTACATCACCGATGCACAATACTTTGAATACAAGTAACCATGCCTGCAAGAGTGAAGCCTTGCGGAGGGTGATGGGGTTGGATCGCCAAGACGGCGTAATGAACTCGGTCCTTCGTGCCAGAACAAGAGCTCTCTCCATGACAGGCAGTGTTTTGGGGCTTAAAATCGACTCAGACAGGCCCGCAGGATTGGGAAACAGGGACAACTCGTGTTACCAGAACAGCGTTCTCCAGGGACTGGCCTCGCTGCACTCAATGCCAGACTATCTCTCGGCGTGTCTTAAGGGCGCTGAAGAGTTTGGCGATGGCATGAACAAAAACGTTGCGCATACGCTGCGGTCACTCATCGCAGATCTAAACGACGTAACGAATAACGGAAAGACATTATGGACACCCTCTTTGCTAAAATCGATGAATACATGGACTCAGCAAGATGCACAAGAGTACTATTCAAAAGTTTTGGACGACATCGAAAAAGGAGCAGCCTTGATAGCGAAAAATGTGGCTTCTGCTACACCACTCATCGGACTCGAGGGCGGCGATTATATCGGCAGAGATGAATATTCTATAAGCGAGCATAGTGACGATAGCGGCTACCAAAGCCAATTGTCAAACTCCAGAGCAGAGTCTAAAAGGGCTGTGCGAAATCCCTTGGAAGGCCTTTTGGCTCAGCGGGTTGCCTGTGTCCAATGCGGTCACTCGGATGGGCTGTCCATGATTCCATTCAATTGCCTTACCCTTAGTCTTGGCCTTGACAAAAATCATCATGATCTCTATGAGAGACTTGATTCGTACAGCAAGGTTGAAGAGATTGAGGGAGTGGAGTGTCCGAAATGTACCCTGTTAAAGGCGCAGAGGCTTCTAACCAAGCTGGTAGAGAGACTGGAGGCTGGTGGCTCCACGAAAGAACAACTGGCTGAACCCTTGCGTAGGTTGGAAGCTGTCCAAACGGCCTTGGAAGAAGATGACTTCGCCGAAGAAACCATCAAAGACCGCTGCAAGATCACTGCTCAGAGCAGAGTCAATGTGACGAAGACAAAGCAGATGGTGGTTGCGCGACCACCTCAAAGTCTGGCTATCCACGTGAATCGATCTGTCTTCGATCCATCCACTTTTAACATGATCAAGAATTCGGCACCGGTGAACTTCCCAATGACACTGGATCTAGGCCCCTGGTGCTTGGGAAGCGCTGAAAAAGTGAAATCTGCAAACGAAAAGAATGCAGGGGATGGCCAAGACAGCGAAGAAGAGTGGCAGCTGCATCCCATGTCATCCATGGTGGCGGGAGATTTGGGAGAGTCACGATTGACAGGCCCTATCTATGAGCTGAGGGCGGCTGTCACGCACTATGGGCGGCATGAGAATGGGCATTATATCTGCTATCGCAAATACCCGCCTTCTCATCCAGATGATTTGAATGACGTGCACGAGAAAACCGCAATTCCACCTCAAGAAATAACACACAAAGAAACAACGGATAGTACCGTCGATGACGACCCGGCGGACCCAAACACAGAAGAAGAAACTAAGAGCAACAGCTATGGCAACAGAGATTCGTCTTGGTGGAGGCTGAGCGATCAGAATGTGTCACAAGTCAATGAAGAGACAGTTATGAGCCTATCGCCGGGAGTATTTATGCTGTTTTACGAATGCGTCGACCCCTCCATGATTTTATCATCGGAGTTGAAAGACAAGGTCACGGAGTTGACGAATGCCACAGCAGAAGTCGCCATTACGAAGCAGGATGAAAGCGAAGTGGACGATGCGACTACTTTGACTCCGGCAACGACGGTGACTTCAGACTCTGTAGAAGCCGAGCTGAAAGCAGCATCCGGGGATATTTTGGCCAACAGAGGCCCATCAATACAAGTCTGAGGTGCTTGCAATTCTTTTTTCCGCCTTTCTTTTCTATTCCCAATCTTCAATTACATTTCATCATCAAATTGCATAGCGATGGCGTTGGTGTAGAGTTTCGGACAACAGAGTCTGCGAGTATTGGATTCTTGACGATTCAGAGCTTGATTGGGAGAGCGCGTGCTGATGGGACAATGGACGGCACGCCATAACAATTTGGAATATCAAGGATGCTGGTCTGTTTCGTACCGATCGAGTCAAATAGTAATCAGTACTGCTCAGTGCCTCTGTAGTAACGTGTTTCTGCACAACTTGAAATAAGAGACAGTGAAAACACTATTCAGGATTCAAAATCAGATGCCCGCGTAACCCATGCTCGCGCACGCCATGTTCTACGTCAGCTGTGACTGATTGGCCGAGAAGAAATTTGCTGGAAGGACGGGTTTGCCGGGACTGCACAGCCACGGGGACTAATATAGCGATACAAAGAGGACTCGCGCTGACGATACCTCGAGATGATCGTTGCGCCGACTACGGCTAAAAGTTCTGTGAAGCTCCAGCATATCGCAGATAAAAACTCGTTGCCAGACCCGATCCGATGCTGTACTTGTGGTGTAATAAAACGCCGGTCTGGATCTCGCTGCATGCAGGGCTGCGCTGGCCTCCTGCAAGAATATAATAACCAAAGCTGGAAATGCGAAGGAGGGAAAAAAAACAAGCACTACGCTAGACAGGGGCGCCCTGAATCTCGGCCCAATCGGCGCCCCGTGCAGCACCATGGCGCTTCTACCCGCATAGATTTAGCGGCCTCAGCAGCTTGCTAGCGAGGCCATGCTGCCTGTAAGCCCGCGGCTGGCAGAAAGCTTGGCGGTCGAGCGCATGCTAGCCACGAACAGAAACGGGGATTTATGCGTCTGGTCTGGTCTGTTATACGCCAGTGGGTAGCGCCCACTCGGCTGGTGCAGGGCCAGGGGCTAGAAGGCTCTGTGGTTGTACTGTAGGTGGCGAGCAATTGTTGCAAGGGGGTGGACAGACCCCTTTTTTGGTGTATCTGATGTTGCAGGATCAGGTACGAGGATGCTAGTTTGCGGCTTTATGCCTAACATGAGGAGTGCTGAGCCAACAACGTGAAGAACATCAAATTGCGCTGTGGGAAAAACAGCCTTTTTGTCAGGTGTCTGTTCTTAAAGTCTAAAAGCGGCTAGAAGATTGGGGGGTGGGATGAGTGGGATGAACGTGGGCGGCGGAGAGATCGGCCGGTCAATATTTGTTCCTTTTTTTTTTTCTTTTTCTTTTACTTCGCCGGATCAGCTACCCGAACATTACGTGGCGAACGCGACGATGCCGACCAGCAATGGAGACAAAGCGTCACTAAGAAACGGTGCACGGCTTTTCTAGATGAAGGATGTTGGTAGCGAGTCTAGAGCTGGTAGCAGCGATTGCACTTGATAGATACGAGGTGGGGAGGGAGCACAGATTCGTTGAAAGCCGCTGAGCTCCGTCTGTGTGGAGACGGCGAGAGGAACAGGCCCGCTATAGCAAGTCCGGCGTGGCAGAGGTACTGGGCGGCTACGAAACACTTTGTACCTTTTGACCTGCAGCATTGCTTGTTCGCAAAAGAGACACCATGGCTTCTTTTATGAATGAAAAGGTGATTTATCCTGTAGTAGGATCAGCAGATGCGGATGAATGCGCCGGCAGAATGTCGCGAGAGGCCATTCATCCAGCGTCGGATTTGCTCGGCGTGTATAGCCAGAAGAGCCCTATGCCAAATACCAGACCTCCGCTGCCTTTCCAGCTCCAGCTACCTTGAGCATAGCTGGCGGCAGGTACCATCCCTAGCGGTCGAGCGCGGCAAACCTCCGTGATTTAGTAGTCGCTGCAGTACCTCGTATCAAGTACACGGCTCATAGCGTATAAGGCACATGTACCTGACAGCAGCAACAAAGCCGCAGCGACCTCCCGCCTGCCAAACCGCTTTCCGCGGGGCACTGACGCTTTAGGGGCGCCTTGATGCGACTCGGCGGACCTTCTGAAAGCTCCTGCCCATGCCAGCCAGATGCAGCCAAAGGCAGGAAGGCGCGAGACGCTGCGGTGCTTGCCCGTCGCTTTAACTCTGGCCATGGCCATCTAGACCCATCAGGATTGGTCAGGTCCTGCGCCCGGCCGCGAATTCATCCTTTTTCATCTTTTCTTACCTTTAAAGCCCAAATTCTCCTTCTTCCTCTTCCATTCACTCTCCTCCAATACCCGCCGAGCTGCTTCGCCCATCCCTGCTGCCTTTGCGAATTCGCTGGGCCCAGATTCCTCTCCCTTTCTCTTTCTGGTTTTTTGGTCGGCGCCGGGCTGAGGGGAAATAATCTTCTTCATCTTCCGTCATTTGTTCATATTCGGTCGTTTTGTTTGCATCTCATTGTTTGCGGCTGAGCTTTGCGAATTTGTCTTTTTCTGCTCTCTTTTTCTTGGCCGAGCCCGAGCTGCATCTTGATTTCGGAGTCGCCTCTACTTCTTTTTTTGGACCCAAGCCGTGTCTTGGCATCGGTGATCCTGTCGATCCGCCAGCCTCGGCATCATAATACGGAAACAGAAGAGGAACAAAGCGAAAGACGAGAAAAAAAAATCACAGTCGATATTTTTGAAAATCGAAACGAATTGCTTCCTGCATAGAGACTTCAATTGGATAGGTCGATAAGTCTGTGTGCGAATTGTTACGGATTCATTAATCGCTCGCATTTACACGATACTCCCGAGTGCTTTCGCGACGGCGCATCCTAGTGCTACGGGAGAGGCAGTGGGCCGACGTCGAGACGAGCCATTTTACCATCTTCCAAACTGGATTTCATACTTTCCTGGTCGATCGGAACACGACAGCGAGACTCGGTTCTCAATCGACTCTGCACACGCTGCAGTGGTTTTAATTTCTCTTCCTAGCAAGGCTAGTTATGACAGTTTCAAATTCCAACGGCGGCTTAATTCCTATGATGGAGATGATACCCTCCGTGAAGTTCAATATCCCCATTTGGGCGCATGTAATGTAAGAGACATGCCCTTTTCTGAATGGTGTGCGCAAGTGCACAGACACAGAGGTGACGAGATCGCATGAATCCGAGGGCTAACGATTTGAACCACATAGAAATTGGATGTTCTTTTCGAATGTTACCATCATCTTCAATAAGTGGCTATTAGACACTGCTGGATTCAGTAAGTATCCGACCTTTCTGACAAATATGGCGAATGGGAGTCGCTAACAAGCAATTCTAGAATACCGTAAGTTCGAAAATTCACAAGCCGCGCGTTCTGGGGGGAAAGAAGGAAAAAGGTAATCACCGACAATTGCATGCTAACTTTGTGAAATAGCCATCATCCTCACCTGCTGGCATCTCATCTACGCCACCATCGCAACTCAGATCCTCGCTCGCACGACGACACTTCTCGACTCCCGCCGCAATTTCCCAGTTACCGGCCGCCTCTACCTCCGCACCATTCTCCCCATTGGCCTGCTATACTCCGGCTCTCTCATCTGCTCCAATGTCGTGTATCTCTATCTCTCCGTCTCCTTCATTCAGATGCTCAAGGCCGCCTCGCCAGTTGCTGTGTTATTCGCATCCTGGTCTTGGGGTGTTGCCGAACCGAACTTGGCCAAATTTCTCAACGTCCTGGTTATTGTCTTTGGTGTTGCTGTCTCGAGTTTTGGAGAGATTCAATTTTCCTGGACAGGATTCTTCTTCCAGATTGGAGGCACCACCTTCGAAGCTGTTCGCGTTGTTATGATCCAGGTCATGCTTAGTGGTGAAGGACTCAACATGGACCCCCTCGTCAGCCTCTACTACTATGCGCCTGTCTGCGCCGTCATGAATTTCCTCATCGCACTTGTTGGCGAAGTGCCGAAATTCAAATTGGAGCACGCTGCTCAAGCTGGCTATGGAATGCTCTTCCTCAATGCCTCCATTGCGTTTATCTTGAACGTCGCCAGCGTATTCTTGGTATGCTTATCCCATTTGAATCTGCATTTCAAGTCTCTGCTCGTCTTTGATATTTTTTCCAACGCTAACAGTCATGGTTTCGTAGATTGGCAAAACTTCAGGGTTAGTCATGACTCTTACTGGCATCTTCAAAAGCATCCTGCTTGTCGTTGTCTCTATTCTGATCTGGTCAACCCCGATTACGTTCCTCCAAACTGTGGGCTATACCATAGCTCTTGCAGGACTCACTTATTATTCCCTTGGATACGACCAGCTTGCTAGCATGGGCGCAGCAGTAGTTAGCTACACAAGTGAATTCTTTTCAACGAGTGGAGGAGGCGGCCATGTGATGCGCTCAAAACGAATTATAGTGGTCGGCCTATCTTCGCTGGTGGCTATGATTGTTGTCCTTGAGTTGACTATGAGTGAATGGGGGAGAAGGCTACTGGGAGGACCTTCGTGGCATGGGGGTCATCGTTTCAGCCCGAATTACGGGCATCACGCGAACAACGGCAGCCACTAACTGCAGTCTATATAAAATAAAAACGAGAGACGAATGATTCTATAATATTTCACGCCATGTTTTGATATAAGACAGCATAATAGGCGCTGTCGAAGTTTATGAAGAGAGTTATACCCAATCAATACATCCAAATTCAATCACATTCAACTGGTCGTGATAATCAGCAAACAAATTGTTTCTTGATCATGCTTTCCCTCGCTAGTCCGTAACTGCCATAAGCTAAGCTTCAATGAAGCATCCCTTTTTTTGTCCATGACCTTTTCTATCCATTATCTAGGGTATCTCTTGCATTTTATTTAGAAGCCGATTGATTTTCATGAATGCCCCTTTTCCTCAACCTGTAACACACGAGTAACACCAAAGCAGCATTAAAGGGGTTAAAAAAAAAGGTTCATCTTGAAATTGAAAAACTGCGAGAAATTAAAGAGGTTCCTACACGCTAGCAATCTTTTCCAAAAGAGCTTTCTTCCTTCTTCATCATCGACTTCTACTCCGACGGCGGCTTCGGCTGCGATGTCTCTCTCGGCGAGGCGATAGGCTGCGATCTCGTCTGTTGCGCCTGTCACGGTCGCGGTCGCGGTCGCGGTCGCGGTCACGATCGCGATCTCTGTCTCGATCTCGGTCTCGATCTCGGTCTCGATCTCTCTCCCGGCTACGGTCCCGTTCACGATCTCTTCGATCACGGTCTCTGTCACGGTCGCGTTCTCGGTCTCGGTCTCTATCGCGGTCTCGTCGGTCCCTGTCCCTGTCCCTATCTCGGTCTCTGTTGTCTCGTTCGCGGTACCGGTTCCTGTCCCGACTGTTGCTGCGCGATCTGCTCCTAAGTCTCTCGTCCCGGGCTCCAGGAGCATATCTGTCAACTGCTTGTCCATCACCCTTGTGTCGTGTCGCAAGTGTCTTCTCACCACTATTCTTCTTGTCGTCAACGCCGGGGATCGGCAAGCCTTTCTCTCTGGCGTCCTTCTGAGCCGCCAGGTAAGCCTTGGCCTCCTTCTCCCGCTTTTTGACTTCCTCGAGTTTCCACTCTTCGAGCTCATCCTTGGTAGTTGAGTGTGGCACAGTCGATGAGCCGGGACGAGACCGCGATCGGCTTCGCCGATCTCGTGTACGATCTCTTTCTTGGTCTCGGTCCTTGTGATCCTTTTCTCGGTCTCGATCTTTGTCTCTATCGCCAGATCGATCACGGCTGCGGCGGCGAGGTGATCGAGCGTCTGACCTAGTAGGATAGTAAGAATCTGCAACACCAACACCAACACCAACACCACGCCGACTATCCCTCGACCGGCTGCGGTGCCGTCGAGCAGCCCGTGAACGACTTCTCTCTCGTCGGTCCGTTCGTAAATGCGAGCGTGAACGATCTGGACGCTCTCGGCTACGCTCCCTACTGCGGTCCCGGCGGTCGGGTTTGGCTCGTGAACGGCTTCTCTCGCGCCTAGTAGATCGAGCCCGTGACGGGCTTGGAACTCGCCGTCGTGAGTTGCTTCTAGCAGAGCGGTCACGTTTAGGCCTCGAGCGGCTTCGTTCGCGTCTGTCGTCCCTTCGCTGTCGAGATCGGCTTCTGTCCCTCCTCAGCTTTGAGCGGCTCCTATCCCGCCTATCCCTGATTCTAGAACGGCTGCGGTCCCGCCTTGGCGAGTCGGATCGATGATCACGGCGACGTCGATCATCAGTGTCTCTTTGGTGGCTTCGATCTCTGTCTTTGGCTCTATCAAGATCCGCATCATGAGCTCGGGACGGACTTCTACTAGAACGACGCTCCTCTCTTAATCCGGATTGTTTCGGGTCCATAGACGATTTTGAGTCCCTTCTATCGATGGGTTTTCTGGACTCGGCAGTTTTCGATGAATCCCTTCGAATTGGGTTGATAGCTGAGGCTGGGCCAGTCTTTCTAGGAGGGGGGGCCAAGGTAGAATCGATATCCATTTCGAGCTTTGCGCGAGTCGACTTGCTGCTTTCGCGCAAAAGATCGGCCAAAGCTTCCTGTTCCAGTCGCTCATGGTCCTCTTTAGACATCTTTTTCTTCAACTCCTCGGGCAGAACCGCGTTTTCTTTACGTGAACTTTCGCCTTCCCGGTCACGGTCACGGTCACCTTCACGTTCTCGGTCTCGTTCTCGGTTTCGATCGCGGCCTCTGTCACTGACTCTGTCCCTGTCCCTGTCCCTGTCCCTGTCTCGATTTCTATCCCGGTCTCTGTCTCTGTCTCGATCAGTATCTCTATCGTCCCTTTCTCGCTTCTCTCGCTCCTTGTGCCTTTGTTCTCGCTCCAAGTCGCGCAGTCGCTCTCTCTCTTCACGATCCTTCTCTCGCTTTCGCCGCCGCTCGTCTCTTTCTTCCTGGCGTTTGATCTCAGCCTTTTCACGTTCCTTTTCTTCTTGACGGCGCTCTTCCTTCGCGATCCGCCTCTTTTCCTCTTCAATGGCTGCTTCTTTCTGTCTCAGCTCTTCCCGCACCCTTTCACGCTCGGCTTGCTTGGCTGCGGTGTCGGCAGCATAATCTTCATCGGTCTTTGCTCCACGTTCCTGCTCTTCGCCGGCCTCCTCCTTGCCAATCTCTGCTCGCCTAAGTTCTCGAATGCTTTGCTCAATCGCTTCGACGTCAATCAGCTTCCCAATGACTTCTTCAGCTTTGTGGTACACGCCTGATCGTTCCAATGCGCCATCAATCAGCGCTGCAGCTTTTCTCCGGTCCAAGGTGAGGAGTTGGTGCGGGTTGCGCTCAACTTCTTGTTCAGCAACCTCGAGAATTGCTTTTGTAACTTGAGCCTCATAGTCCTAAAAGAGAGAGAGAGGAAAAAAATTAGTAACGGCAGAGGAATAGATAGCTGCTGATTGTTGTTCTGCATACGCTAGCTTCAAACTTGTCCCAAACTTGCTTCCTTATTGAGTCGTAGGCGCCTTCTTTCTTGAAGCTATGTGCCAGTGATTCGATGGCTGCCCGCGTCGCCGATGGCAGCGGCAATTCAGATGCCTTGAATTTCCGCGGCGATGGACCAGCACTCGGATCGCTGGCCATGTTCGACTGTTCCGCAGACGTCGCCATGGCGCTGGATTTTGTGTCTGCGTAGAGCCGCAGGCTGGCGCCGAGCGTGTCGTAGTGCGCGCGCCTCGCCTGGAGATTGGAAAAATCGATGGTTCGAGTCAAGACATGCCGCTAGATCAAAATTGCCTCGAAGCGCTAAACGTAGCCTGTTAGACGAGCTGTAGAGTACAATGTTACTTGGTATATCGCTATGTTTTCATTATCTGGAGGGAGGTGCAGTGTTGAAGGGCTGAAGTGGCATACCATCAGGATAACGCCTGCTCACGTGACGCATATCGTCGTGCTGAAAACCTCAAGCTTGTGTATCTATCAAGGTGTTTCTGCCATTGGATGACAAAACTGACACTGGGAACTGAGTACCTATGCAATCTCTACTACATTTTACGGTCATACATTCACTTGCAACGAACAGAATGGGTCTCCTCATTTTTCCAAGTCTACAAACCATCAGTGATTTCTTCTCTCATCATCAGCAATACAGCTGTCATCTCAGTTCTGCCACCTGATTATAATTGTAAATGTATTTGTATTTGCACTCATTTTATGCTATCAGCATTGTAGAGCAAAAATCCTAAAATAGACAACATATACTACCAAATGCTCTGCTTTCTAATAAAAGAACGGATAGTTTTTCAAGGCTATTCGTGCATGCGTATGAATGAAGGTATAGTCGTGATGCCGTCATCCCATCATAAAATTCGTTTGTAGCGGAGAGTTTCCTTTTATTCCGTCGCCCCTGAGAGATGTGTACCGATATTCTTCCCTCCTTCTTTTCCCCTTTTCTCCCTGACTTTCATTTCTCAAGTGGTATACACAGTCCGTTTCGACCTGTACTTGTTTCGTTTGTGTCTTCGTCTAGAACTCACCATCGCCGCCGTGTCCAACCATGTTCGCTCCCCAGAGGCCAACCAGTCCCCACCAGCCGATTCGCCATCCTCTCCAGAGACCCTCCATGCCTTGACCCTTCTTGTATGTCGGCTGGAGGTTCTTGGTCTTGAGTTTGCCTCGCTTGCTTACTACGGGCTTGGGTGGAATCTCCCGATTGCCCTCTTCGGTGACGATGTGATACATTGTACCGAAGACGCCGTAGTATTTCCCAATGGGCACAATGGTCTCCAGAGCCGGTTCGCCGTCATTGAGAGCTTCCAAATACTCAGGCTCAGAGAGCACGGAGAGCTGACCTCGGCGCAGAACGGTCTCTAGCGGAAGCTTAATCAGAATTCCAACTGAAGAGGCAACAAACTTTGCAACGGAAAATGTCATGGGCGCAAGCTCGCTTGTGACCATAAATTTGGTTTTTAAAGCCAAGGGAGTGGATAGAGTGAAGAGGGGGTTGATGAGGGAGTGGAGGATGGTAGGAGCAACGATGGCGGGGGGGCAGTAGTAGGACGGAAGAGCTCGAAGGCTTGCAATCGTCCTTCGCTGTCCCTTGAAGGGGTTGGTGAGAATCAATCTGGCATCATGTCAGTCCCAAAGCAAACGATATCGAATAGTTACGGTACATACCTCGTGCGGATGAGATCTAAAGGCGCAAGGGCAAGGCTAGTCGTGACAGCCGCGGCGGCAGCCACAAGTAATGAGGCCCAAGGGTACGGGGAAGCAATGTCGACAACACGATCGATGCTGTCTTTCACCCCCAGATCCGGCACATTGAAGACGGCGCTCAGGAAGCTTCTTGACCAGTTCTCTAGCAAAGACTGTAGAACGGTGTACAGAAAGGTTGCATTCGCTCCTTTCCATACTCCCCATGCGCCATCCCTCTGCCATAGCTGCCCAATGACGTCGAGAATAGCGTCGGGCCGGCGAAGATTTAAAAAGTGCTCGGGAAGAACTACTTCTTTCTTCGGCGTTGTTGGAGACTGCAGAGGCGACTCTGTGCGCCGACTACTAGGTCGCTTCTCGGGCTGGGGCTGGTTTTGGTTCCAGGGATTCGGTATGGTGGGATCGTTCGATGTGAAGTATGCCGGCTCCTCCCCGTCAGAATCCTCCTATTACAGTTTCCTGTTAGCAAACAACACATGGCATTGGCGAGTAACCCCAGGGAAACAACGCTTACATCAAATGCCGAGCCAGCTCGACTTGGTACCTGAGGTGCAGGAGCTGCCTCTGGCTCTGCAGCCACTGTAACGGCAGCTTTTTCGTCTTGATCCCGAGCCTGCAAGATCATCTTGGCAACCTCGAAAGGCTGCCCAATCAGTACGGACAGGTACTTCCATATCAGCTCGTCAACAAGCTCTCTGGCACTTTCGACGACCGACGGCGATGGCTCGCCAACCAACCCCTTGTAGTCGAGATCATTGAGCATGTGCTTCGCTTTGGAGGCGTATTTGGCGCCGCTAGCCACATCGTAGCTGTTGCCACCGGAAAACGGATTCGAGCTGGGGATCGATACCGGTTCGGCCTGCTGTTCGATCGTGGGAGGCCGGTAGTACGGCCGTAGAGGGTTCACGGTTTCTTCTTTTAGGGACGCCATGATTTATTTAAGAAGAGAGAGATTCCAGATCCCCGTCTTTTTTTGCAAATACCCAAGTTGGGCTCCTGAGGTCGAGTCATTGAAGAGCTGGGGGGGGGAGCTACTGTTTGTGCCTCCCCCGGTAGATGAATTGTGCAGCCGATAAGCATCGTTATCGGGCGGCGGACATTTCACGCTACCAAGAATTTCCAGCTTCGGAGATGCGAGCCTCCAGCGAACCGGAGACGGTTTATTAACGAGCGTATCCGGATCTACTCTTTTGTGGTTCTTTCTGTCGTAAATTTGCTTTGACACGGTCTTGGGATACCGGCGATCCTGCAGCGTTGCCCAATTTCAGTTTGCGACGACGATATATAGGCCTTCTTCGCCTCCGTCGCAATTTTTCTTTCTAGCTGCCACCGAGTTCCGATACGATCCAACGCTCCACATGTCGGCGTCCAAAACACTCTCGCGAAGCCTGGCGAGGCTATCGCAAGTGGGATACCGTCCCTTCATGAATGCGCCGCCTAAAAGCCTTATTTCCACCAGTGCCTCAACTCAATGCGCTCCTATATTCAGGGCTCTGCAGTCTCGTCAGTTGCCTCTGAGCCGACGAGCATTCTCCACAACGCCCCAGCAGCGGCACGGCCATGTCACCCCGCCAAAGGCCGGCGAAGAGTGAGCAACAAGCGATTTTGGCCACGAATTGGAGTTTTCACAATTGCTAATAAGTGCGCAGACTCTGGGTCACATTTATTGACAAGGATGGCGAGGAACACAAGTTTGCTGTCTCGGCCGGTGATAACCTGCTCGATATTGCCCAGGCCAACGATCTGGAGATGGAGGGCGCCTGCGGGGGTTCATGCGCATGCTCGACTTGCCATGTCATTGTAGAGGGAGAAGATCACTATGACCAGATGCCCGAGCCCGAAGACGACGAGAACGATATGCTGGATCTCGCCTTTGGCTTGACCGAGACGAGTCGTCTGGGCTGCCAGGTCAAGATGACAAAAGAGCTGGACGGCTTGGTTGTCAGGCTGCCTTCCATGACGAGGAATATGCAGGCTAGCGACTTCCAATGAATAAATAGGAGTCTCTTAATGTTGATATGACGAATAGACGAAGAAGGAGCCTTGTATTTTTAATGTTGAACAAGCATAGAAGCGGTGGGAGAGGCCGGCGAGCCTCGGTTGGACACAGAGCATTGCCCTAGGAGGGGGTATCTTTGATGTGAAATATTGTATACCTAGTGATAGTAACTAAAATCTCAAGACAGGCCGAAAATCGCTCCCTATATAGATACATATTGTGGAGGGAAAAACCATAAGCAAGAACAAATGCACAAAAAAAATATGAATATTACCCCCTACGCCTCTTCCAAAGGAGCCTTCTTTAAACCGCCTCCTCCCGAAGCAATCAGGTCCAAAAAGCCCTTCTTGCTCATCTCATTGATCTTCTCGTCTCTCGTATTTTTACCAATGACACCCTCCTTCCTGACACTTTTCTCTGCATCAGCAGCCTGTACCTGGGCGGCTCTTACAGCATTGAACATGCGGATGACACCTCTCTGGGCGGTCTTGCGCAGGCCCTTCTCAATGGCCAGGATATCGGAAGTTGTCATTTCCGGCTCACCCGACTCATCGATTGTCGCTACCAAAATATCCTTGACACGACCCTTTTCCAACGCAACTCTCTTCTGCTCCTTGAGCTTTCTCCGGGCCTTGGCCTCCAGCGCAATATCCACGGCAGCTTTGGAAGCCTCATGCGCAGCAGCGCTTCGCGACAAGACTGGATCTGACCGTTTTGATGCGGATAGCTTGGTTGATAGAATCTTGGACAGAGACGTAGCGAACGCAGTGGGGTCGTTTCGTTTTGACTTTGTCTTTGTTTCGCCCATGTCAAACTCCTCCATGTCGTCGTCCTCGTCGTCATTTTCCGACTCGCTTCTCTCTTCTTCTGCCTCTTCCATGTCTTCGTTGTCGTCTTCCTCTTGTTGCGCAGCCTTGCGCTTTGGCTGTTTTGACTTTTTGTTCTCGGCATTGGCCTTCTTCACCACGGGTGTTTCCTCATCTGAGCTGGATGACAAGTTTTCATCAGCATCAGCGCCATCGTCCGCGGGCGCATTGTGAATGTCGTCGTCGGAATCTAGCAGATTGACAGCGTCAAAGGCCTGCTGTTCCTGCTCTTCTTCATTGTCTGAGTCGCTGTTGTACGCTTGTGCTTGTCGCTGCTTTTTAGTTGGGCGATGTGATTTGTTATCATGGCGTCTCTTCTTGTTCGGTAGTCCCGCCATTGTGTCGAATTGCTTTGGTAGTGATCTGGTGATGCCGTCTCCAGGATCTTCCTAAAAATTCAAAAAAGTTCTGGGCCAGGACCGATTTTGCCGGGTACAACTTTTTCGCTGGAGCTGCGGCTGCGCAATGGGGAAGGCGGTGACGGTGCCCCGCTAGAGAGCTTTCAGTAAGCGGAGGTACGTACTCTGGACCCTCGCGCAGCATCGCAGCTCGGGGTGTCACGCCAAGTTGAGATCCCTCAGGATTTGTTTTTTGTGACGTACGACCGCAGCAGCGTTTTGGCGAAAAATCATATCTTACGGTTAATGATAGATTCTTCTCACTTCCAGAATTCAATAACCAAGGCTGGCAACTACAATTGCAACGCCATTCATCTCTCTCCAGTTATTTACACTTGGCGGTTCAAAAGCCCGATTCGGGGTCGGCTTTTTAGCGGGGCAATAGCCGGTGCCATTCGGCGCATCTCCATTGAGCTTGGCAGCAGCATTGCGCGCTTTCATTAAGAGCTTCACGAGAGCTTCTTTGAGAGCTTCACTGGGTGCTCCATCACGCAACGCATCCTATCAGCTTCATCTTCCACCTCTCACTTCATTCGACAACGCTGGTACAGCGGCCTTGGCCAAGTCTCCAGCGGAAGAGCCAGTGACCTGTCAAACTGGTCCTCCGCTCTTTGCTCTCTGAATACATTACAACCGACAAGAAAAAGCGTAGTTACTTGACGACCTGTAATTACGCAATCATGTTCGGCCAATATTCCCTAAACACCAGTCCTACCGATAACAACTACCGGGCGCCGAAGCTCAACCACAAGAAGTCTCGCTTTGGCTGCCAGCGATGTCGCATGCGTCGCGTGAAATGTAACGAGGCAAAGCCAGCATGTCACCACTGTGAGCGTCATAGAGCGCAGTGCATCTATGATCGGCTTCCGCGGAGTGCAAAGAGCAGAGAGTCGTCTCCGGCATCTTCATCTCGGCCCCTTACTGGTGAGGCCAGGACCTCTGAGAGTGGCTCTGACAAACAGTCTCCTCTGTCATCGGTGGACACGTTGGATGACGATGCCCCGGAATCAAAACAGCGGCGGCTTCTGGAGGCGAGACTGATGCATCTCTATCTCACCGAGACGGGTCCCTCCTTGCCTATCGATGACATAACTCGCCCAGTCTTCGCCAACATGATGCCCAAGCTAGCCCTAGACTCAGAAGCCCTGCTGTATTCCATTTATGCTCTCGCAGCCATCCATTCGTGCGTGTGCAAATTAGATTCTACTTATGACGGACTCGATGTTCATAGGAAGTATTTAGCAATGGCTTTGCACGAACATACAAAGGATATTGCGGAGCTCAGCGAGTCGAATTTCGAAAGCGTGTTTCTCACGACGCATTTGTTGCGCGTGTGCATGTTTGCCAATCTGCGATTTCGAGACCGTTCACCGTATACTCCTCCTCTCGAATGGATATTAACAACGGGGACGCAGCAAGCCCTCTTCAATAAAGCTTGGCCCATTATCAGGGCTCATCCGGAATCCATTGCGGCGCGTATGTTGACGACCTCACCCATCATATACGATGCCGAGGAAAGATTCGGCGAGAGCCAACGAAAATGCCTCGAGTATGTCCTTGAGCGCGACGCTGAAGACGAAGCGTCCGAGCCGTGGGATCCAGAGATACAGGACGCGTATGAGACGACGCTCAGCTACCTCGGCGGCTGTTTGCAACTGCTGGATCCCAGTAGTGAAAGATTCAACGTCAACGACGCGAGGAGGAGGATGATCCTTTTCCCCCTGGCCGTGAAGAAGAGTTTTCTCGATCTCACGCAAGAGGCTCGCCCGCGGGCCATGGTGGTCATGGCGTACTATTTTGCAATTCTTGTCATCGAGACGACGTGGTGGGTTGGCGACGTGAGGACGCTGGAGGTGCGGGCCATTGCCGAGAGCCTGCCAGCCAAGTGGCTCAAGATGGTCGAGTGGCCATTGCGAGTAGTAGAAGCTGGAGCTATTCTGCCGATTTAACGAGAAATCTGGGGGTCAAAGAGGACGAAGCGGAATGTTGTTTCCATCTAGCCAGCGTTTGTTTAGAGTGAAGTCTCTGGTACGAAGTAGGTACTGGCAGCAAAAGTACATGCAGTAAATAGAAGAACAATAGCGTCAAATCTCCTGCTGAACAACACCCCCTCACAAAGTATTGATTGCTTATACTACCAATGTCCATCCTCCTATCCACATTACGTGTTGCTTGCAGCTTCGTTCTCGCTTTCGACTTATACACCAATCCAGATCGTTCTCGTTCTTCTGAATGGGGTTTAGCCTCTCTGATCCATCATGCAGCTCGCTTTCGCTCTGTCAGTACTAGTAGCGCCACCATAACACCATCCCCAACTGAAGCGCTGTGCGTTCTGAAGAGGCAGCAGTACATTGTGTATGAACCTCATCGTGGTATCTGGTGGAAACTATGACACTCCAATCTTCGCTTTCGCTTTGTGGGCGAGAAGATGTCGAAATATCCGCATTACCTCGGCATTATTGTCCGCGTTGCCCGTGTAAGTGGCAGCAGGATGGGCTTCATAAAAAAGATATAAAGGCTCGACTGGCGACGTTAAGAGAGCAGCTTTATGATCGGAATCAGATCAAATACCAAGCAATACTATCAGTTACAATTCACAAGACTATTCCCATTACTTACCCGTTTTAAATAAAATTTTTGTTGAAACTCTCGCTTCACATCTCTCAACTCTTCAACTCTCAGGTTATAGAAGCCAGAGCAAAAGTAACTTCAAACAAAAGGCACAATACTCCCACAATGCTCCAACTAAGCCCCGATACGAGCTTCCACTTCGAAATCCTCCGCGCCGTCTCCCTCGCGCCCTACCAAGGCGCCGACGTGGGCGAAGTCCTCACCGCCGCCACAAAGATCATCCCAGGCGACTTCGAAAGCTACTACACTGCTTTCAACGACCTCGCCGTCCGCGTACACGCACAGGCTGAAGGGATTGATGCGAGCAAGTATCCGGTTTCTGCAAGGAACGCCTACTTCAGGGAGGCAACGTACCTCCGCAGCGCCGAATTCTACCTCCATGGCAACTGGGAGGACTCGCGCATAAACTCCACCTTTGCCAGACACAGATCCGCCTTTGACAAAGCCCTTGCGCTGCTCCCCGTGCCTGGCCAGAGAGTCACGCTCAAGGCTCAGGGGTTTGATGTCCCGGCCATCTTCTATGGCTGTGGACGCCCCGGCCGCCGGCCAACTATTCTCATGGGCAACGGCTATGACGGCTATCAGGAGGAGCTCTACCATGTTGCCGTCGAGGCTGCGCTCACCAGGGGCATCAACGTGATTACTTACGAAGGACCCGGCCAGCCCACCGTCCGCCGCGAGCAAAACGCCGGCTTCATCCACGACTGGGAGCGAGTCGCGTCTCCAATTGTTGACTATGTGCTTACACGAGATGATGTCGATCCCACAGCCATTGGCATTTGGGGATACTCGCTGGGCGGATATCTCGCTGCTCGTGCTGCGGCCTTTGAGCCTCGTCTCGCTGCCGTCATGGCCATCGACGGGGCCAACGACGTTGGAACCACAATCCACGACAAGTTTCCTCCAGAGATGGAGGCTCTATACCAATCAGGCAACAAAGAAGCTCTTGACCAGGCCATGGCGCAAGTCTTGGCCTCTCCGGGGGCGCCTACTCCTCTCCGCTGGGCTGTGACGCATGGCTTGTGGGCGTTTAATATCAAGTCGCCGTTTGAATGGGCAGCCAAGTTCGTCGACTTCAAGCTAGGCGATGCTATCCACAATATCAAGGTGCCATTCTTCGTGGCTGATGCAGAGGATGACGATGTCATGTCGCGGGAGGCAAAGGCCGTGGCAGACGCAGTCGGGGAGAATGCGACGTACCACTTGTTCACGACGGAAGATGGAGCTGGAGCGCACTGCTCTATTGGAGCGGCGGTGCTCCAGAATCAAGTTGTCTTCGACTGGTTCCAAGAGGTGATGTCGAAGAGGGCTTAAAGGAACGAAGTTTGAGAATTCAGAGCATGTAGGTACATTGTTTCAAACAGAGTTATATAAGAAGAAATAGCGCAGCATATTGTAAGCCACAAACCTCAAACGCTTTGTTTCCATACATAAAACCCAATAGAAAAGCAATACGCCCATCATAAAACTTGTTATCGTGTGAAAACCTCCCCATATAACTCAAATGGCCCCATTGCATCCCAAAACATATTCAGTGTATGACCATCCATACACAAACTGTCATCATATGTGCCTCAACATACATGTATAGGTTTAAAGGAACGCCCCAGCCAAAGGACAAACAGATTCCCAAAGGCAGATGCCAAACAAACTCCAAATTGTCTCGTCTTCCCGTGATATAGGGAAGGCTTACCAATTCTTAAGCCGATCCCAGAAAGAACCTGAAGCAGCCTTTTTCTCCTCTTCAGCGGGCAGTGGCGGCGCAGTGATGGTTGTGTTCCACTTCTCCTCGCCACTAATAAAGAGACGATACAGAAGCTTGCTGTCGCCATCCTCTTCTTCGATAGTAAAGGCACCAAACTTGGACATGCCAGAGTGATGATATCTGTAGGTATTGTTAAAACTTTTCTTCAGTGGCATCAATGGGGTCACAGCAAACTTACTGGATCAAAACGTCTTCATTGTCCACTTGCTTATACGAAGGGATAGGGGAAGCAAACTGGTTGAGCGGACTTGTAGAGAACTCGTAGACAGTGGCCTCCTCTGGCCAGTCAGATTCTGGCGGGGGCGGGAACTTAGTCGCTGCGAATTCATGTCTATCGCCAGACAAGACCACAACTCCGACTCCTCGAGCAGAAACGCCCCACATGGCTTCAAGAACCTTCTTTCGCTCGACCAAGAATCCGCCCCAGGTATCCTTTACATTCACAGGCCAGTTCTTGGTAAATGGAATAGATGATGCGACAAACTTCCATCTGACGCCCTGGGGCTCCGGGCGTTTGAGCCAGGCCAGAAAATCAGCCAACTGGTCAGCACCCAGCATCGTCTTCTCTGTATCCTCAAAAGGTGTCTTGTTGCTAGATCGGTAGCTGCGAGTGTCGAGCATAAAGAAGCTCACGGGACCCTGCACAAATTCAAACCAGGTAGCGCCAGGGCGGCGCTCACTCTTCGTGCCTGCAGCTATAGCAGCTGGAGGGTTGATCTGAGCTTGATATATGTGCCAGGGGTCCACGGCATTTTTGTAAATACCAGTAGTGTTTGCATCCCAGTCCTGTTTTGTATTAGCCGGATGCCAAAGACGCAGCACATCAGTGAGAAAAACTTACATTTGCAATCTCATGATCATCAAGGACATGAATCCAGCTCAAGTTTTGGCCAACAGTGGGCCACTCCGGAGAGGCATAGACCTGACGATACTGCATACGATACTCCTCAGCGGACTTTCCAAAGCGCTCGGGAACATCGACGTAGATGAAATCGCCCAAGAAGAGCATAAACTGAGCACTTAGTTCAGGCAATCTCTTGGCGAGATTCCGTAGGCCCGGAATTGCAAGGGGGTGGTCCAAGGGATTGTAAGGGAAACGAGGTAAGATGCACGAAGTAGACAAAAACGTATATTTGCCTCCATTCTGAACCGGCATCTTACCAGGCTTGGGTGCAGCCGTCAGTTCACCCGTGTGGTTGTTCGAGGTCCTCCATTCATACTTTTGCTGCTCTGTATAGCTCAGGAGCGGAATCGTAAGCGCGCCGGTGAAATCAGTCTCATTGGTGGTCGCTTTCACACTGCCAACAGACTGCCAAATGAGACCGTTGTAGTGTCGGATCTGGAATGTGACGGGCATCTTGGTCTGGTCGGGCTCTCGAATAAGAAAATTGGCCTCGTTGTGCGAGACAAACCCAAGTCGCACAAAAGACAGGTCATTAGCCGGGTAATACCACCTGGCACGGTACAGAGCGTCGGCAGTAAGACCAACAAACACCAGGTTAATGAGAAAGCTCAGCAGAGAACTGAACGGTCGCTTCGAACTAGGAGCGCCATAAAAGATGATTTTCCATGCTGGGACATCTTTTCCGGCAAAAGAGATGGTTTCTTTCACATCCACCTCCTCGGCGACAAGCTCCTCATCGTCATCGTCATCGATTACAGCTTCTTTGATAGTGACATCAACGCGATCACCCACAACTTCAAGCTCGGGTGAGGAGAACAGGCTCGTCAAGAAGGACGGGATGTATATGGCGAACAGGGCGAAGATGATGGACGGCAGATGAGCCTAAGCGTGGTTAGGCTGGCGTGTTTACTTACTTTCACGGCCTCACGGGCAACGGCAGACTTACAGGAAACTATGCAGGGCGTCAGCTAACATTACACACATCCGGGCACAAATCAGAGGCCAGCACGTACAGCACGGAAAAAGGCAATGGACCCTATCCTTATTGCGACCGAAGACGCATTGGCGACGGTTCTTTGGATGGCCATCTTGAGCAAGATGCCAGCTCGGCTCCCCGCAATGTGAGACGGGTCACTGAGAGGAGCAGGCCACTTGTAAGCAGTAATCAGAGAGGGGTTGAGGAGATGCGAATCAAAGCAGCGAAGCAAGAAAGAGGTCAAAATGTGCTCCCATCACCTCATGACGATGAGAATTTGGAAAGGAATAGAAAGCAGCTGGAAGGCGAGATTGCGGAATCGACGTCACCTCCCAATAAGAATAACAAACTGAGCGCGGGTGCGGGTGCACGCCAATGATGTAGCGGTGTCTCAGCCTGTGGCTAAGAGTGGTGCCGCCAATTTCCAAAACGCTGCTAAGGCAGAACCCGCTATTGCAGGCGATCCCACGCTGTGGCACCAGCGCCATAGGCATCAATGCAGAGCCTCTAGTGCGAGTGCGTGGGATCAGGGGTCGGCGGTGCAAAATTCCGCTCCGAAGTGCTCTCCCGGCAATTGCCCCCTAGCAGCTGTGGCTGGAGTGGCTGGTGGGCTGGACAGCTGCAGTGCAGTGTCGTAGAGTAGGCTTGCGCCAATGTGTCCCATTCAAGCCTCCCTGACAAGCACCTGGACAACGTCGACCAGCACAACGACACGATGAGATTCCCGACGCTGATAGCCGGCCTGATGGCCTTTATGGCCACCAATGTTGCTGCGACAGCATTGACCTACAAGCTTGCTGCGAACGAAAAGGCTTGCTTCTATGCGACCACGAAGAACCAGGACGAGAAGGTCGCCTTTTATTTCGCTGTTAGTTGGCGCCAGCCCCGTTGCGTTGCATTGCTGCATTGAGATGCACGCAACCCATCTTGGACACGAATATACTGATCATAGCGGCTGAAACAGGTTCAATCGGGTGGTTCGTTTGATGTCGACTACCTCGTCGAGGGTCCCGGTGGAAAGGTCATCCTGCAAGGCGAAAAAGAGCGACAGGGCGACTTCGTCTTCACTGCGCAGCTGATTGGAGAGTACTCGTTCTGCTTCGACAACGAGATGAGCACATTTTCTGAGAAATTCGTCGACTTCGAGATTGCTGTTAGTAGAAAGCAGCAAACCCATCTATGAACATGGCGTTCAAGCTAATCATCCTCCCTCCTAGGTCGAAAACGAGTCCCGAACCGCCCAGCTGCCCTCCAAACAGGGCTCATCACCAGAACAGACCTCGGTCCTGGAGGAATCCATCTTCAAGATCTCCGGCCAGCTGTCTACCATTTCCCGAAACCAAAAGTACTTTAGAACACGTGAGAACCGCAACTTCAGCACCGTTTCAAGCACAGAGAAGCGCATTGTCAACTTCAGCATGATCCAGATTGCTCTTATTGTCTGCATGGGTGCGCTGCAGGTATTCGTCGTCAGATTCTTCTTCCAGGGTGCTCGCAAGGGCTACGTTTGAGCGTATCGTGTAGTCAAGTGGTTTTACGTCTACATCTGTATACATAAAAAGTAGGTCAGGCACTAGGCTGCTAGTTGACACAAGAATGGATGGTGGACGTTGGTGTTTCTATGCGCAGGGACGGGTACTGGGGTAGGCCAGCGTGGCCGAAAAAGATCACGACAATAAGCGTGTTATGTAGCCTGAGAACGGCCGATGAAGAGCGTCATTGGATTCTCGGGAAATAATAATGAAAACAAGGAGATGCCATTACAAAAGAGAAAATACATATACGCATCATACTAGTACGCAAATACTGTACAAATACCTATTTGGCAACTGCTTGTTACAGGACATCTCCATTATCGTAGTGGGGGAGATTGTTATTCCGCGGGTGGATGCGACTCAGCTTGAGCCACAACTACAGAGACCCACCGCCTTTGCCTAAGGCTCGCCCAGCCACATCTGCACCGCCATACTGTGGAATTTCTTGATCCAAAGCCATCGCAGCTCGCAGTCTTTCAACATCACCTCACGCGACGGCAAATATGGCGTCCATGGCCGCATCGCTGCAAGCGTCGCTCCCCAAGCCGAAGTACACCGGGGAAGATGAAGAGGCGCCATCCCGGACTCAGCAGCGCGGTCCTCGGATCGTCGGGCCCGGCCAGATTGACGAGACGCAAATCGTCCTGAAGCGAAGCGGCCCTCCAGCATACGGCCAGCGGGCGGGATGGCGACCGCGCTCGCAGGAAGATTTCGGCGATGGCGGTGCTTTTCCGGAAATCCCCATTGCCCAGTATCCGCTGGACATGGGCAAGAAGGGTGCGACAACGAGCAATGCCTTGGCGCTGCAGGTCGATGGCGAAGGCAAGGTCAAATACGACGCGATTGCGAGGCAGGGACATGGCGAGGGACGGATCATCCACACATCTTTCAAAGACCTCATCCCACTGAGGCAGCGAGCCGATGCTGGAGAAATTGATCTATCGCGCCCAGACAAGGAATCCGTAGAGGCGACGACCGAGCGAACGAAGAACGCGTTGGCTGCCCTCGTCAGCGGAGCAGTGGCAGCGCAGAAGCCAAAGAACCTCAACATTGGACAGCGGAAAGACCCGACCTTTGTGCGATACACCCCGGCGAATCAGATGGGAGACAACTCGAAGAAGCAAGATCGCATCATGAAGATTGTGGAGCGGCAGCGAGATCCTATGGAGCCTCCAAAGTTCAAACACAAGAAAATTCCTCGCGGTCCTCCATCACCGCCTCCTCCAGTCATGCACTCTCCTCCACGAAAGCTTACGGCAGAAGATCAGGAGATGTGGAGAATCCCGCCTCCGGTATCAAATTGGAAGAATCCCAAGGGTTTCACTGTGCCCTTGGATAAACGTCTGGCTGCGGATGGACGAGGACTGCAGGATATCAGCATTAATGACAAGCACGCACAGTTTGCAGAGGCCATCAAGATGGCAGAGCGTCATGCCCGAGATGAAGTCCAGCAACGAGCTTTGATGCAGCAGAGGCTGGCGGAAAAGGAGAAGGCTCAAAAGGAGGAAAATCTGCGATCCCTGGCGCAAAAGGCTCGAGAAGATCGAGCTACAGCTGGACGACGCGGAAGGAGAGACTCCAGAGACTCGCGGGATTCACGAGACTCACGGGACTCAGTATCACGGTCACGGTCACGGTCACGGTCGAGCTACAGTGGGTCAGATTCAAGAAGCGGCTCTGATAGCGAAGATTCAGAGGTTCGGGCTCGAGAGAGGGCACGAAAAGAGAAGCGGAAAGAGGACGAGCGGAAGCTACGACAGACGCGGATGGGTGCGGAACGACGTATTCAAGTCATGGCCCGCGAGCAAAATCGAGACATATCAGAAAAGATTGCTCTCGGCATAGCCAAGCCCTCACAGTCCAAAGAAACCATGTACGACTCGCGATTATTCAACCAGTCCAGTGGATTCGATAGCGGAATCAACGAGGATAACCCCTACGACAAGCCTCTTTTTGCTGCTCAGGACGCCATTAACAGCATCTACCGACCCCGAGCAAACTTGGACGATGAGGATGCGGAGGCCGGAGAGCGAGAAATGGCCAAGATTCAAAAATCAAGCCGTTTTGGTGAAGCTTTGGGCAAGGGTACTTTGAAGGGGGCCAGCGAGGCAGAGGTCAGTTTTCCCACCATTTACTTCTTTTTGCTGATATCGATAAATGTAACCGTTGCTAACTGACTTGGGTCAATAGGCACGAGAAGGGCCTGTGCAGTTCGAGAAGGATGCGGCTGATCCGTTCAACGTGGACAAATTCTTATCTGAGGTTGACCAGAACTCATCTTCAAAGAGAGGCTATGGCCTGCAGGATGAAGATAGGAAAGCAAAGAAGCCTCGCGTTGAGGACGATGATGATGACTAAAGCGTACATGTATTAATTGTTACAAGAAATATCTTTAGAGATGCATGAGATGCATTTATATGTCCAATATTAATAAGAAAAGGGCAATATCCTAATATTGCTGGTATTTTGAGGGTCATTCTTGAAGGATGCGATTTCTGTGTGCTTGTAGCAGTATGGCGAGTAATGCTTACATGTACCTGTACATCAAATGAATTAAGACGAAAGCAATCACTTATTCAATATGATGTTGATATATGTTCACCCTGCGGCGCGTTCAACCCATTAGGTCACGTCATTACTTACCCTATCATCCTCAATATAACCAGCTTTGACAATTTCTAAGAAAGAGGCTATCCTTAGTGTCATTCTCGCTTGCTCAACCTTCTTTACGAATATTTTCCTTCATAAAGCCACCGCCCTCATTAACACCGAAATGCCACCGATACCAGTTTCAACAGACGCTTTTAGAAGAGACATGTAGAATCAAGCGTAGTACTTACGTATACATTAGTTCTCTTCCCCCCACCTTTCCATCACGAGGTAGAGCAAGCGAGTAATTGTGCGGCCTTGTTATCGAGCGTTTTAGGGTAAGTCATGTACTTGAGGAGGAATATCGAGATAGTATTTTACTGAAAAGCGAATATTAACGAAAGAAAAAGTCGTGTTATAGCAGTGTAAATGGCAGAGATTCTTTATGAAATAGTAAAATACAGCAGCATATTGCCTCTTGCTATGACTAGCTCGCTAAAATGAAAGTAAACAAGAGAATACCCAGCTGACTTCTTATATCTCCTCTTCTCTCTAATTACGCACGTACTCGTTAATTCTCATCCGAAATTCCATCTTTCGTCCTCTAAATTCGAAACATCTCCAAATGCTTTTTCATAAATGTGTATCCCCTTTCCCCTTCCACTTCCAGCAAAGTAGAAAGGCCCGACTTGTTGAACTTCAGCAACTTGGGCTCCTCAACCGTCCATTTGGGCCAAGTCGCAAGGTCGAGATGTCTCTTATTCGGATTCAAGTCGTACAGGAAGTTAAGCAAATACCGTCGTGTAGTCTTAGTCGCGTATGAAGACACATAATCGTCTGTCTCGAAAATCATGGCTTCAAATGAACCGTGGGCAGTTCCCAACATACTGGTGGCGTTGTTTCTGTAATCGTACGCCGCTTGGTATCCCCATATAGGGAGCTCAGGCTGAGCCGAAGCAATCAGTGACATTGCGATACGCTGAGGAATGGTGAAGAAGACATCGCCAATGACAGACGATAAACGCTTTCGGCCGACCCAGCTCTCAAATTCGCTGCCGGTGCCGTACGGGCTACCGTCGAGAGGTTTCGTGTGGTAATTTTTGAGAAAATCTTCCATACGGCTATTGCTTATGTTGTGAAAGTAGTGCCCCCGAAGATACTTCATCAGTCTCCTTGTATTATTGACTGATGTTTGCTTCTGGGCAAATATCGTGCCCTCGTCTTCCTGAGTGCCGAAGATCATGGGTACTGGGACAAACATGTTATCCTTGAGAAGCACCTCTTGACTATGTCGGATTAAATCATCGTCAGGTCGAGGAACATACACCAGCCTCATGGCTTCTGCACTGAGAGCCCCGGGGAAGACATTGGTTGCCTGTACAAAATCCGAATAGGGTGCCTCGCGCAAAGCTTGCAGCGAGTCCTTGTAATGTGGAAGATCGGGCCGAAAGTGAGGAGTCAGAACCCCGGTGACATCCGAATAGATTTCATTGCCCTTTTTCGAATCCATAGCCTCTGCAGGCAGGAGACTCCCAGAGCTCATTATGGCGCCGCGGAAGAGTTTCCTGTCCTTGTATGTTGCGTTGCCTCCACTGATCACCAGATGGTCGAAGACCGAGACGCCGCCGGACGCATGTCCCCAAAGGACAATCTTATCTGGATCGCCACCAAAAGCCGCAATGTTATCCGATGCCCATTCCATACTCATCCTCTGATCCCGGAGGCCCAGATTCGAAGATCCCAGCATCTGTTCACCAGGTAGGAAGCCCCAAGGGCCCGTCCGGTAGTTGACAGTCACAAGCACGAATGGCTGCTCGATGTCAGCGCCAAACTTGATGAAGCTGGTGACATTATATCTGTACGGCGTTCCCATGACAAAACTGTAACCGGCAAGCATGAGCAGAACTGGTAAATTATCTCCCGCCTTAATTCCTGCCGGACGCTGGACCGTAATCGTTAAACAGTCCTCTGACGTTTGTACGGGATTGGCTGCGTCCCATCTTGCCAGATTGCTATCGAAATTGTCGGCTTTATCGACACTATCGACGTTAAAGACGTTGACAGTCCTCTTGTGCCATGGTTCATCAAACTTGATAGCTCCGAAATGACCCTGAGGGCATGCTGGTGCGAATGTGGTGGCATCAAAATCTCCCAAAGGCTTTGTTCTCTTCACAGGCCTTTTCAGGCGATTACGGCCAGCTGGAGATTCGGCATAAGGCATGCCGTAGAACGAGTCGACGCCATCAGCGAGTATGCCCAGTACTTGAGAGCCCGGGAGATGGACTGTCGGGCCTTCATCTGCCTGTGTAAGGCAGAAGCCGACCAGGCCTATGAGGACCAGAAGAAGAGTTGCGATTGCCTTCATCATGTAGACCCTCTGCAGAGTTAGATACCTTATTCTTGATTGAACAGGTTCTTATCAGGGCATTGATGCGGTGGGGTTATATGCTTGAATACTGAATCTAGGTAGAAAGCCATGGAGTCGGAGCTTTTTAGCTGTGGCAAGCCATGACGTCCCAACAGATGTTTAAAAATAGGGTCGATACACAAGCTCGTCAAAAGCACAAACGCCATAGTAGCGAGATATGTGGGGGTTTATGAGCGATGCTTCGGTGCATGCGGTTCAAGAGCTTTGTTGTAAGCGTTTACATGGCTTGAAGCGGCGGAATACAGCAATTAGGTGGACATAGAGTTGTTGGCTTCATAAAATGGAGATTAAATGATATGAAAACGGCTGTAGCTCTGGCTGAAGCAGCAACTAAGCAGGATTTTGGGCTTCTAGGCCTTTGGAATAAATATCTCACGAGGCACATTGTGGAGATAGTTCTCCACGATAAGTGATCATAGAGTTTCTCGCTCAGAAGAATATACACTATATGTATTGTCAATATGATTATTGATACTTCGAGACGCAGGGCAGATTGGCGCGGTATCGCATATTAGACCCTCCTAGTACCTATCATACACGCGTACTTGTGGTATCCTATTGGATCGTGGCATTTCTGTTTGCAGTCACAGCGTTTATTGGATGCCGATGAAATGAGGATGGCTCAAGTCATCATACAGAGATAAGGGATTCGAATTGTGACTTGATGGTACATTAACACTAGGTACCTACCTTACCGAGTAGTAATCACGATAGACGTTTTTACAAAGGGTACTCAGGTTATTGGCTGTACTCTTGCAACAAAAGAGGCATCTGAAGACTCACTTGGTCCTTTGCCCTATCTTAACGATAATCAATTGATGGCAACATATTTATGTATATATACAGGGCATGTGATCTACATGTTATTGATTTGATATAAGGTATACAAGGCTGAGAGAGATTGTTTGAGGTACTATAGAAGTAGTTACTACGCACTTTATATGAGGGGCGTATTGTAGAACGGAGCCCTTAAGCAAGTTCTGCCCTTAAAAGGAAAGCTCTATCTTGGATTGGATGGCTAAGCTTACTGGGATCCCCATTCGGATTGCTGGTAAAAGTTGGTATGCGCTTGATAAACAGGACACTCAGTATTGGAAACATGGCATGATGTACTGTTTAACCATTTACTACTACTAGGACCCGTGAAAGCTACCTATATCATTCATAGGTAGGTACCTTAGGTAGTAGTACCTTCTTGTAGAAAATGTGGCTTAGAAGCTGGCAAGTGCAGCCAAGCAGCCAAGAGGACCAGCGCTGTTTCGTCGACCGCTTCCAAAGGGAAGGTGCTAAACCACAACATGGACTGCTTTGTACCTCTCACCTGACGAGAGTAACGTGCCATGATTCTTACCTTGACCAGAGTTTTTTAATCTTTCAACTTCGAAATTTCAATCCGAAACGCACAGCCTCGTCGTGCCGCAATCCGACGGTACGAGAGGCGCACGAGGCGCACGAGGCCCTCCAAGGAACACGAAGCAGCCATAGCTACGCCAAAATGCCAAGACGCAGGTGGTAGCGAAGCGTCTTCGATTGCCACCGCGGCCCTCCTCTGTACAGCCAATCTTAGGGGCAGCCAATAGCGCTGCTTCGTATTCCAGCATTGAGACCTCGCCCAGTAGTGCATCGCCGCCGCCGCAAATTTCCAGCACCATCTCCTTGGGCCATTGGGATTGGAGGCTCAGTTCGAGACTTCCCGAAACGGGTGCTAGGTGCTAGGCGCTGATGCACAGCCTCACCCCCGGCCGTATCCACCCTCATCTACGTTCGTCCAGTCGTTTGAGGAAGAAGGGTAGACGCAAATCTGCTGCATAGGCCAGCGGGTCAGGGGCCGTCCGCTGGCTTGAAACCAGCCAAGTTAGGTTGGCACACACGGTGCTTGGACTATTTTCAGCATTCAGGCTGGAGCCTTTTCAAGAGCAAGAGAACGCTCGTATACACGCATGCGCACGAGCAAATGGCTATGGATGGAAGATGGCAGCAAGCATGGCGAGCTCACGAACGTGTTCCAAGCCTTGGAGCCAGAACAATCGCGTCGGTCTGGAGCTGGCTCAGCGAGTGCTAGGCACAGTGCTTGACAGGACGGAGTGTACCTGACTACGCATCTGAAGCCCCTTGAAAAAATTATGTGCAGTGCCGGCCTCATCCACTGCCGGAATCTCGGTTCCGTTGGTTTTGCGCAGCACCGTTGCCGCTGGGGCCGATGGCTCGTGTGCAGTTAGTATCATTTCCTCTTTGTACCTGTTTGTCAAGATGCTGCCATGGTCCGTGTAGCATGGTTGTTTACTTACAACGATCGTTTTTCCTCCCGTGTATAGCATTGCTCCAAACATGTTTATGGGGCCTGGCAGAAGTTGCTAGTATGGAGTAGTGTTCTGTGCTAATGCTGGTAGTGAGTCGCAGAGATCATCCATCCTCCGCACCAGTATGGAGACGCACGTCCTCCGTCAAGCGTTTCAGGCCGAGTGTCCCAAGTTTGCAGTTCATGGGGGTCGAAACCTGGAGGGCTGGGGGGCGCGGCATAATGGCTGGTTACGTGAAATTACACCCAGCTAGCCGTGTATCCCCATGCGCCCATACTCCGTATTCTAATACACTTACACCCTTTCCATCGTCCGCCTAGCTAAAATGAAAATGACGCGCCTTCACCTTGTGTCCATCCCGTATTGCCATTTTTTCCCCTAACACTACGTTTCCGTGTGCCGATTTGCATGCTCCCTCGCCGCCACTCTCTCCTTGCTCAATTTCAGTCTCCCACAGTCGAGCCTCAAGAGACCCGTGTGTAAGCAGTGGAGCGATCACTCTCGTTTGACGCGCGGCGAAGATTCTCTTGGCGTCTCTATTCTTTTCTTTCATTCTTTCTTTATCCGTCTTCACCATTGCCAAAGCCACTCGTTTTTACTGTCACTCTTATCTGATATCTTTCGACCTCGATCTTTAGCGAATTTTGCGCTTGCGATACCCCGGTGGGAGTGAATCGCAGCTCAAGATCCCGATTTCTCTCGTTGCGCCGCCTTGCATCCTTTTTGGACAGACTGGATCTGGACGACCATTCTCATTTTACTACAACACAGATCCATACGCGGCACCCTTAGAATAACCCGGATTCGAGAGATTGCTACTAGCCATGAGGTCTCCATTGGTGGCTGCGACAGCAGCACTCGGTCTGCTGAGCCAGGGGGGCAACGCCGTTTCCTTGACCGTGGGCGACGCCAGTAAGATAGAATGCGGCTCCTTCAACTCAACGAGGCAGACGATACTCATAATTTTCTTTAGCTTCCACGAAAAATGCCGCTGGTACCGTCGCATTCGGTTTGATGAAGTTCTATACAGGCAATAACACTGGCGACAACCCTGGAAACCTGCCAAGCCCTTACTACTGTCAGCAAGCCCTCCTCTTTCAAAGTTACGGCGGCTCATGAATAGATGCTAACTTGGAGAAATAGGGTGGGAGGCCGGTGCTATGTTCGGAACTATGATCGATTATTGGTTTTTGACGAAGGATTCGACGTACAACAACGTGACGATGCAAGCGATGCTCTGGCAGGCCGGAAAAGACGGCAGCTTTATGCCCACGAATCAGACGCTGACCGAAGGAAACGACGATCAAGGATTTTGGGCCATGTCTGCCATGTCTGCAGCTGAAAACGTCTTTCCCAACCCGCCGTCCGATCAGCCAGGCTGGCTGGCAATGGCTCAGGCCGTCTTCAACCAGTACGTCGGCCGATGGGACCCCCATTGTGGTGGAGGTCTCCGATGGCAGATTTTCCAATGGAACAAGGGTTATGACTACAAAAACTCCGTCGCCAACGGTTGTTTCTTCAATGTTGCTGCTCGATTGGCCCGCTACACTGGTAACCAAACATATGCAGACTGGGCACAGAAAGTCTGGGACTGGGAGCAGAAAATCGGCCTCATCGGAAGCCAGTACCAGGTGTTCGACGGTTTGAGTATCGATTCGAACAACACGTGCGGAAATATGGACCAGAATCAGTGGACTTACAATGCGGGTTTGTATATGGGCGGCGCTGCAGCCATGTATAACTACACCAACAACGCTACCTGGAAGGCCAATTTGGATGGCATCATCAAACAGACGCAATCGAAATTTGTCAACAATAACGTCGTTTACGAGCAGTTTTGCGAGCCCCGAGGCTTCTGCAGTGTTGATCAAAGCACGTTCAAGGGCTACTTGCTTCGCTACATGGCCTCTACCATCAAAATGGCCCCGTATACCGCAACCACTCTCATGCCAATCCTCAAGGCTGCTGCTTCTGCCGCTGCCTCCGTCTGCACAGGCCCAGCGTCCGGCACATTCTATGGGATTACGGGCACAGGATGTGGCTTCTCGTGGATGCAGCCAGGTAATTATGACGGTAAAAACGGCGTTGGCTCACAAATGAACGCTCTTGATGCAGTCATGTATACCATGATTCAAAATTCCCCCGACTTGGCAACGGCGAAAAAGGGCGGTACTTCCAAGGGCGACCCAGGCGCGGGAATGGGCAACATTGACCCTGCAGGCGAAATTGACAATGTTACAAAGCCAACGACCGGCGGAAAAGTTGGAGCAGCGATCCTCACTCTCCTATTGCTCATCAGTGTCCTGGCTGGCAGCGCGGTGCTACTGCTATGAATGAACTTCATAGTATGCAACTTTGCGTGAGAAGGAGTGGAAGGGTTTGGATATATTTCTCTATACATGTACGTGTGCGCAACACATGCCTGCTTTTTTTTTTTTCCATTTATAAGCCCAAGAACTTAGAGCGTGGGATGCTCGTCGCGGCTGGCGTTTGGGAGTGGCCTTGTTTATATTTTTCTTGATCCCTTGCTGGTCTTGTCTGTGGATATGTACATCTTACGGCGGCATGGAGCGGGCATTACCGTTGTCGTCATCATCGTCATCATTACCTACTATTCATTTGTAGCAGTTTGGAAGTATTAGACAACAGGCAAAGCCTGATATCAGAATTGCACGACATTTATGACCGATAACCTTGGCCGGCCGACTCGCAGATCAGAAACCAGCCAGGGGTCTTTGCTTGAAGCTGCGTCGCTCGATTATATCTACTGCGGTGCCGCATGGCCTGGGCAATTAAACTTGAATAAATCCTCAAATTACTAGGATAGAGATGTACAATGGTTACTACTACTGATACGAAGAAATTACGTTTTGTTGATTTATTGGAGGGCATTCGAAAGACTTGGCTTGGCGCCATACAAGTAGACAAAGCGCAGGCCAACTGAGCCGCCACAACAGCCAATCAACTGGGACGGGCCGTAGATCAGGGCTTCGTTTTAGTCAGAGCATTCCATCAACTTGAAGTAACCTTGGGCTCCTGTCTTGCTATTAATTTGGGCACACTTGAGCCCAAGTCCCCCGCTTATTGGGTATGCGTTGCTAGGCAGGCATGTACTCCGTGCTTGTGTCTATCTTTTGGGAACTCTGCACTTTGTGGCTTCAACCCCGCCATGATGGCAATACCGAGTTCCCCGCTGTTAGCAGTTGCCAATAGCAGTGTCATCACAATACGTCACTGATATCAGACCACTCGTACATAGCAACTCTGGGAATCTTTATTTAATACATATCAAGAACGTTTTGATTTTTCATCAGTTGGCGCTCGGTTGACCTTTTCTGTCAATCGCCATTGCTTGTTGTCGAGTTTTAGAGCTTCAAGACTTCTTTCAATCTAGAGCTACTCGCCATAATGTCTACAAAGCACTTCGTCAATGATCCCACACACCTCGTCAACACTGCCCTACACAGCCTAACCCTCACAAATCCCAACGTCGCTCTCGACGCAGAGAACAAAATCATCTATCGCCGACCGTCCAATGCTCCCCAGCAGGTCTCCATCATCTCGGGCGGAGGGTCTGGCCATGAGCCTTCCTTCGCCGCCATGGTAGGCCCAGGCCTGCTCTCTGCCGCGGTGGCTGGAACCATCTTTGCCAGCCCTTCTGCCGAGCAGGTCAGAACCGGAATCCTGTCGAGGGTAGATACCGACAAGGGCGTGCTGGTTGTGGTGATGAACTATACGGGCGACATTCTCAACTTTGGTATGGCCGTGGAAAAGGCCATTGCAGCCGGCCAGGCCGTCGAGATGGTGGTCGTGGGCGACGATGTCGGCGTGGGAAGGAAGAAGACGGGCAAGGTTGGACGACGAGGAATTGCCGGCACCGTACTCGTGCTGAAGATTGCTGGAGCGCTCGCAGCTCAGGGACGGTCATTGGAAGAGGTGGCCAAAGTAGCCCGGTTGACTGCGGCCAACATCGTCAGCGTTGGTGCCAGCTTGGAGCATGTCCATGTTCCAGGACGAGTTGTTGATACCAGCGAAGGCCTAGGACCCAAGGAAGTCGAAGTAGGCATGGGCATCCACAACGAGCCGGGCTCGAGTAGAGAAGAGATGGAACTGCCTCAGCTGGTAGAGAGGATGCTTGCTCAACTGCTCGACCAGAGTGACAAGGACAGAGCGTTCCTCAATGTCAATTCAAACGAAGTTGTCCTGCTCATCAACAACCTTGGAGGTGTCAGTGTTCTGGAGTTGGGTGGCGTGACAACTGAAGTTGTAAAGCAGCTGAACGACAAGTACAACATTCGACCAGTCCGCATCATCAACGGCACATTCATGACGAGCTTGAATGGCCAGGGCTTCAGTATCAGCCTCCTCAATGTTGTCAACACTGACATTGGAGGGCCAAGCATGATTGAGTTACTGGATGCCCCAAGCGAGGTCACCGGCTGGTCTGCTCCGATACAAAAGACAACGTGGGAGGAGAAGAACACCGCCACAAGGACCGACACTGCTGATGCAGATCGAAATGTTCAGCCTAGCGGGCTGCAGATGGATCCCAAGCACGCCACATCGGTCCTTACCAATGCATTGGAGCGCGTGATAGCGGCCGAGCCCGAGGTCACCAAGTACGATACTATTGTTGGAGACGGAGACTGTGGCATTGGTCTCAAGAGAGGAGCCGAAGGTGAGCTCACCAACACCCAGCCGCACTACTCGCAGATGTCTGAAGGTGACGCTGACATTAAAACCCAGCCATTCTAAAACACATACAGCAAAATCCCTTGTCGGGAGATGTTGTTGTGGACGTCTCTTCCATCGTGCAGGTAGTGGAAACGGCCATGGACGGTACCTCGGGAGCGCTCTATGCAATCTTCCTCAACGCACTCGTTCACGCCCTCCGCACCTTGGGATCTGGAGAGGCTGGTGCCTCTGTATGGTCTGCGGCTCTCAAACAAAGCTGCGAGGCATTGTCCAAGTATACTCCTGCTCGACCTGGAGATCGCACTGTCGTGGACGCGCTCTATCCTTTTGTTGAGGTCCTGGGTCAGACCGGCGATGTGAAGAAGGCTGCGGATGCAGCGAAGAAGGCGGCTGACGAGACCAAGGGCATGCAAGCCAGTCTTGGCCGGTCAGTATACGTGGGTGGCAGTGGATATGAAGAAGTCCCCGATCCTGGGGCCTGGGGATTGGCATGCTTCTTTTTGGGATTGGGCGGCATTAAACCGACCGAAGAAGGCTGGGAATCTATCTGAAATGGGGATATATAGAGACGTAGAGGCCGTTGTGGACATTGATGAGTTTCGATGACCACGTCATAGGAGGATTTTTGCAGATTGTACAAGTATACGTATTAAAGCATTCAATTTAATTGTTTTCAACGCCTAGATTCGCCTTTGAGCCTCTTGCGATGTAGTCGGTCATCCAACAGCCCAATGTGTCAATTAAACCCCAATATAACCCAAAGCAAACCATGCACTCTAGCTGAGAAGAACGAGGATGACGCTGTCTCCTCTTAGAAACCTGTTACACGTTCATTAGTACCCCGTTATACATGGTGTCATAACTTTCGACGCGATCAAGTTCAGGGACAACTCGCGAACCACTCCTAGTACTTGTTCTGATCTGACGTCTTGTTTAGGATGGGGGATGGCGTACATCTTGCTGATAAATCTATCCTTGTTGACCGGCCGGCCCTTCTTTCCATCTGCTAATCTAGGCGTCTCGGTCCACATCTCTTTAACATTCTCGAGCACCATGTTGCAATGTCTGTCGAAAGCCTTGACACGTGCCAGCAGCTTACGGTTCGAGCGAATGGAGATGAGCACCTGCGTGTGCGATCTGACGGCAGTCTGGAGGATGGAGAGGGGACCGGAAGAGAACTCGTACTCTTCGAGCTGGGCAATCTCGTACTCGCTAAAGTTGGAGCTGTTAGGATGGATATTCGGTATTTGATGATTCGAAGGCGGTGGGAGAGGGGCAGAGAGAGAAAGGATGGATTTCGCGACTGGAGAAAACGTACGTGAGTTCGTTACGAGACTTGGTGAGGAGTTCCCTGAATAAGAAGTTAGCATGAGCACAATTGAGCAGAGGGGACGTGTAGGGATGGCATACTGAATCTTGGGGTCGGCCATTTTTGCGGTGGTTGATTGATTGTCGAGGGAACGAGGTTGCGTGCGCAAGGCTGGGGAGCTTTAGAAGCTCGAAAAGTAGAGTCGTAGAGGCGTATCGCAGGCGCTAATGGTGATTGGGCACTGCTGCGGCCGTGCACTTTTGGTCTCCAGGTACCTGTACTTGAGTTTGCCATCTGTCCCCAGCTGGCTGCCAGCTGCGGTAATAAACTGGTATGAACACTGACAGGCGCTATCCTTATCGGCAATCGGCGGGTCAATTTTTGGAGAGTGGAGGAGCTTCTATTCTTGCGCCGTACCCGAGGTCAACTATAGCCTATGGTCTTTCGGATCTTGCCTTCTTTCCTCTCTCTTCTTCTTGTCTAGATGTCTTAGATCTCGCTTTTTGGGGTGCATCTATATAGACGATATCTCATGTCATTCCGAACATTCGCGGCACGGGCTGGCACGGCAGCAAACGCTGCAGGCCGGAGCAGCTATCGCAGCGCATTCACCATGGCACATCAGACCAGAGCATTGAGCTCGGCCATTGATGCACGACCGGTTAGAAACAGGCAATTATTCTACTATGTGTAATGGGGGTGCTAATATGGTGCAAAAGCTGTCTGCCGAAGCGTACCATGTCAAGGAACTGCCTGGCGACGAGCCCAACGATGTTGTCTTCGAGAGCAAGTACGGACTGCGAACCATTCTGCTGAACCGACCCAAGAAATTGAATTCCCTAAATGGATCAATGATTCGCAAGATTGTTCCCCGGTTAATTGAGTGGGAAAAGTCAGACATGGCAAACGTCATTGTCATGAAGGGCGCGGGAGAGAAGGCTCTTTGTGCCGGCGGCGATGTTGCTGAGCTCGCCCTCTACAACCAAGAGAGCGTCGATGGATGGAAGAAATCGACCGAATACTTTGCTCTTGAATACCAGTTAGATCACTACATTGCGACATACCAGAAGCCATACATTGCGTTCATGGACGGAATCACAATGGGCGGCGGTGTTGGACTGAGCATCCACGCACCATTCCGAATCGCAACGGAGAGGACCATGTTTGCTATGCCCGAGACAACGATTGGATTCTTCCCCGATGTCGGCGCATCTTTCTTCCTACCTCGGATGAACGGCTCTATTGGAACCTATCTTGCCTTGACCAGCGATAGGCTCAAGGGTCCCAACGTCTTCTATAGCGGCATTGCGACTCACTATCTGCACTCGTCAAGCTTGCCAGATCTCGAGGCCCGTCTTGCAGAACTGCGATTCCGAGACGAGGACCCCCTGCCCCGACGACTTGAACTTATCAACGATACCCTGGAAGAGTTCTGCACCGGCCTTCCATACGACCAAAACTTCTCGCTGAGCGGCGAGACCCGACGTGCTATCGACCGATGCTTCAGCAAGAACAACGTGAATGACATCATTGCTGCCTTGAAGGAAGAGCGGGGAGAGACTGAGGAGTGGGCGCAGAAGCAGCTGGTCACGCTCCAAAAGCGATCACCCACTGCTGTGCACGTTGCTCTGAGGCAGATGCGAGTCGGTGGCAAATGGAGCATCTCGGAGACATTCGAAAAGGAACACCAGATTGCGGCCAAGTTCATGCAGCACCACGACTTCACGGAGGGTGTGACAGCGCTGCTGGTGCGCAAGGAGGCTGCCAAGTGGCAACCCGAGACTCTGGAGGCTATTCCCGCCAGCGAGAACGTCTCCAAGCCGTTCTTTGACTTCAAGAAGGAAGCCGGACTTAAGCTATTCACGGACCGGACATATTCTGAGTACCCTTTCGCCGCCCTCGGCGTGCCGACGGAGAAGGAAATCCAGGCTGTTGTGTCTGGCAACTCACTCACACCGGCCGAGCTTGCCAAGCAGGTCAAGGCATCAAGGAAGAACCGACAAGGTGTGGCCGAGGTTGTGGATGAGATAATCAGCAGAAAGACGACGGTAGATGAGCAGGGCAAGGCCAAGTGGGTGGCTGATGAGGCGGCGTCTTCAAGTCGACTGTAAAACAAAGATGTGGATGTAAAGGATTCGTGCGCATGTACAATATAAAAAAATAAAAGAAGATAAACTCATGTATTTGATGACTGAAGAATGAAAAAGCACGAGGCGAACAATAATAATGATAAAATCTGTAGGCAATTGTCGTCTGATTGCGATTTCATTTGCAGCGCCGCACATGGTGCTAATGCGAAACGCGCCCATGTTTGGTGGTTGGCGCAGAGCGCAGTGGAGCTTCAAACCATCGAGCGTCATCGAAATAAGGTGGGAGACGTGATATAAAATGGCTTCATTTATCGGGCTAACAAATGCGATTCAAGCTGTCAAAGGGAGGGGTGACATCTTTAGACTAAAAAAATGCAGGGAAAGCTCAAGTCACGAGATAGCGACTTGGAGGGGTGCCAGCAAACCGAGCTCTGGAGATGGCGTCAAGCAGGCCCTAGAAACTATAAAAGGGCCGCCAGCCCGCCCGCTCGATGCAGAGGGCAGCGGGCAAAGTCTTCCGATCTTCCCTCTCTTTGCCCGGTCGAATTGCCAGCTGAACCGAAGCCCTTTTGCCAGGCCGCCAGAGCTCCCTTGCGGCAGAGAAAAGAGTGAGACCAGCTTGCTGGGCTTTTGTGAAAGACAAGCTTGCCTGGAGAGGATCCGGAGCCGCTCCGCATCCGGGGTTCTGCCGGCTCTCCAACCAGTGACAGGATCGACTTCTCGTTTAGGTAGGTGGGGTCCCCGAAACAGCGGATCGCTCAGGGAAAAAAGCCCTGCAGCCTATTAAAGCTCAGTGCCGAAGCGCCGCTGCAGGCACTTTCTGCCATCAGGTCCAGCGGGTGGCTCACCGAAGCTTCACCTGCATAGCGGCCTCGGGGCGCCAGCCACTGGCTCCAGCTGCAGTGCCTTGGGTGCTGTGGCGCGGGCTGGAGGGGTACGAAAGTACATGCACAGGCGCATTACACGCGCTGCTGGCGGCATCACAAACAAAGGCTTGATTGCGCTGTTGTTTGCTTGCACGAGCTCAACCCAACCTTTCATCACCACATCCGCTGTCCTCACGAAACGCCGGTTCCTCCCTTTTTTCGAGTCACTTCTCTTTTGTCTCTGTAGCAACGTGGATCTGACTTTCATTTTAGCACATTTTTTCTCTAAATTTTCCTTTCCTCGTGCCCCATCGCCCGCTTGTCTTAAAGTGCCCTGCGCGCCTCGATATCTCAGATCCACCTGCACAGACGCGACCTGGAGCTTTTTGGCGCGTCACGAGCATGAAACCCGCCTCCCCAATTTGAGCTGGTACCCAGAACAAAGTACAGCCAAACCCAGGACTCTCCACTTCCCTCTTTCAATAACGATTTTCAAATCTTGCATTTCGTCAACCCAGCAACAAGGTCCCGGAAGGGGGTCGGTCAGCCCTGCACGACGACAACGGCAAACGACTCCAACGGTGGCCACAACGGCGAGGCAATATTCGCCATGGCATCGCCAATGCCGGCGGCTCAGTCGAGCAATCCGTCTGCCGCAGGCGAGGTGGACGAGTATGGCCTGCAGACCAAGTTTATGAACTGTATGAAGTTCTTCCCTCTCCCTCTCTTTGGGCTGAAAGTGCTGTGTCTTAGTTGGCTGCAGCGGCTAATACAAACCGACAGTGAAGGTGCACTACACGTTCGACAAAGAGGCCAAGGTCAATTGCCTGGCCAGAGGATCCCAGCCCCTGCAAGTGCAGACTATCCCGATTGACGAGACGAATACGATTGGAGTCGTCGACCTGAGGGCCTGCATCCACGTTATTGCCGAGTGCAGCCCGGAGCTGACGAGCCACGAGTGCGACTACACGATTTACGCTGTTGACTATTCCGAACCCGACCTTCCCCAGGTTGGCCAGGGCCTGCTGTCATGGGTCTTCCAGTCGATGCGGCCTGACTTTGGGCATCACCAGCCCAAGATGGTGACGGGCAGGGTCACCAGAAATATACTGGGCGTTTTTGGCGGTGGAGGCAAAGAGACTTTGGAAATCAGATTGAAGCTTTCTGAAACAGCCAGGATCCAGCGTTCTATCGCATATGCCTCTCCTCCCGTGGAGCAGAATCACATTGGGCCAATGGAACCGACTTTACCACCGAATGCCGCATCAGAATGGAATTCTTTAGTCCAGTCCAACCCACAGACAGCCCAGCAGGCGACTCAAAACCAAGGCCCAATGCAGAGTCTGATGCAGAGCCATTCACCCAGCATAGCTCCCGCTTTGCCTCAAGGACCACCACCCCCCTTGGTCAGGCAAGGTTCTTTCGGGCCAAGTTACAGCCAGAATCCGCCTGCACAGGAGCTACCGAGGCTTGCTCCAACTCCAGTCGATCCTCAATCCATGCCCAGCATCCCAGCACCTTCTTCACGACCATCTAGTAGAGCATCAAATAGACCACCTCGAAGGAAGCCGCCGACTGGTAGGCCCCGAGGTAGGCCCCGGAAGAAACCTGCTGAGGGCAACACATCAGGCTACGAAGATGGGACCGAAGGGGAGGATGCCGCACCTCTCAAAGAAATTGAGCCTGTCAAGAAGAGAGCAAAGACAACCAAGGTGGATAGGTCAGACACAGTTGCCTTTGGTGCCGAACCCGAATCTCTCAGGGTTGCTGCGAGCAATTCCAGCTCTCTGCGGAATTTCCGGCCCATTGGAATCAATAGCGACAGCGTGACAGGTAGTCATCATCTGCAGGAGATCCCTCGAGCTCCCACGCCTGTTCCTAACGGTCGTCTCAGGGTGGTACCACCAGGACGGGAGCCCAGCTCCCTCAAGCGACGTGAATCCGCATTAAGCCAGCCGCCCACATCAGGCTTTGCCGCGAACGATGTTGGCCGCTTCCAGTCGCCCGGCATAGACGACGACAGAACGCCAGAGTCTCTAGCCCCGACGCCAAACTACCCCGACGACAGCCCTCCAGATATTGGCTCCTCGCCACCGGTTCAGCAGGCTACGCCTTACATGCGGTCTAGTCCACCTCCTTCAAGTCCGGTGCTGCCTCCGATGCCATCTATGGCTGCTCATGAACCCGAAATTCCGAGCAATGACGTGGGCGACAATTTTGGAGAGGGAGAGCCGCCTATGATGGATGAGCTGCCGCCTCCACCGCTCACAAACAAAATGCCAACCCAGAGCGTGCCTATCCAGGTTTTCCAGCTCCAAGACGGCCCCAGTGGCCAAGATCTAGTACACCTTCGCACCTATAACACCCCTTATCCCACGTCACATGCGCCTGCCCCTTCTGAGAGCTCCCTTCTACCTCCTCTGAGCCGGGAACCGAGCCGTCCACAATCCAATGGCCAGCCTACTAAAAGGAAGAGACCGCAGTCATCAACACCACCAGACATGGGGCCAACCCCGCCTCCTACCACCGACGCCGTTGAGCGGGCAATGAGCCCGACCCTAACCTCTACCCCTGCTCCAATTCAAGCTCCTACTCCCATCCCTCTTCCTGTGTCTAATTACGCGACGTCTACTTCTACAACCATATATGCGCCTATTCCTACGACAGCTCCTTTTTTAGCCCCAGGTGTCGGGGACCCAACTCCTCCGGCACCAGCTCCTGAATCAGTCACTGCTACTGCGCCAACACCCGAACTCTCACAGGCCCCTCCTTTAACCCATGACAGTTTGTATGATCCTATAGTACAACTCGCCTCTACGTTTTCCTCAAGAGAAGAGGCTCCTCCTCCAATCCAACAGCCATCACGATCCTCACAGCCACCTCAGCCATCTCAGACAAGACCGCAAACTTCTTCTAAGCCTAAACATCCCCGTCAACTCAGTCGATCGCAGTCTGCAGGGCCACTTATACTACCCACTAGCGACCCTATTGGTCCATCGGCTTTATCTCAGCCTCCCACTGTTCCTTTGGAGCGTCCATCTACAATGGGTGGTGGGGGCGCTGATATCCGTCGACCAGCTTCCACCGGGCCTTTGGCTTTACCAATGCCTGAGCCTCTCGCCGAGCCCTCGAAAGACTTTGCGCCTGAAACGTCCTGCACTCCCAGCGATTTTCCTCCACCATCTTCGCCAACACGAGCAAATAATAAGAACAATGGTAAAAAGCATGCCATCAGACAGCGACTAGAGGCGGCCATAAACAACGGGGAGATGCCTCCCTACTGCAGCAACTGTGGTGCTATAGAAACCCCTACATGGAGAAAAATTTGGAACCAACATCGAGATGGTATTCCGGAACGATGCGAATTCTCGGAGAAGCCTGGTAAGATTACGGCGGTGGAGATAACTCAGTGTGATGATGAAGGCAAGCCAACAGCTCATCGTGTTATCAAAAAGAGCTTGGCTATCACCGATGATAAAACCAAGTGGCAAGAGGCTTTACTTTGCAATCCCTGCGGCATATGGCTCACCAAATGCAAAAGCCATCGGCCAGCGGATAGATGGGACAAGGATGCCTCTCGAATAGGCCAAGAACGGCGGAAGAGAGGTACTGGCAGAAGCACATCTCGTGCCAAGAAAAATCGCCGAAAGGATGATGCCCCTGTCAACCTTACTTCGGACGCATATTTGCCTACAGACGCCTATTTACCTACAGACGCCGATATACCCACAGATTTCTATACACCCACGGACGTGTTAGAGCCACCAGCACCCTCGTCACCAAGACTTAACGATGCTTTGTCTATAGACCCAAACTCATTGCCAAGGCCAGAGAACGATGAAAGCCAGGACTTTGAGAAATCTTTCGCGACAGCTGGGCTAGGTGTATTATCCCGGTCAGGATCAACTCATTCCCGGGGCAATGGAACAGCTCAAAGCCCCATCGACATCGATACTGAATTCGACCAAGTTGCTGGGAGCACTAAGAGGCTTCTATTCCCGTCACCTAGGAAAGACGGAGTGCCCAAAGTGCTTTGCGATGTTGACATCAATATCGTGCAGACAGCAGAGTGTCGCTCAGCAGGCAACCTAAAAGGGGACCAAGAGAACGCCGTCGCGTCAGGACTGAATACGGGCGTCAGCAAATTAGATGATTTAGAAGCTCTATTCAACAGCCCGGCGGCCAAAGAACGCCCATCCACCCCGCCACCCGAGGCCAAATCCGCTCCCGTCGAGCCTTTCAAAACACCTACTCGACCTACCCCAAGCCATAGGCCGATCACTAGAAGTGTCTCGCGGTCTATGCGATCTGCCAAGTCGATCTTGTCTCCAAGCCAGCTCGCAGTCGACCAGACTCCTACCAAGACGCCAAAATCTATGTTGAAAATTCCCGGAAGCAGCGTGAGAAGACGCAGCCCGCGAAACCACCAGAGCCATTTTGACAATATGTTTACTTCACCAATTGCTCAAAATATTGTACAGTTCCTCTCACAGGGCAATACCTTCTCATTTGAGGATGGTGAGATTGATTTTGGCAACCTCGCTGGAGACAATGGTGAACTGCTTGACCTTGGCCATCTTTTGAGTACAGATGATATAATGCCCAGCTCTCCACCCAAAGACGTCACCATGGAATTCGAATACGAAGGTGATATTGATAATATCGCTGACTGGATGGACCAAGTTACAAACGTTACAACAGAGCTTAAATGATGTGTTTTCAATGAGGGATGGGATTAGAAAAAAAGGACGGGATTATATTTTGATGACTGATGCCAATTTGGGGGTTTTTTCTTTACGTTTACTTGCTTTGAACAGCGAGCGGAGTTTTCGGATCAGGGGGGTTTACAACCGGCTTTTCTTGACGACCCAAGAATATGTAGGTGTCAAGAATTCGACACTGCTTTACAGCAATCATGATTTTTTTCATTCCGACCAACTTTATTTTCCATTTACTAGATATCAGTCATCAACATTAGATAGTATTAGTATAGTGGATACCAGAGCAAGGCCCAACGTGGTGGTGAACTTTTATACCTGTTTCTTTCTGTCAATGTGCTTTGTGAATGAGAAGAAGACGGGATGCGGATGATCCAATGGGGTGGATAACAGAGCTGTTACAATACAGCCAAAAAATAAAACCTCCAAGCGAAATTGACTAACTATACACTTATAGATTTACAGTGTGCTTGCAATTTAAAAAAAAAAAATTGCCGAGCAGAGCAAAATCTGAGAAGGCATTTGCACCATATAAGTTGGTTTACTGCGCGAGTGGCTGGCCGAGTACATGCGCTATGTACCTCCCACATTAAGCTCTACTAGTAGTACTAGTAGGTATGCCACTTAACGCGTCGCGTCTTTCGCATCTTTCCTCCAACCCCACCACAGACAGCTGTGCTATACCCAGACAAAATTCAAATCCAAGTCGCAACTGCTACCACTAGCTAAATTTCAGTTTCATTCCATTGCTAAAAAAAGACTGAAAGAAACATAGACTTCGCAATTGGCCAATTGGCAGAAACCAGTCGCCCATCATGGCCGGCGAGGAAATCCAATCCCGATTCGCTCCCAATGGGAGCTTAGAGCCGGACGTTGTCAGCGAGCTCGAGTCTATGGCAAGGCTGCACGATATTTCAACAGAAGACCTCTATTTCAAGTGGGAATCTTACTGCATCAAGATGGATGTGGATACTCATGCCGTTACCTTGTTGAATGTGCGTGGTTTGAAGCAGGGCATCCAGGATGAGCTGGAGAAGTCACAGCACCGGGTGCAGCTCAAGAGCGAGAGGAAGATGGCGCCAACTCCAAGGGCCAAGCCGGGTGCCAAAGGAGGCGATGTCTTTGGCATGCTGGATGGGCTAGTACCAAGTACGCCTTCGACAGGGAGGCTGAACAAGGCACCAGGCAGTGGTGGGAACAGCCTGAGAAGGAGGATGGAGATCCAGAGAGACATTCCGAGCTCGCCAGCAGCAGGACTCAATGAGCAGCTGAGGGCAATGAATTTACCGTAAGTATTTCCGGCTCTGTAGTGCAGGTTGCCTTGCAGCTGCTAACTTGTGGTGCTTAGAGCTACGTCCTTTGCGGATCGACAGAACCCCGGCGAGGTAATCGAAATTTTGAACGACGAGCTCCCACCGGCCGAGGCACCGATTGCGCCGTTCCCCGAACCGAGAATCAAGCTTACGGCTGCTTCTGACCAGAAGAAGACGGGATATAAACCACTTGCAATGAAGCTATCAGAGGCCAGCGAGATCTTGGATGACCGAATCGACGACTTTATTGATCTGGTTCGCGAGCATCACAATCTGGAGGAATCTGCCTTTGGCAACGCTGCAACTGCAAGCACAACTGAGGTCGTGGCTGTGGGCCGTATAGCGTCCGATGCTCTCGAGGGGAAGCTCAATGCTGCTTCAATAGTGTTGGAGACCTCCAGACGGATGGGGAGAGGTCTGAGAGTACCGCTGAAGTTGGACGGTATACGAGGTTGGAGCTTCTTTCCGGGTCAGATTGTTGCGCTTAGAGGCAGCAATATCACAGGCGACGATTTCATTGTCAAGGAAATTCTAGACATGCCCCTTCTACCAAGTGCTGCTTCTAGTCCCTCCGCTCTAGAAGCTCATCGAGAGAAGCTCAAAGGCGATCCCGATGCTATGGATTCAGACTCAGCCCCTACGCCGCTTAGTATCATCTACGCGGCTGGCCCATATACGGCCGATGACAATCTCGATTACGAGCCGCTGCAGGCGCTTTGCAACCAGGCAGCGGATACATATGCCGACGCCCTTATCCTCACAGGGCCGTTCCTCGATATCGATCATCCGCTCATAGCTACGGGCGACTTTGATCTGCCCGAAGAGGCTACATACGATCCTGACACCGCCAACATGAATACTGTTTTCAAATATCTCGTCGCCCCTGCGCTAAGCCGCCTCGCCTCCGCAAACCCTCATCTCACCGTCATTCTCGTCCCTTCTGTCCGCGACGTCCTCAACAAACACGTCTCCTGGCCTCAGGATACCATTCCCCGACGAGAACTCGGTTTGCCCAAGTCAGTGCGAATCGTCTCCAATCCCATGACCCTATCTATAAACGAAGTTGTGCTCGGCTTGTCTAGCCAAGACGTGCTGTACGAACTGCGTAACGAGGAGGTAACCAAGGGGGCTCCCGCCGGAGATTTGATGAGACGGCTGTGTCGCTACCTCGTTGAGCAGCGACATTTCTTCCCCGTGTTTCCGCCCACGGATCGATCGAGGCTACCCAAGACAGGGACGGAACACGGGCTTGCCACGGGTGCCATGTTGGATGTGAGCTATCTCAAGCTGGGCGAGATGGTCAATGTTCGGCCGGATGTGATGCTAATGCCCAGTTCATTACCCCCTTTCGCAAAGGTATGCCACTCCTGTATTCCAAATCTTTTCTTTTCAACTTCTTTTTCTCTATGAACCCAGCTTACCATTTGAAACAGGTTGTTGAAAGTGTCTTAGCTATTAACCCTGGTTCATTATCAAAGAGGCGTGGTCCGGGAACATACGCCCGCATGACGCTCTATCCTCCATCTCTAGACGGGGAAGTAATAAATGGCTTGATAACTCACAAAGTATTCGACAGGGCACGAGTGGAGATTGTAAAGATTTAAAGCAGGGGGGACAATATAAAAAGAGTAGGCGCGGTATCATGTTTGGCTAAAGCAATTGATGATAGAATAATGGCATAATTTGATGTATTCTTTCTTTTCCTTGGATTTAACTGTTTGCTATTTCTCAACAGTTGTAGAACTATCCTAGTATGATGATCGAGCTATCCTTTGTTATACAAATAGATGAGGGTATACACGGAGTGGTGGATAGATTATTATCATAATCTTCTCTGGCCATGAGATCAGGTTATAAATGCATGTCGCCCCCAGAGAAGTTTCGCCAAACGTAGCATCTTCTGCTTCGGAAACTTTGCCTACTCCCGGGCATCAACCTTGCGTCTCTTATCACTATCATAACGATCTCTTTCACGAGACGTGCTCCTCTTCCGGCGGCTCCTATGATCGTCTCTGTCATAATCGCGATCGCGATCGCGATCACGCTCTCTGTCCCTCCTTGGTGACCGAGACCGTGAGTATTCTCGACGACGGTAGCTGTCTCCCCGGTCTCTTCTATCGTCGGACCTATCTCTCCTATCCCGCCTATCTCGATCGTCGCCTCTTCTGTCCACGTCTTGTCGCCTGCTTTCCCTGCGATCACCCAGTGGAATTGCATTCGCTCCCTTGACTCCATCGCCATCCGATCTGAAGCGGTCATCATCTGGTCGAAATCGATCATCGCCGTCAAAATTCCGGTCATCTCTTCTCTTATCCCCTCTTCCAAACGATCCCCAGGCACCAGTATCCTCGCTGCGCATATCTTTATACTTTGTAGCTCCCTTCTTGCCCAACTTGGTCATGTCCCGCCTCTGCAGATACTCCGGAAGCGCCTCACGATTGCGCACATCGTCCTGTATACGCCCTCCCATGATATCCCGCTGCAGCAGGCCCGCAGCGGCAGTTTCTTCCTGGAAAAAGGCTCCCTTGTGGTAATACTTTTGCATATACGACATCTTGCCCTTGCCCTCCTTCTCCTCCTTCTGCTTCGCGAGAAAGGCTTCGTCCTCGGCGGCGCGTTCTTCCTCCGTGAGGTTGCGGCGCCGTTCGACTTCTGCGAGTTCCTTTTCTCGCTCCTCAATGGCCTGGCGCGTGCGCTTGAGGCGCTTCAGCTCGCGCACTCGCCAGGCTGCTTCTTCGGCTTCCGGGTCTAGTCCGTCGGTTGTGTCGACATCTGATTCCTCGTTTTCTTCATCGTCCCAGTGCTTCTTCCCGGCGGCGCGCGCGGCTAAATCCTTTTTTATTTGCTCTTCGACGAGCTCGTCGGCAGCCTTTTTCCGGGCTTCTTCTTCGGCCTGTAGTCTCGCATCTTCGTCTTCCTTGTCGCCACTCTTTGCGGCGCCTCGTTGGCTTTTGGGTATGAATTTCGGTCTCATCATTAATCTCCTGGGTGCCTCCTCTTCGCTACTGCTCTCATCCTCCTCTTCCTCTTCTGACCCGCTCTCATCTTCTTCATCTTCGCCCTCCTCTTCCTCTTCTTCTTCTGTAACGAACCCTTCCTCTGCCGCTAGCCTTTCTGCCCTTTCCGCGGCAATCCGACGCGCTTCCGCAGCCTCTGCATCTTTACGCCGAGAAGCAAGATCGACTTTATTCAGGTTGCTGATGATTTTGCCGGCGCTGGTGGCTTTCGGGGGCGGAGGCACTGCGACGGGCTCGACGGGCTCCTCTGCGTCGCTGGCATCTGAGTCTGAGGAGGATTCTGCGCCGGTGACCTTGCCGGCTCGATGACGAGACGGCTTTATAGGGTTTGCTGTCATGCGCTTTGGAGGCATTGTGGCTATGAGATATGGGGAGAGATGGTGGAATGTCCAAGTGGACGTAGTTGTTGCGTAGTACCAGCTATCGGGTCCGAGATATGCTAGAAATTCAAAAGCGATAAGCTAGGGCGGTAAGCTGCCAAATCTAGGCTGACTCTCACTAAAAGTTTTAGAGCGATCTAATGCAATGACATCGTAGAGCTCACCCAGGTTCTGTCCAATTCGACACTACCTACTTGAAAATCAAATTGGAAGACCTAAAAACTAGGATTCATATTGAGGTGATGATAGCGTGCACACTGTAAAGTTATTTCTGAGCGCATTTGTGCTCAATTGCTAATTATAGTATCATTTACAGTGCTCTCACATGCTCCCTGTTAGCAATCCGTGATGCCTCTACATAACTACCTTATCTACTCCATACAATGAAAGCTCCGTATGCCACCAATGGTAACGAAGCATCAATGCCAATGATTGAAGCAGTTTAGCTGCCCAATCCACTCCTATCATCTCAAATTTGGAAATCTTTCCGTCATATTTTCAAACTACTAATTAGACATGATAACGCGCTTTCTATCACATGTTGCAGGGTAAGTCTCTTATAAACGCTGCGGAGTCGGCCCCTCGCTCACACGTCAGAGCTCCACCAGCCACGAATAGCTCAGGTACAGCACCTCTTTTAAGGTTCAGAATACGAAACGTGGTAGGGACTTCATCTCAACCTGAGCAACTTTCATTCCACTCCCGCTCTCACTCTTATTTTCGTTTGAATTACTTTCTCTTCTTCTCTATACGAAGCGAGAAGAGATCATCAATTCGTACCGCCTTGATAGTCTCAACGGCTGCCACCGCCACTTTCACACTTCGCAGCTCGTATCTATAAGCTAGAGCCTAAGCTGCTCATACTAGACGCAATGGCGGAGCGAACAGTCCTCGTCACCGGTGCCACCGGATTGTTGGGAAGAGAAGTGGCCTCTGCCTTTAAACTCCTACACAGCGGATGGGCAGTCAAGGGAACGGGCTACTCACGAGCAGACGGCGTTGATATCCTCAAAGTCGACTTGGAGAGCGCAGAGGATGTCGCCAAAACTCTAGACGAGACACGGTACGTATTATTGCAGCTTCATTTGTTGGCGTCGTATAGCCGACCTGACAATATCTATGCTAATAAATCTTCTGAGCGAGAAACAGACCCCAAGTGGTGGTTCATTGTATGGGCTGAAACCCCCTCCACGCAGAGTGACTGCTTTGCTGATGTCTTTATTCTCCTTAGGTGCGGCCCAGCGGTTCCCTGACAAGGTGGATAAAGATCCAGAGGGGGCCAGGGCTCTCAACATCGCGGCTAGCAAGCTCCTCGCTAATGTTACTGCTGCTCGTGATATTCTGATGATTTACATCTCCACTGATTATGTCTTTCCGGGACGGCCAGGCGATGCCCCTTATGAGGCTGATGCTACCCCGGGCCCTACCAACCTCTATGGCCAAACTAAGCTCGATGGTGAGAATGCTGTGTTGGAAGAATACGCCAAGGCCGGAAAAGAGGGTCTTGGACTTGTGCTTCGAGTCCCAGTGCTCTACGGCCACGCGGAAACACCATCTGAAAGCGCCGTCAACGTGCTCATGGATAGCGTTTGGAAGGCCCAGACAGAGGGGACAAAGATCAAGATGGATCACTGGGCTCTCCGCTACCCCACCAATACAGAGGATATTGGGAGGATCTGCCATGGTAAGTTTCTGTCTCACTTTATCTCTCCAAGCTTACCTAGTATTGTCATTTTCGCCGCTTCCCCTATATTTAATACTTGGAAGCGTTTGTTACTAACTGGGCGGTGCCGATATACAGACGTGGCGGTCAAATATCTCGAGTCGGGAGATCGTAAGAACCTGCCTCGAATACTCCAGTTCTCCAGCGAAGACAGAATGACAAAGTATGAGATCTGCCAAACATTCGGTGACATCATGGGCCTATCTATCGCCAATATCGAGCCCAACACAGAGGGAAACGATCCCAACGCCAGCGTGCAACGACCATATGACTGCCACCTAAGCACCCGAGAGCTCAAGAATCTCGGTATTGATGTCTCAACATGCGACTTCGTGAGCTGGTGGCGTCGCGAGGTTCGGGCTTTCCGCAAGTAGCTGCTCACCGAATGCCTTTTTGCCATGTCGATTATTGGACGCTCGCCACATTCTGCCATGCGAGTTCATGCATGAACTTGTAATGTTGGTAACTGCATTGCAGGCAGCAATCTACTCTGCTGATATTGCCATACAAGATATCTCGCGAAATATATATTCCTCTCATGGGTGGAGGTTCGATGCATCAGATGCTGTGTACGACGCACGTGCTCCATGTTACTGTTTTGTTGGTGCTCGCATTTTGCTCGTATTTGTGAAAGCTGGTGCATTCATCCACTACATTGTGTGCCCACAATACCTGTCACATATGAGGAGTTGGAGGTAAGGAGGCGAAAGTTATATCTTACCCCGGCCTTCAAAAAAGGCCTAGGCTCACCGAACGGTGGTTCGCGGGGGATCCGCTTCGAAGGCGACATGAGAATATTTTCAACTTCTCGATGACCCGCAAAGGGAGATTCTTTGATCTAAAAAAAGCCATGCGAAGTAGTTTTACTACAGAGGCATTGGGGCTGCGCAAAGCGATTTGGAAATGTGCTTCTGCCAGCTACTCAGGTGAGCACAGATCCAAGGGCAGAAATTGAGAGATGCTCGCTGTGGACAGAACACTGATATTTGCCATGGCATCTAGGGCAGCCTCTTGTCCATCGCCACATGCAATCTAATAGTCTCCCTTACATGAACTTCTTTGCTAGGCTGAAGCCACACGGCAGTGGCATTTCTCAAGAATCAAGCCGTGTGCTTAAACACTGGCGCAACCCCGTATCCAACCAGTTGGCGGCCAAATTGGGACCCGCATCAGGCGAACACCCCCTTTGCAGGCGCTCGGATACAGCAACGACGCGCATTAATCCGACAATGCCTGCTGCAAGCGAGCACTTATTTTAAGGCATGCGAGATCACTACGCGGCCGACGGTGGAGGGTTGGAATCGAAAATCGACGGCCGTTGCGCGTGGATGGCATTTTGGCGATATGACCTGCATCATGGGCATCGAGGCTTTGCCGGACGACTCTGTCTCTCCTGAAAGGGTCGCTTGCCGCGAGAGATTGCGCCTGCGGCTTCGAATTCTAGAAGGACGTTCTCTCCTCGACTAATTCTCTCCCTTTTTCAACATATTTCCTCTCGCCATTCCCTCCTGACTTGTTTCTTCTGGATAGCTATTGCTCCTGCAAGTGACTGGCTTTTGAGAACTGCTCATTCCCTCGAGGCCCAGTGAGTGACTAAAGAAGCGTGACTGGAGCGACGACAACGCTGCTCTTTCTTTCTTCGGGACTTATTTTCGATAATCTGGTATGTCAGCTGCGAGGTTGGTTACCAAGAGAACCGCATGTGTTGATGTTTATTTGCCATTCTGCTCACAGCGTTCCGGCCGTTTGCACGCCTTGTCTCTCTAACGCTGAGGCTGAAGAAGGAAAAAGGCAGAGAGGGAAGAAACTGCATTCAAGAAAAGAGAAACAGAGAGAAGAAAAATAATCAGGGTGCTTCCTTCTCTGCTTCATCTTCCTTTTCCTCTTCGCTTACGATAGAGCCCCTGTCCAAGCGCCTTAATCTCTCTGCTGCGTGACAGCTTTATTACCGGCTTACACGATTTCAAGCAGCATCAGGCAATCTGCCGCTGTGGCTGTCGATCGCCTGACGGACGGATCCGCTGTAAAGCCTATTCTGACAGCGGCCCCGGGCGCGGCTACAGCAATTATGGCTGCTGCGGAAGATGCAGCTGCAGGGCCCCTCCAGGCGCCGCCACAGGCGCCTCCCGAGCAGCCCCCACCAAAGACGCCTCGCAACCGCACCTTTCGAGGGAAGAGCGTTTCGTCTCGTTTCAACCTGTTCCGCGATCCAGATCCCCAGAGCTCGGACGGCTCCCAGAGCTTCGCAGGGGCCCGCAACCCTCCTGCGTCAATTTCACTCTCACAAGCCTCGGACGTGCCGCCCATTCCCAACTTCGTGCTCAGCGCAAACCCCAAAACCGACTCCAGCCCGTCGCTTCTGGAAAGGAGATTCTTTGGCGGCGAACTGAAGCCACCACCATCGCCCTCGGCCAGGTCTTTTTACTCGGAATCCGGATCGCCCTTTGGCTCGCCTCTGAGCAGGAGCATCAGCAGCATCAGCAGAACCGAGCGGGAAATTGACGAGCTCGCCACGCAATTGGAGGCCGAGATTGAGGAGGCGCATCGCAAAAAGGCACAGGCCCTGCAAAACTGCACCGAAGAAGAGGCTGCTCGCTGTGCAGACGACGTCGCGCGACTTGAGGCCGAGCGAGACCAGGTCATTGATGAGCAGAGGAAGTTTGACCTCGCACGCCTTCAAGCGCAGCCAGCCACGCCGTCGTCAGGGAAGCCCAAGCGAGTCTTGGAGAAGCTCAGCCTGTTCTCGAGAAGCAGGAAACCAAGCAGCTCTAATTTGATCCAGCCGCCGCTGACTCCCTTGCCGCCTGGAACTCCCAGCACTGTTGCGCCGACTGTCTTTACGCCGGGCGTCTTTACGCCTACACCAAGCTGCAGCCGACGGAGCAGCCTCGACGATTCGCCTCTGCTGCATTCCTCACAAAGGATGAGCTTCATTAAACCACATCCCGAGGGCGACGCGCCCATCTCTGCCATCAACGGCGGTGAACGAGTGAGTGCTGCTGGATAGACCTGTGTGACCACGCCCGGCTAATATGTACTGACCCCTCTTTCCCTCCCTTTGCAGCGTGTTACCGTTCGATGCCTTTCGTCCACCATTAGTCTGGATGTAACAGCCCAGACGACGGCTGTTGATATTCTCATTGCAACCGCCGCGCAGACAAGGCACGATGTTGACGTTGAAACGAGCGTCGTCGTGGAATGCTACGACACCCTTGGATTAGAGCGGCGCATGCGACGATACGAGCATGTACGGGACACGCTGAATTCTTGGGACCGCGACCAGGATAACTCACTTCTCGTGATACCATCAGATGCGTCGGATGGCGATGAGAATCTTGAACTCGAATCTGTGCCGCTGACAGATGACCCTGCGCCAGGCTTTTCTATCCAGCTTTACCATTCCTCTCGCCCAGGCAAGTGGAATAAGCGCTTCGTCACCCTGCTCAGTACCGGCCAAGTATATGCTTCCAAGCGCGCCGATACATCAATCTCGGATAAAGACAGCACATCTTTGTGTCATTTATCAGACTTTGACATTTATAAGCCCAAGCCGAGTGAAGCGAAGCGGAACCTAAAGCCTCCCAAAAAGCTATGCTTCGCCATCAAGAGCCAGCAGAAGACCGTGGTGTTCCCCAATGGCGAGAACTTTGTTCACTTCTTCTGCACCGACGATGCTGCAGTAGCTCAGAGATTCTTTGACCAGGTGCATGCTTGGCGGAGTTGGTACATTGTTAACAAGATCACGCATTCGCGCGAAGTTGAAAAGCCAGCGCCTCTTAACTTGGGCCTCAGCAGAGCCGACACAGTCAGGATGCCCCTTATCAGCGAAAAGTCCCCCCAAGTCTCTACTACTGGCTTAACTATTACAACTGGGTCATTCATCGATGACAGCGATTTCACCAAGGCTATTGAAGAGTCTACCAGGAAGCTGGCCCTGGAGGCCCAGCTTAATAAAACCATGTCTAGAAGAGGAAGGAAAGCATCTGGAGCCTCTGTCACCCCTAGTGTGAAAACCGATCAGGCATTCTCACCCACCGGCTTACTTGGAGAAGCGTATGAAAAGCGCAAAGAAGAATCGGCGGCGATTGAGGTCACGAGCCCCTTTACAGAAGGCCCGTCTTTGTTGAATAGTATTGGCCTATCATCACCAAAATCGCCCGAGCAGCCCAAAACAGCTACGTCCTGGTTCCCGTCTGCCGCCGAGCATAGCGCGCGCAACCGGAGTACCTCGATATCTCTACGACGAAACGAGACGGTGGAGGCCCCAGTCCAGCCTGAGCACAGGAAGGGGCCGGCGCCCCTGTTGAACTTTGGTGGTAATATTCAAGAGCAGCCACGCACCCGAGATGGCCGTCGTGAGAGCCTCCGAGAGGGCTTCCGGCAAGGCCCCGGGCCTAGGCAAGGACATGGCCTACGCCCTCCGCCGGGCTCGCCTCTCGTCAAGTTTGCAACATCCGGACAGCCGGGACCGATGGGGCCTCCCGCATCACCGGGAGGAAGACACGGGCCACCTCTTTCTGGAGGTCCTCCACCGCCGCCGGGTGCACGAAACCGTAGCCGTTCAATATCCAGTGCCAACAGTGGCCCTCCCAGTGGCCCTCCTCATAGCGGTCCTCATGGTGGTCCTCATGGTGGCCCTCATGGCGGTCCTCATGGCGGTCCCCGACGTTATCCTGGTCCTGAGGATCTCCCTTCTGCAGCTATGCAACACCGAGGACCCGGCCCACGACCCGGCCGAATGCCTCCTCCATCCCCTCGTGATGCTGCAGCTCACGGCCGTGATCACCGTCGACCTGGTCCTTTGCTTCAAGAACGTCAAGAACGTTCCAGAGATCCCAGAGAGCGACCCCGGGAAAGGCCCCAAGAACGCCGACCAGGGCCTTTGGTTAACCACGCTCGATAATTGACTCGTGTTCCATACATCTATAGAGGCACATGGAAGCACTTGATAGTGAAACCTTTCTTCATCATGATACCCCTTACCCAGAAGCAAAAGTGGTTTTATTATTTGGGCCTTTTTTCTTTTTGTATTCCCTTTGTTCTTGTTTTGAATACCACATCTTGGCCATAAGGAAACGGCCCTTTTTTTCTTTTGTGTTATCATTTGAGTCTGGCGAGTTGTAGCTGGGAAGGCTTGTAAGTCATACAGGGGCATTTATTATGGGAAACTTGGCGGTATTGGATTGAGCCTTTCTTTTTTAATAGTCGCATTCAGCATTTCGGACTTTTGGCATTAAAATGTGCGTACGGGGGAAGAAATCGTGGAAGAAAAAGTCATAGTTATACGCAATACTAGATCATTGAATTCTGTCTTTCACATCCGTTGTGAATATGTATTAGTCTGTTTATTTCGTCGGCTTTAACATGATGCCTTATAAATGCTATAAAATCGCCTTTTCTAATTGGCTTTGCCTCATTTCTATATCCGATACATTAAAGAAAAGAAAGAGGATAACGAAAATTTGTCTATTTGCTTCGCTTGTAGATCTTGCTCAGGAACACCTCAAACACCTGCTTCTTGAGGCCCTGGCTCTCGTCAATCTTGTTGATCAGCTCCATGAGCTCGGCGGCACGCTTCTCCTCAAATGCCTCGTATCTCTCCTTTAGCTTCATGTCGTCGTAGAGCTTCTTGACGGCCTGCTCCTTGGCATCGTCCTTTTGGCCGTAGTTCTCCTCGAGGATCTTGCGCTGCTCAGGGGTGGCAAGCTGCAGGGCCTGGTTGACTAGCCAGGAGCACTTGTTGTCCTTGATGTCGGTGCCGATCTTGCCAATGTGCTCGGGCAGACCAAAGTTGTCAAGGTAGTCGTCCTGGATCTGGAAGTACTCGCCGAGGGGGATGAGGATGTCCTTTGCGGTCTGCAGGTTCTCGGGAGAGGCAATATCCAGCATGTAGAGCGCCAGGGCGATGGGGAGGTAGAAGGAGTAGTAGGCGGTCTTGTGGATGACGATGAAGCTGTACTTTTCCATGGAGAAGTTGTCGAGGTTGACGACGTCCTCGGGCGCGGTGAGCAGGTCGCAGAGCTGGCCGAGCTCGGTCTGGAAGGAGCTCTCGTGGAAGAGCTCGACGAGCTCAATGTAGCGGGGGTGGTCGCGGAAGTACTTCTTGAGGATGATGTAGATGCCGGCCTCGAGCAGGAAGGAGTCGTTGATGGCGATCATGCCGACGCCCTCCTGGCGGTACCAACAGGGCTGGCCGCGGCGCGTGATGCTGCTGTCCATGATGTCGTCGGACACGAGGAAGAAGGCCTGGAGGAGCTCCGTCATCCAGCCCAGCGTGGCGGCCTTGAAGTACTCCTCCTCGGTCAGAGGGCGGCCCAGAATGATGGAGACCGAGTCGGGGACAGACATGCCCCGGTTGCATTTTCCGCCGAGGGGGTTGACCTCGAGGTTCTAGAGATTGGAGGGGAAACAAGTCAGCCACCAATTGCATTGGGATAGAGCAGATGTTCGATTGAGAGAGAGAGAGAGAGCAGTCATACCCTCTTGAGCCAGGCCAACTCAGCGGCGGGCAGCTTGTAGCTTTTAGCATGGTCGAGGAGAGCTTCCTCCAGCTTGGGCCAGACGGATTCAAACTCCTTGAGGGTGGTCTTTTGAGCCATGGCGAGCGAAGTGGGGGATTAGGAGGAGGGGAGATAAAGGTGCAATGGGTATCACGTATAAAATAGAAGGAGAAGAAGCAGAAATTATAAACACCTCGCTGCCGAATAAAAGTGGCGGGAAGAGGAGAAGAAGAGGCTAAATAATATACTGCCTGCGCTGGGGGAGAAGAGTGTTGTTGGTTCGGTTATACGAATTTGGAGAAAGAGAGACGGCGCCCCTCCATTGGCTTCCACGAGAACCAGCCCAGCTCCAAGATTGAAAAAATTGCCAAATGACGGAAACTGACGGGGGGCCCCTCATGGCCCTTAGCCTTTTGTGGGGGGCGGTGAGCGGCAGCAGCTCAGAAAACAGAAGAGCGTGCATGTACAGGCATGCGGTGCTACTGTATCTGGGGCCGCAGTGGTAAATTGGCGCCAGCTGCAGGGCATCGAATCGAGTCGCCCAGGCCTGGGCCCTTGCTAAACACGCTCTGCTCTGCGGTTAGCATGCCCAGTATGGTGGCATCTGCGGTGGTGCGCTGGGCGGTACCTGAAAATCAGCGCTTGGATCACGTCGCTAGGGGCCGCGAATCGGGATGTGGAGGCCTGTGGCAGCGGCTGAGACAGCGACGGTACGCCGTGTGACCAGTCGCTAAATGAGCGATTATGCGCACTGTATTTATGCATTGATTATCAGTTCTTTGCTTTCGCTACCTCAGACACTGTGTACCTACTTTATGCCTCTCCCTCGCGTCTAATACGAGTACGCTTCGATGCAACGTACTCGGATTTCACCACCTCCGGTCCCTTATCGCAGACGCCACAGCTCACAGACAAGCCCAGCCAATTTCATGCCCAGCCTGATTCAGCGTGCAGAGTGCAGATGCCGTACGTGGCTGCTATCTGATATATGACACGGACGGACAGACAGCAGGGATCGCGCATCGTTGCCTGAAGGCCGGGGCTGAGCCTTGCGTGCCTTGCGTTGCTACCACGTTGAACGGCTATCGCGGCCCATTCCCTCGTGGCTTTTCTTTAATTTGTTTAATTTGGTTTGCTTTGTTTACTTTCGTACCCCAGCCATGCCGCTCAGCTCCCACGAGGTAGCCCAGCTCAGGATCGCGCTGCAAGATGCGGTGGTGAAATGCTCCGAGCGATGCCTGTATCAGTCGGCAAAATGGTTAGCTTTTACTTTTGCCTAGTTCTTGACGTCCCTTGTTTGTAATTTTACCACGTGTGAAGCAGGCATAAGGCTGATAATCTTATTTCTCAAGGGCAGCCGAGCTCCTCAATGCGGTTCCAGAGGCGGCGGATGGGGAAGAGGAGGCTGATGACCCCGAGCTCGGCAAACACACCTCACCCATCTTTGCGCCAAATCAAGATGCCGGCGAAGCTGCCCTGGAGGCAAAGGAGTTGAGCAGGTACCTCCTCGCCAAGTCGCTCTTTGACTGCAAGGAATATGACCGCTGTGCGGCCGTCTTCCTGCCGGAGTCGTTGCTGTCCACCGTTCTCGACTCACGCCTCGAGAAACCCCTGGCGACGCCCAAAGGCAAGGGCAAGTCGAGGGCGACGGATGAGCCTAGCCTGAGCGCGGTGCCTCTGCCCAAGCTCAGCCAGAAGAGTCTCTTCTTGGCGCTGTATGCCAAATTCATGTCTGGCGAGAAGCGCAAGAATGAAGAGTCCGAGATGGTCATTGGCCCTAATGACCTTGGCACCGTGGTCAACAAGCAACTTCTGGTTGTTGGGAGATTTTTGACTGCTTGGTTTGAAGAGAGGACGACGGACGATGATGAAGTTCTCGGAAGCCAGGGCTGGCTGGAATATTTGTACGTTGACAATAAGTTTATTTATTATGTCATTATGAGAGTTACGACTGCATGTGCTAACCCTCGTTGACTGTAGATACGGCATGGTGCTCGCCAAAGAAAAGAATGACGAGAAAGCCCTGGAGTTCCTTATACGCAGTGTTCACAAGTACCCCATGAACTGGGGCTGCTGGCTTGAGATGACGTCTCTGATATCACGAGTCGAAGATGTAAGTTGATGGAAGGCAACACATGCATTCCAGGGCAGCGACTGACAAGCAATCCTTTAGCTGAATCGAATATGTCGGCATTGCCCTCAAAATATCGTTTCCTACATGTTCCACCTTCACACATCGCTTGAGCTGTACCAGCAGTCCGCAGGCCTTGCAAATTCTCTCGATCAACTCCTCTCCATCTTCCCGACCTCATCCTTTCTCCTCACATGCAATGCACTGTTGGCCTACCACGCAAAGGATTTAATGACCGCCGAGCAGCATTTCAGCCGGCTGCTATCGCTTCATCCCCACAGGCTTGATTCCTTGGATCACTACTCCAATATTCTCTACGTGCTGAATCTGCGGCCAAAGCTTGCATTTCTGGCTCACCTGTGTTCGAGCGTGGATAAGTTTCGGCCTGAATCTTGTGTCGTCATCGGAAATTACTATTCGCTCCTGTCCATGCACGAGAAGGCTGTGGGATACTTTCGACGAGCACTAACACTCGATAGGTCATGCCTCTCTGCATGGACTTTGATGGGCCACGAATACGTGGAGTTGAAGAACACACATTCTGCTATAGAATCATATCGACGAGCAGTGGATGTCAATCGCCGTGACTACCGAGCTTGGTATGGCCTTGGGCAAACGTACGAAATGCTGGAAATGCACACGTATTCGCTGTGGTACTACAAAAAGGCCGCCGGTCTCCGGCCATGGGATGGCAAAATGTGGATGGCGGTTGGATCGTGCCTCCAGAAAATGGGCCGAGAGCGTGATGGCATCAAGGCGCTCAAACGTGCTCTGCTCGCCGATGCGTACTATGACGTGGGCAGCAGCTTTGGCAGCGGCGGAGATCTGCTTGGAGCTCGTGGCGCCACTGGTCAAATGGACCCGGAGATACTCTTGCAAATCGCTACCATGTACGACCAGCTAGGAGAAGAAGAGGAGGCGAAAGCTTATATGGAGCTCTGCGTGGCTCAAGAGGACGGAGGTCTGGCAGCCGCTGGGAACTTGAGCGAGTCTGTGCGGATCCATAACGATTCGCCAGGAGGCTCGGAAGGCTACCACGAGCGAGACGACAACCACGTAGAGGGGAATGCCGAGGGTACCGGCGTCACGGCCGCGACCAGCAAGGCGCGCATGTGGCTGGCCAAGTTTGCCATGCGCACTGCGGACTATACCACGGCGAACCAGCTCGCCGCTGAGCTGTGCCAGGATGGAGTCGAGGTGGAAGAGGCCAAGGCGCTTGTGCGGGAGGTGAGGTCGAGGCTTGAGGCTTCTGGCATGTTGACATCTGCAGGCTAGCAGCGAGTGCCGGAAACGTCTAAACAGCGTCGATCGTGATCATGATGTGTCTCATGATCGACTACATGGTTTCCTTTCCTTTTGGTTTTTCCTCTTGTTATGAATTGGAGGTGTAAGCTTGGCTGGCAGCCTTTTTCATGATTTTGATACATATTAGCATACGATGAGACCTTCATTAGCATAAAAACGGAATTATCACGGAATTCATGGAATCTAGATGATCACGTGTAAAGGAGTGTGTATTTTTTTTTTATTAAATCCAATACTTCTTGTCTAAACCAAGCAATTCCACAACCGCAACCGCGATTAACCCGCCTCCAGTTCTCTGTTATAAAATGGTCTCTCTTCCATGGTATGAAGGAGTGTCAAGAAGATAGTTTAAAATCAATTAATTAAAAAGCTGAGAACTGTCCCATAGTGGGATATGACCGAGCCTCTCCTGTTCCCCTGTCGCTAGCCAATTTCTTATTTCCCTGATGCCAAACTCTGCATTTAGAGAGCGAAAGCGGCAAGACCAGCGAGGACGAGAGCGCCGATGCCAGCGTTGGTCTTGTCGGCAGCAGCGGTGGGGATAAGCGGAGGAGTTGTGCCAGTGGCCGGAGGTGGTGGAGGAAGTTGAGTGCTCGCCGGGGGTGGGACCACAGTCTGCGGAGGAGGGACCACAGTCTCCGGAGGAGGAACCACGGTTCCCGGAGGAGGGACCACAGTCTGCGGAGGAGGGACCACGGTTCCCGGAGGAGGGACCACAGTCTGCGGAGGAGGGACCACGGTTTCCGGAGGAGGGACCACAGTCTGCGGAGGAGGGACCACGGTTTCCGGAGGAGGGACCACAGTCTCCGGAGGGGGAACCACGGTCTCCGGAGGGGGGACCACGGTTTCAGGAGGAGGGACCACGGTTTCCGGAGGAGGAGGAGGCGCCACGGAAGTCTCAGGGAGAGGAACCACAGTGGTGACAGGAGGAGGCGCCACGGAAGTCTCAGGGGGAGGAACCACAGTGGTGACAGGAGGGGGAGGGGGAGGAGGCAGCCGTGTGGTATTAGCGTGTGGTGGAGGAGGCGGAGGAGGGGGAGGAGGAGGCGGCGGCGGAGGAACCGGATGAGTGAAAGTGCAAGGACAGTCTGTGGCAAGTCATTAGTCGTCGGTGCTTATAAGCTGAAGAACAGCACAGAGAGAGCCTTACTGGTGATGGTCAGGGTGGTTGGCTTGGTGACCGTGTAAGTGATGCTGTTAATGGGGATAATAGTCGGGGTCTTATGCAAAGTTAGCTGCTGGACTTCTAGTGAAAGGAATTCTAGATTGATACTTACAGGACAGAACGTCGTATAGTCAGTAGTAATGACAGTGGTGTACTTGGTGATGTTCTGAGGAGGCGCGTACACGGGAGGCTGGGGCTTGGGAGGCTCGTACTTGGGAGGCTCGTACTTGGGAGGCTCGTACTTGGGAGGCTCGTACTTGGGAGGCTCGTACTTGGGAGGCTCGTACTTGGGAGGCTCATACTTGGGAGCCTCAGGCTCCTTGTTGCCATATTCAGGTTGCTTGTTGCCGTATCCACCCTCACCACCGGCAGCAACTGCGGTGGCAAGCGCCGCAGCGGATGCCACGAGTTGAATGAAACGCATTTTTGCGGTATCAACGAAGGACAGGAGGACCCAAAGTTAGAAAAGCTTTTGAGCTAGTGCTTGAAAGACTGTATCGAACGAGTGTGAGTGTGATGAAGAGAGGAGAAAAAAGAAGGCTGAGATCATGGGATCATGTCGCCTCTTTGTAGTCGAGAGGGAGCGGGTCTATGGCGTGGGAATGGATGCATTCAGGCCATGCATCCAGATGCTGTGCCATGCTGCATCAGGAGAAGCTTCATGAAGCCATCCATTGGTTTCGAAGTAGCCTCACCGGATATGGAGGGAAAAGCTTAAGAGTTCGATCTATGGCTGGATGGCGCCACCGAAGACTAGAAGACTGGGAGTTTGCAAGGATGAGGATGGTGATAGGATGGTTAGAATAACCAACAAGAGTTGTTACAGCAGATCGGCGTACACGACCTTTGAGATGACAGTGGGTAAGGTACTGAAAGCAGCAGACAGGGATACATGTTCCTGGGGTATATCCTTTGAGTTCTCCATCTGTTAGTGCATCTTGCGATCTACGGTTCTTCCCTCGCCTAGTGGAGCATGGAACGGCGGCTCGGGGCTTGATTATAGACTTACAAAATAAAGAAGGCCGCTACCGGCCTGATGTCACGAAACCGTCAAGAAGCTTGTGAATACGGAAACTGATGGGATTAGTTCAGGCTTGTTTGGCAGGTGGCGGCCAACGCTGCTCTCTACTGGCTTGAAGGGGAACGGACACAAAGTATGTGCTCCATCTAGCTAGGAACTAGCCTAGCAAGCCTGCAAAGAACAAATATCGTATTATCTTTCAGCTGGTATGGGGTTGGAGGGATGATTAAGTCTCTGGTTATTTAATTGGATGTATCCCAAAGGCAGAGTTTGTCCCTACCTTTGCAATGCTTCGTTTGCCGTTTCACTAAAACAGCAGCCAGTGAATGCGAAATCGCACCGAGCTCCCTTGCATACGGCCTGCAGACGGAAACAATCAGGATGGGGGAAAAGGAGCAAAAGAGCCGATGGACTTGCCCAAAGCAAGATAACACGAGAATATCCGGCGCTGAAGTGGTGATTTCGGCCGCAGTGCATGATGTAATTCTCCCACTTCGGTGGCAGCAGTGAGGGGAGAGTTTGAAAGTTTTGGGTGTCCGCCGCAACACAGCTGCATAGCGTCTGCCGTGTATCCGTCTCAAGCATATTCTGAAAACAAGCTGCCCAAAAAAGGACCAATCTGCGATGTTCGAAAAGGGGAAAACCGACTTTGGGTACGAGTGCGGCGCTGGGCCTTCGTATAGATAGATGCAAGTCGAGTCGAGCAACTTGGGTAGTAACCAACGTATAGTATGGCCTCGCCTTTCTGCCGTCCACGCTCATTATCGTAACTGCAGAATCAATTGAACGCGGCCAAGAACTACAATTGATTTGCCTCTTTGCTATACTTGTCCCCCTGCATTGACAGCAGTTGCGGAGCTTTCTGTCAATCTGCCTAATCGTGATGATTTCGGCTTCCGCGTAAAGGTCTGACTGGAATGTGGATGGCGCTCCATGCAGCCAACCAGCTTCCGGCAGGCCGAAAGCGACGCTGGAGCCAGGTCCATTGCAACAAAAGTCAATTTCTCATAATTTAGGTAATACGATAGGTGGAATTTCGTCTTTGGCCTGCTTCAATGTAAGTGATTGGCTTTGGCCGGAGGTGTGGTGCATGCATAGATACAACTCTAACCGTTGGTCGATGCTTGATATGGACTAGGTCTAGATGGAATAGAGGTTCGTGGCAGATTTCCCATCATTTCTGCACGTGAAATTTCACATTGACAGTGGATACGAGGACTCGTGCAAGAATGAGGCTTTGATGAACACAAAATGCCGAAGATAGAGAGAGGGGGGCAGAAAGGAAGAAGGAAAGCTCCTGAGGGTTGTCACGAGAGCTAAGCAGGCTGTGGCAGTTTTGGCACTGTGTGCTACTGCTTCATGTAGCGGTGCTGTACAGTGCTATCTGTAGCTCGGTAGCTACGATAGATACGGACTTTGTTTTTGAGCTACGTGCTTGGGCGACTTCGTCTTTCTTCCATCGGCAAATAAACCAGCCACTTCTCCACAAACTGCTGGAAAGCAGCCTCAGTGCTTCACGCCACCGCCGTAATCATGTTCACACTCAGCAGTCTCTCAGAAAACATCGATTGACCTGGCCCGGCCCGCATCTTCCGAATGAGAGAGCAACGGCGGCATGGAGTGAACATGCTGAGTTTGCACAGAGTACAAGCCACTTGGGCTTCAACAATGGATAATAGATTTTGAGAAGCAGCAATTGACACAAATTTTACGAATTTTAATTACTGACTTCCCTTCCAAAGTAGAAGTACGGAGTAGTGAGAGCAAAAAAGCCCGGCTTTTTTCTTCCAAAGACTGATCTCGATACCTGCCCACCAACAGAGAAACAAACAAGGCGTTCCTCGTATAACATGCAGCCTAACATCCCGTGTCACACACCATATATAAGATGTTTCTCCGATTGGTGCTCCAACATGCACGAACACGTGTGCAATTGTGTCGACTCACCGGTCTGGATGAATGTTCTGCGCAACTAGCTACATTGCAGCAGACATATCGCCATATCACACCTCTCATATGCAGCCTGGCCTTCGACTCTGTCCACCTACTTCCAAGTCTCTGAGGCATCAATACTGGTTTCCGGTCTATCGTTTCAGACCCAATTGCCACTAGTGCTCTTTCCGTCCTCCATTATGCCTGCATGCCTATGCAGCTTCATGTCTGCCTGGGCAAAACTTCGGCTTTTGCAAGACGGTCCATGAACGTACAAACCTGCCACTGTGCGGATTTTCTGAATAGCCTGGAACAAAATTTTCTGTTCTACCAGACTCTTGCTTCCAAAGAGAGCAAGTTCTCCGTTCTATCCAGCTACGACTAGTTCTTGGGAAAATGTAAAGATGGGCCCGAGCCGCCTAAGGGAATCAAGCTCAAGAAACTAGCAAAAGTCAGGCCCCCCGGTTTACTGTATCAGGCAATCAACGCACCTTTGGCCACAAAAGAGCTGCGTCAGTTTTTCTGCTCCAAGTGGAGGTTGAATGTCAGTCATGATATCTCGAAGGAGAAACTCCAGAAACCGTCCAAAGAAAATCTGGGTTGCGTAAATGTCGTCGTCATCGCCTCTCACATCGCCAGTTTCTGATATGCAATGGGGCACTCAAGAACTGTTCAAGAGCCATTAATCATCTGCCACGCTATTTCTCAGCTAGTCGAGGCCTTTTCATCTACTGTAATTGCCAAGTTTTATTGTTGCCGAGATGCTGCTCTAGACCAAGCCTTAGGCACGCAAAGCACGGCAATCGGGGGAGCGATCAGCCCCCAGGTCGTATTGTCGGGCGCCCAAGTCCTACGACACGGTGCGGTTGAGTCTCTTCCGAGTAACCGGCCATCGAACTCGTGAAGTGGCTGCATAAGTCACGCATATTACGAATCTGTCGTATCAGCTTTGCAGCCAAATGACGCGTTACCCAACATCAGTTCTTATTGATGGCGACTAAAATCGCTTTTGCGTTGCTTTCATTGTTGCGAGAAGCAATCTCTGCATTTGGCTATTGCTCGTTGTATCATGGCCAAAAGGAAGCAAAACCGTGCCAATTACATGGACTGTCACCAAGCCCTCTGTACGGTCCTTTTGCAACGGATACTAGAGCCGACGATCGTGAACATAGACCCATGCGGCGAGAGCTAATGATGGAGAATTCACATGGAAATCCTCCACTGCAGGTACTGGGTCTACTTGCAGGCGATGGAGCTCTCAAGATTTTCAAGTCCCACCTCTTCTCGCCGCTCACGATTCAGGTTTGCAAGCAATGGCCATATTATCTGGTGCCCGCAAAAAAAAAAAAAAAAAAACAAGGATTGGGCTTGTTCCTGGAGCCCGATCGCTGACCACCTAGACTCTCCCGGCGAAGGTTCCCTTGCACGACACAAGGCAAATATTGGAAACAGACGACAGGCTCAGATCTGTGCGGCGGGGAGAAATCAGTTTACACGATAGTGCCCGATTCCGTGAGCTAGCCGCGGGCTATCTACGCAGGGGACAAGCATTGTTGGAGATCAAACTTAATCGATGGTAGACTGAACGCCGTAATACATTCACCTTTTATTCTTTCGATTCCCTCGCATTCTCGCAAAAGGTCCGCTACCGAGGTAACTAACAACCAGCTAAGTTGGACACTGCGTCAAAAATCTTGAAGCACAGCCAGCAACTTCCTGCAGGCTTTTCACTCGGAGGCAACGGAGTGAGCGGCCACAACAGGCAAATTCCCACGATCCACTCGCCGGTCCGGCCTGTCAGGGCAGACCACATGGATCTTGCCAGGCACCGGCCAATTGGGTTGCGGAGCCGGGTTCCGGCCGTTATGCAGCTAAAAACGATGGTTTCCCAAAATCGCTGGGCAATCATCCGGCCAATTGCAGCTTTGAGACCTGATGCAGTTGAGGGGTAAGCACGCGCGAGCGAGGCAGCTTTTTCTCGTTGCTGGAGGCCTGGAGCCGAGAAGGGCGCAAAGGCAATCCGACGAAGAATATCATTTGTGCGCGACTGCGAATAGCGAACCCCGAAGCTTTAATAGTCGACTTCACTGCGTGTCCGAATAGCCCTTCCGCTATATGATGCTAGCAGCGACAGACTACGAGTAGCAGCAGACACTACTCCATACTTATACTAGTTTTTACTAGACTTTTGACGTTCCTGGCCAGGAACGAGTGCACAGTGTGGCCGGATGTCCCTGGCTCCCCACCATCTTGTTTTTTCTGTGCCTTGCTTACAGGCCGTGAGATGAGACGCTGCACGTCGGCAGCTGGATACGAATTTTGACTTCCATTGGAGTGCCAGGACGGCTCACTCTGACGATGGATTGGCGCTGAATATACTTCCAGTGAGGGCGTTTGATGCGAACCCTGCGCACATGGATCACGGGATGAGGGGAAGAACACAGCGGCAGCTGTAACCCCCAACAACGCTGCCGTTTCCATACGACTCGTCCTGCGTCCTTTCAAAAGGCTCTTTAACTAATCTGGAATATACTTAGGTGGCTGAAAATGGACGCTTGTTGTTTCAAACTGCGCCAGCTCCAGGCCAGCTTCGGCGACCTGTCTTGCTAGCACCGTTCATCGATTGTTCTATTTTTTTCTTTCTAAACTTGACCTTTCTCTTCTGAAAGGGCCCACTCACAGTCAAAGTGCGCCACGCAATGGGAGCCCGAAATCAGCTTCTACGAGTCCACCGCGATCCATTGTGGCGTTGAACAGGGGTCAACGGCTCACGGGTGGTCCTCCGGATGCATACAACTTGTGTGGTTCAGCGCCCTATTAGCATTCTGCCGACCCATCCACACCAAGAGCAGTCAGGCACAGTTACTGGCTAAGAGATGGTGCCTGCATTAGACTCTGGATATCCCAGGCAACATGGGCGCCTTTGAGCAAAATAGCTCTCAGGTCTTGGTGTCGTCTGGATAGACCCAGTTAGCCGCCCACCAGATGGGCCTTTGCCACGCAATGTGTCAACCGACGAGGCTCTGCCGTTTGATCTAAAGTATAAAGAGGAGGGATCCCTTCCGTCTGTGCTCCTGGGAGGTCCGTTTTCAGCATCACACTCACTGTTCATTCTACTTGTCTTCGGACCATCATTCATTCTTCTGTCTTTTACGCTTTTTCACTCCTTCTGGAAAGCAGACTATAACGGCAAGGCCCGTCACACTTAAACATTCAAACCAACATTCATTCTTCAGCTTCCTAAGCAAACAAACCATCAAAATGCGTTTCGCTACTTCTGTTGCTACCCTCATTGCCTCCGCGGCTCTCTCCACCGCTGCCAGCGTTTCCTTCTGGACCCTGGACAACACTCAGCGCACCATCTACTTCACCAGCAACCCTGGCAGCTCCAACATTGACTCCGTCACCACCGCCCCCGGCAAGAACACCACCGTCACTTTCCCTGACACTTGGCAGGGCAACTGGTACGCCGTCAAGGACGGCTCTTCCAACATCCCCGGCATGCTCGGCGAGGTCAACTTCGGTAGCTGGAAGGGCCTGACCTACTTCGACGTCTCTGCCATTGTCGACCCCAACGACAAGGACAACGTCAAGCAGATCTTCCCTGCTGCCAGCCACGAGCCCATGTCCGGCTGCGAGGCTTTCCCTTGTAACGACGCCTACTACCTGCCTGATGACATCCAGACCAAGGCTACTATGGAGTCTGACCTCGTCTGCACCTTGGGCTCTGGCTCCACCGGCTACAGCTTCACTGAGGCTCAGTAAATGGCTGCCTAGTCAAAGAATTCCCCTTTTCTTTTTGTCTGACTTGGGAGCTGGTTGCGCCGTGTTGCATTCACGGTGCCACCAGCTCCCCATGGTGCTGAGCGCCGAGTCACTCACGACGCTATGATTAAATGCAAAAAATATCAACGGGATGATACCTCATCTGGTCAGAGACCAGAGATTTATGGGCAAAAAGGGTTACGGGGTATCGGGTTATGCATGGGAAAAAAGGACAACCTTGGTTGCGAGCACAGCCATTCACTTCTTACAGATTTGGTCTCTCTTGACAGAGGGGAACCAGAGGCTGGCACTCATTTTCACAACTTTCACCGCCGATCAAAAGGCGCTTCATACATTCCTTCATGACTTATTTTACATTTTCTTCTTCTTGAATACCCCCATTTTTTTTTTCGAATGTATATATTAGACTTTTAGAAGTATTCTAGACAGATAGATTTAGAATTGGTATTGTGGACTTTTTGATTCAAACATCTTAACTTATCGCCTGTCTCCTCCTAATCTGTAGTCTATGACATGACACTTAAAATACATTGAACAGCGCAACACGGTCCGAAGTAGAATTGCGCAATTTTCATGCTGCATCTCTCAAGCTCACTTTGACCACATGATGACCAAATCCTCTCCTGAGTAATTGGAAAAAAGGACGTTAGTATGAGCTACTACTTCTCACTAGGAGATTATTCTCGTCTTTACTGGGTATCACAAAAAAAAAAAAGACATCTCCGCAATAACGACTACTGCCTGTCAAGACTCAACTAGAGCTGTCCAACACCAACACCAGCACCAACACCATCCGTGCGCTAGCAAATATAGATCACGGAGAACGCTACCTAAAAGAGGTAATCGGCTGTCTGTCCCTGAAGAAGAAAAGATGGAAGAGGGCGGAAGAAGGCGAAGAAGCTCTCTCAGAGTTATCACCGATGGTCTCCGCAACTTGTAAGTGCGCAACACTGTATATAAAAACCTCTTCATCGCCACCTTCGTAGTTTTTTTTTGTTTTCACTTTCCTTCAATGGCAGCAAGCTCCAAAAAAAAAAAAGAAGAAATGAAGACTTCACAGATTTCGTCATTTAGAACAAAACCATTCGGTGTCTTGAAATGGCAAAACGTGCTCCATTGCCCAAAGAAGACACTCGAGTAACAATAAATGAGAATAGTGCGATGGCGTTAACCTTCTAGTTGACTGTTTTAACTTGACAAGCGCCACGTTTTGGTGGGTTACCTTAGAAAAATAAGAAAGAGGACAAAAGGGCAAGATGTTATTGTGAGGCACGTGGAGATGATTCAAGAGGCGCAAAGGTTTTGCGCCGCCACTCGGCTACTCGCGCGGTCTCCAGCACACAGGAAAAACGAGGAAAATATTCCGACGGCTTCTTTTTTTGTTATATACGAGTAATGTAGCCTCTAGAAGCGCCGTAGAGCTTCCGTTCCCTGGATCATATGATGAAATATTTCAAATCGCCGACCACTCGGCATTTATCGTCAGTGTAGTATATAGGGACATTATGATACAGGCCACTTTCTTTACAACGGCGTATGTACACGATACAGGCAGCCTTGTATCCTCCTTTGCCCTTTTAAGCATAATGTACAATATAGAAAGATGAATCTCCCAAAAAGCAGCCATTAACTCCCCTCTATTGATCTTGCGTATGTCACAAACGAAGCTGCCCGATGAATCATATATACATAGGTTCCAATAGTACTTTAGTCCTGTGCTGTTTCTTCAGAAGATGTCTTTTTCTCTGGCTCAGTCTTCTCCTCTGTATTGGAACCAGTAGCACCATTGGCTGTGGTGGACGAGGTTGTCGCAACTGCTTTTGATTTAACAATACCCATGAGGAAGTCACCGGTATCGCCAAATCCGTCGACTTTTTGCAACTTATTAATAAAGAAGTCCACATCCTCGGCCATGCTGTGAAATATTAGAAAAACGATCCATCATTAATACGTTCAATGTGATCACGTACCGCGATTGACCAGCTTGCGTTCCCACAGTTGCTTGTCGTAGGGCATCTCCTAGTTGAGTCTTATAGCTTGCAAATACTGGCACCATGATAGCCTGGATCGATGTTTCGGGAAGATGTTTCGTCAAGACACGGTGTAGCGTTGTTGTCTCCTCAGCCAGCTTCTGAATGAACGAATGCTTTCCCTCGGAAGTATCAGCACCCCAGGTGGCGCTTCGAATGCTCTTTGCATGATTCGCAGCTCGCCCACGCATAATTTCGATCAGCTTTTGATGAATACTATCTTGGTGTTCTTCAAACAGTCGTCGAATCTTGTCAAACTCTCCCATGAGATTAGTGACGTTTCCCCCAGAACCAGCTTGACGACGAACGTACTCTCGTACGTGAGGCACCAAGGTCGCCATGAACGCCAGGGCTTGAGATGCAAGAGCCAAGTGCCTAGCCGTGATATTCTTCAGGCCAGCGGATCGAGTTGCACCAGCCCCTAAAATGAGCTGTGTGCACCGCGAGTTGAAGAGTTGTAGATATGTCACCAGAGACGTTGCAATGTCTGTCGTCATGGAAGGTATTCCAGCGATCAACTGTAGGAAATCTCCCATGCCATCAAGACATAGAATTGCGGAATTGGGAAGCACGAATTTCTCAGACTCGATGATGGCATTGCGAACCTTTTCTTTGCCAGCACCATTCGTCCCCGCGGCAGCATCCAAGCTGAGCTTCTTTGGAGTTTCATACGGAATCCATATCTTGCTACTCTCAGTCCAAGCCTCTATATCTTGGGTGCTGCATTCTAGAATCCGATTCAAGAGCTGTGTGTTCTCATCTGTAAAATCTTTAGAGCTCCACTGATCCGATTCCATTCCCTGCGCAAGCTTCTGCATTTGGGCATCGCGATACTTTTGCACAAAGTCCTTGATGTGGTTATTAACCACTGTCTTCAATGTAGTGCAGCTCCTCCCAGAAATGGCCTCGCATTCATACGTAAAGTACAGGTTCAGGTTGAAGTAACGCAGGAATAGGTCAAGTGGCAAGTGGACAGCCTGCTCTGACCGAACTTTGAGAATCTTCACAATCTTTTCGTTCGCTAGATCAACGGCTTGGGCTAGCAAACTTCCCATGTCGATCGCTTTGTGAAGCTCTTCTTGAATTGCAAAAGCAGACGGCTGCTGCATATAATCTTGTCGATCATATCGAGGACTGGGTAAGGGAGATCGTATTGGTGGTGACTTTAATCCATCGCTACCACTAGGCTGGTCTGAAAGCGAGCTAGCAATGTCTAGTAAGACTTTGATTTGTGTTGATGCTCGCCTCAGCGTCTCTGTGACACCAATGTATATCTTCGTGAGAAGTGCCTCGGCGTCTTCCGGATCTAGCGCTCGCAAATTACGAGCTAGATTAGCGGACTTCTCTTGGCTCGATAGATGTCTTCCTCCGCTTGCAGTAGATATGGACATCATAGACATATTATCATCGTCGTTGGAACTTGGCAGGGGTCGACGAATCAAGTTTCGAATCTCGCGAAGAATGTCTTCTCGGTAAGCAGTCGCAGCAATCGCTATATGATGTGCGCGATGTAAGCCAGTCATGACGGGTAGCATCTGGGCCTTCAATTCGTCTGTACCAGCCAGGTATGTGGGAAACACAGACGGTGACCTTGGATAACTGCCTCCTCTTGCCTTTGGTGCTGCATTGCTCCATCGAATCAAAACGTCGGCTGATGAGACAGATTCGACATGCTTGCGGACATCGGAGGACAGCATGGAAGAGAACTGAGATTCGAATGCTTTGCCGATGCGAAACCGGAGCTGAGTGAGGTCTGAATTAACTCCTTGTAGAGCTGAAGCGGACCTAAGATCTCGCAGCTGAGGCATCTCGCCCTGCTCAGACTCGTCGCGTTCACCAGCTATCAAAAGTTCCAAAGAGCCGATACTGACCAATGCTTTCTCCACTTCGCCAGCATCTACAAGAGACTCGCAACTCGCTACGCCTTCGGTGATGAGCCTGAGCTGCCATACCGCATCGCTGAGCTGTCGAAGATTTTCCTGCCGTCGCTGCTTTTGAACCATCATCAGGCCATTTGCTGCGACTCTCTCATCTAGAGCCTCTAGCTCTTTCCTCAGAGCCTTGATCCGTACTACGGAGTCAGCCGCTTCAGAGTGGAGCTCCTTCAAGGATCCAAGCGCTGTGAAGAAAGTGGTGGATGCAGTAGAAATAGAATTGATAAGATGGATTTCAATAGTATCCATATACCAAGAGAGCTTCTCCTGCAGAATAGCGTTGGTCGCGAGCGTCTTTCTTGGAGCCACCGCATTCCCATTCCCCTCGTCCTTATGTTTTTGTATTACTTCGGATCGCTCGCTAACAACGTCAAAGGTTCGAGGATTTTCAAGGTGAAAGTCGTCGTCGAAGTACACGGTGGGAATTGTTGACAAGGGAGGAGGTCCTTGGGTAGCTTTGCGGCTAAGCACTGACGGTCTTCGCAAGGAGCTGACTGTGTCTACCGAGTTCAGAGAGGACAAAGACGCCGTAGAGCCCTTTCGAGGAAGGCGGTTTCTAGCTCCAGGCCGCAAAAGACCGTCGCCAGCGCTTTCCGACTGTTCATCTTGTTTACTGCCTCGACGAATGGCATTCTCTTCCTCCTCATTTTCCTTCACTCGGCGAAGCTGTTCGTAGAGGGTACTGATCTGAGAGAGATACGGCCCAAACTCCTCGGGGTCAATCTTCGGGATGTTGGTCAACGTGACAGGTGGGATATCCCTTGCGGTAGGTGGTTTATGATTGCTCGATGCTGGCGCTGATGTATGAGGCTGGAGGCCTGTCCGTACAATAGGGGGTTGCAGCAGTGTTGAGATGGCTATAGCGCTTCATTAGCTAGCGTTGGGATTTAGCTGGATGCAGCTCAACAGACCATTCTGCCCAGATTCGTATACAGCGCCATTGCCACCGCTCAATGCCGTATCTAGAGCCCCTCCTATTGAGTGAATTGAGCTGGCTGTAGAACTTCGTCTTGAGTGCGGCCGCGGGTGGCCCTGGGCTATTCGACTGCTACGATGTCGTCAGCTACTAGGTAGGTACATGGAGCTGTCCCCACGGAGCTTGAGAAACAATGCCCACCTGTGGAATGGATAGTCCGCTCGGCCTCCGGGAGACAATGGCGCAAGGTTGTCGACAGATCTACCGGCAACTGGAGTAGAATACATGATTGGCGTGGTGGAAGATGGAAGATGGAAGATGGCAAGATGAAGCTCGAGTCGACTGTGGCTGAGCGAAACGGCGAGAGCAACGCTACTGACTGAATGTCCAGGTTCGCGTTAAGAAAAGACTACCGGGGTATCATCGCAAGCAAATGAGCATTGGAAAGAATCAGACGCTGGATTAGAATTAAGATGGATGGAAAGGAAATGGTGGTAGGAGATAAATTACTGAGCTCCGGTTTACGAGCCCGTCTCTATTGACCAAGCTAACAATAAGCCGGAAGTCGCATGCCATCAGCGAGCTGTGTCAGCACTGGCCGGCGTAGCTGTATCTGGCCCGAAGCTCTACCGACGTGCACGTGATACGGTCCCTTGAAACGATTAGCGCTAAACCACTCCGAGCTCCTTACCCGCTTTGCTGCAACCACTTAAACGCGTGTTTCGCGTTGTTCCTGGAGCGCGTCTGCGAAGCACCAGGAGGAGCCCTGTACTTTCATCTAGCCAGATTGCCCCGCTAAGACTTTGGTACCCAGCAGTTTGGGTATGGTTACCGCCGCAACCTGCTTGAAGCTTCTCCTCGAAATTTGCCCTTCTTCTGCATTTTGTGTTTAATTCGGCGCAGAATAGAGAGACCCGACGCGCGCCATGGATCGCCAATCTGTATATTCGGCTCGAGTATATGAGTCCAACTTTGGCGATGCCGACGACACCAGGCTGCAGCTCCAATCGCAGTTGGAAACGTTCATTCTAGACTTCCGTCTCGATAACAATTTCGTCTACCGGTATGGCAAAACTTCCTAGCCATAGATGCCAAAGTTTTTTTTCGCTGACTTTATATGCAGAGATCAGCTGAGAGAGAATGCGCTGCTGAAAAAATTCTACTGCGATGTCGATATCAAAGATCTAATCAACTTCAATGAAGAGCTTGCACACAGGCTCGTCTCGGAGCCCGCCGAAATCATTCCTCTCGTAAGGCCCTCTCACAGCAGCAATTGAAGAGGCATTTAGAGCTAATAAAGGCCCAAATACTAGTTTGAAGCAGCATTGAAGAAATGTACACACAGAATCGTGTTTCCACACGAAAAAACCGTCGACCTACCAGACCACCAGCTTCTTCTACACTCCGATGCGGATGATGTGTCGATCCGCAACCTCGACTCCATGACAATTGCTCGAATGGTTCGCGTTCCAGGCATAGTAATCGGAGCCTCGGTCATGTCCTCAAAGGCGACGGAGCTATGTATCCAGTGCAGAAACTGCAGCTACTCAACAGCGCTGCCTATTGTCGGAGGTTTCACAGGAGTCACGCTGCCCAGACAATGCGGGCGAAAACGTGTGCCAAACGACCCTGTGCCTGCATGCCCGCTAGACCCGTACTTTGTTCTGCACGAAAAATGCCGATTTGTTGATCAGCAAGTTATCAAGCTCCAAGAGGCACCGGACCAGGTGCCTGTGGGTGAACTGCCGCGACATGTACTCATCACCGCCGACAGATACCTGACAAATCGGGTAGTTCCTGGCTCTCGGTGCACTGTCATGGGTATCTTTTCTATATACCAAAACAAGGCATCCAAAAACTCATCGACAGGAGGTGCCGTTGCTATTAGAACACCATATCTCAGAGCAGTGGGAATCCAAACCGACATTGACCAAGCCGCCAAAGGAAATGCTACCTTTTCTGAGGAGGAGGAACAGGAATTCCTAGAACTCAGCAGACGACCAGACCTGTATAACATCATGGCCGATTGTATCGCGCCATCTATCTATGGTAATCACAATATCAAGAAGGCTATCCTGTGTCTTCTGATAGGCGGGTCAAAGAAGATTTTGCCCGACGGCATGAGATTAAGAGGTGATATCAACGTTTTGCTTCTTGGTGACCCTGGTACGGCAAAGTCACAACTTTTGAAGTTCGTCGAAAAGGCAGCGCCAATCTCCATCTATACGTCCGGAAAAGGTTCATCAGCAGCTGGTTTGACAGCCTCTGTCCAACGAGACCAGTCGACGAGAGAATTCTATTTGGAAGGTGGTGCCATGGTGCTCGCTGATGGCGGTGTTGTGTGTATCGACGAGTTTGACAAGATGCGCGATGAGGATCGAGTCGCCATCCACGAAGCTATGGAACAACAAACAATCTCAATAGCCAAGGCTGGTATCACAACAATTCTGAATGCTAGGACGTCTGTTCTCGCTGCTGCCAACCCCATCTTTGGACGTTACGATGACATGAAGACTCCTGGAGAGAATATCGATTTCCAAACTACCATTTTGTCTCGTTTTGACATGATCTTTATCGTCAAGGATGAGCACAGTCGTGAAAAGGACGAAAGAATGGCGAAGCACGTCATGGGTATCCATATGGATGGCCGGGGTGCTGAGGATGTGGCCGAGTCTGAGATTCCCGTACAGAAAATGCGACGATATATTACTTATTGCAAAACGTTAGTTTCTTTTTTTTTTTCTCCTCTGGTTTGATTGCTTATGCATATGCCACATTACTGACATATTTTGTACAGCCGCTGCGCCCCTCGACTCAGTCCTGAAGCCGCCGAGAAACTCTCATCACATTTCGTATCTATCCGACGTCAAGTGCACGCGGCAGAGATCGAAGCCAACACACGATCATCCATCCCCATCACAGTCCGTCAGCTCGAGGCCATTGTCCGAATCACAGAATCGCTCGCCAAGTTGACTCTCTCTCCAATTGCCACCGAAGCACACGTCGACGAAGCCATCCGCCTCTTCCTATGCTCCACCATGGATGCCGTAAATCAGGGCAGCAACCAAGGCAGCCGAGAAATGAACGATGAGGTGAGCCGCCTTGAAGCTGAGCTGAAGCGACGACTGCCCATTGGATGGAGCACCAGCTTAGCTACACTGCGAAGAGAAATGGTGGAAGGAAAGGGATACAGCGAGCAGGCTCTGAACCGAGCGCTAATGCTGCTACAACGGAGAGATACAATTATGTTTAGGAACCAGGGAGCACAGGTCTACCGCAACGGAGCTTGATGTAGTGGAGGGTGCTGTTTATTGACTGACTATTTTGATGATATATGTTTTATGCTCTATATAGGACCGGGTCACTTTAAAAGGACGATCATGTCCAGCTTAAATTACACAATGAGATTTTGGGGTAGCACCAAGTTGTACAGCTATGCAGATTCCCTTTTTGGCGCAAACCTGCGGCCCGTCATGTGGATTATTCCCGTTGCTGGCCGTGCTGATTAGCGCGCTTCCTTCATTTGACTCATACCCGCGATCCTAGTCCATAAAACCATCTTTAACTCATCCCCCTCTTTCCTCGGCCAACAGAGTCTCTTCTCGACAATGTAGCTTCAGCAAAAGTGTATATAAAGCCCAGTTTCTCTCTTCGTCTAGAGATTGAAAACTCAATTTTATTCACATCAACGTAATATTGTAGAAAAATACGAGGCAAAAAGTTATAAAATTAAACCTCCAAAAATGGCGCTGGATAAACTCCTCTCGTCTCCAGCTCCTCCCAGCAACGAGCCCGGCACCGTCCTCGTCGAGACTGCCAACCTCATCATTCGCCGCTGGAGCACCTCAGATGCGCCGGCTCTTGCCAAGGCGGCCAACTATCCCTCCATCGTGGAGAATCTCCGAGACAGGTTTCCCATGCCCTACAGCTACGCCGACGCCGAAGACTTTCTCGCCAACTACGCCACCTCTCCCGAAGGATATCCCACGGCTGTAGCGATATTTGTCAAGCCCAACGCCGGCCATAACACATCTGATGAGCCGCTGCTTGTCGGCGGCTCAGGCTTGGAGTCCAAAGGCGACGTCTACTACCGCACCTGGGAGCTGGGCTACTGGTTCACGCCATCGGCCTGGGGCAACGGCTACGCAACCGAGTTTGTCAAGGCATTTGTGCCATGGGCCTTTGAGACGTGGCCCCGGCTGAACAGAGTCGAGGCAATGGCCTATGAGAGGAATGAGGCGAGCAAGAAGATTCTGCGGAAATGCGGGTTTACGCTGGAGGGTGTGAGGAGAGGGGCGTTGGAGAAGCACGGCGAGATTCTTGATGAGTCTATCTGGGGAATTCTCCGGAGCGAAATCAAGCAATGAAGATGATTGCTTTCAGTAATAGCGACTGTCTATATGTTCAACACAATTCTGTTTCGTTTTTTTAGCATTTATTTTGTTCCAATACCTACAAAGCTGACCCGGTTCCTCTGACAAGGTCCATGTCCATCCACTTGGCCATAAAAAGACTCACTGCAATATACCTACCTATTCAAGCCATGATAATTCTCCGCGCGGATGTTGGCTGAACCTCCATCACACCATCGCGTCTAAAAGTCTTATCCTACGTACCTGTGAGCACACGCGCGCTTAGATAGCCTTGAAGCCCATCCTGGATCCAGAGCCTGATCTACGGCGTTTCCGGCCACCACACCAGCATCCAGCCAGTCACAGTGTGCCAACAAGCGGCTGAGGATTTTCAGGTCTAGTGTCATTCGGATTCAGTCAGCTGAGAGCATACATTTGTCTTCGACCGCCCTGACTTTGGCGAGATCGGGGGTGGCGCAGGCCGCAGTGTCGCGCAGAAAGAGTCGACAAGGTTCCTGGCTGCCCGCCTCTCTGTGGTAAGAAGGAAACAATAGAATAGCCATCTTTCGTCATTGAGAGACGCAAGAGCAAGTGATCGACGATGCAAATGCACTGTCAGATGTGCTTGATCATTACTTTTGACGCAGGCATCGGTGTTAAGAGACAGAGTATGACCAACAAGTGCTACCGGCCCTCTGCTATTGGCCGCTGGTTATATGAATGGGTGTAGCTGAACGGCTCTGGATAGGTGTTCCTCTCACCGCTTGAGCAGTCAATTAGGCCATTCATGTGTCGAAACGTTGTTTGTCTAGGCTGAGCCTCATTTCTGGGAGCCATCTCTCTCACTGCCTCTCTGGCCGAGACTGTTCACGATGCCTCAAGAGCACAGGTCAGGCGGTCATGATGCCTTGAGACGTCAGACGGAGAGGCTGAGATGGATCCTTACCAGCGAAGCGGCAGATCCAGGAACTAGCGGAGAACAACAGCGAAGAACAGTTGGCAGGTGTTGGAAAGATGCGTTTGCCAGGCTCATGCAAGCTTTATGGCTTATGATGCTTTTCCCACTCTATTCGTTGCTGCTTGGGGCTTATGCCCACCCTCAGCATCCGGACCGGGCGAGTAGGGCTCTTTGCTGGCGTAAGAACCTGAGGCTAACTTCTTCTTTGGAGTCTCGACTTGAGGTCTCGACATCTGCGTCACTGCTGCTTCATGTCGGCCGATTTTAACTCCTTAAAGGTCGGGCTTTACAGGCAAGGGAGCCTTGTGATCCGACATTGGAACCCAAATCAACTGCCCAAGAACGAAGCATCCAGCCATCCATTGTCGAGTTCCGTAGCAAGGAATCAGTCTGGGACTATACTTGTCTGTTGCGTCGCATAGAAAGATCGTGGCAATGTGCCGATGGACTAAGATGGCTTGTTAGTGACTGCTACATGCAGAATGATGAGAATAGAATAGAGCCCTTTCTAGATACGAGCGCTATCACGATAGCGTCATTCGTACTATAGCGAGCATACCACTAGCCATTTCGCTCTAGTTGCTTGTTAAAGAGCGGCTTACTTGCATTAAAGAGAAATAAGGCGTCTCTTGACCGATTTCTCGTGTGTAAGCCTTACCTATATTCTGGACCGAGCCACCATAGAGATCATTGGAGGACAACACAATGTCGCGCTTCGATAGGTGATGAAAATACAGGTATGGAGTAGCAAGTCCAGAAGAATGTACTGCCAGAATGGAAGAAGAGGCTTACGCAGCATGTGGTCTCTTCATCTTCAGCATGGCTGGCCATAATGCGGCTCTGCGTGGAGGCTAGGTACATATGTATCTATCCTCGTACGTGCATGGATCAATTTCCGCCTCGTAGTATTTCAAGTTGTACGACGCCAGAGCGGTTGCCTTGCAGGGTATCTACCTAACTGGGCGGCTAATACATGCAGGATCGCCTCCTTGAACGCCACAACTGAAATACTTGGAGTGAGTAGTTAGCGAGGCAAGGATTCTATTCGTTGACCCCAACAGAGACGGTACCTGGAAAACTACTGCATCATACCTTGTCCTTGTCCATAGTTCTTGACCGGTCTATACGATACAAAGAGGAGCGGAGCAATACAAAGCTGTTCGCACTCAAACGCGCGTTGGGCTGTAGTCTTTCGCCATGAGACACGTGTTCGGTATGGCACTCAACGAAATCATATGTCATATCAAGTGTGTGAATCTCTTTTCATCTCTTGCAAAACAATTCGATAAAATCCTGGTTCTCTATTTAGACTATTGCGTATATATCCCGTTGTAGATCTGACCCATCCCCATTCTCCTCGTCCAGCCGACCCGACGCCTAAACTCCGATGCCGCGTCCCACGATGAAAGAATCCTGTTACCTTTGCTAAATTAAGCAGCGCCTTTCTGGAATAAGACGTTTCCTAGTAAGCCCGCATACGCCAAATCAACCGCCAACGCCGTATTGACATCCAGCGTCAATGTCGTGACGACGCAGCTCAGCGATATAGACACTGCATAAAGGACGGCGACTCCGGCTGGCGAACTCACCAATCCCAGCCCGGGGATAATCACGGGCACATATACAAAGATAATAATGACCGACAGCATGAGCAACATCTTGATGACCAGAATAACTTCGTCTGCAAAATGAATATAGTCTGCGCCTTGACCGCTGGTGGTTTTTCTCTGGAACATTGCCTAGATGAATCAAGGATGAGCGAGACCATTCAGACTATTGTGAAATAAGCACAATACACCTACCAACGATCGATACACCCACGAGAACTCTAGAAATCTTCGCGCTGCAGCGTGAGGCACGTCGTGCTGCCCGTAAAAAATATAGCACGACGGATCCTCTTCAATGTATTCTGCATCCGCTCCAAGCCTGATTTTCTGTTCGTATATAAACTTTTCGCATATTGCCTTGCTGCCTCTTGACAGGCGGTTGACCCAGCTCTGCTTCAATATAGAGTCGTCTATTTTCAGTTCAATAAGCCTTTTTTTTTCTATGCCAAGAACTTTTCATTATGTTTGCATCAGACTTACAATAAGCCTGGCACTGTTGCTCTAGACGTATCGCTAGTTCTTCTTCCAAGCTGCTATTGCCCGATTTGATGGCAAAGACTATATCTTTCCAAACACGTTTGATTCGTGAATATCTTTTCCGTGTGATGTAGCAAAAGATGTCGTCTATCTCTGGTGTAATTTGGTAGGCGGAATCTGATGCCTGGAGCTCGGCTATGTCAAGGCTGCCGCCAGGCTCTACTGTATGTTGGTTAGATCCACGCATCTACAAGATATCAACTATAAACGGATAGGGGTCTGGTAGTACCACGCGTCGGTTTGGATCCTGCGGCAGATGCAGATTCAATATCGCTGCTTCGACCTTATGATCGTTAGCATTATGGGATGTCGTCGGCATATAATGCTGTTCGTACCTTCATCGCCGCGACACTGCTGTCGTTGGTGATGGCATTGACCAAGCTCCGGATTACGGGCTTGCTCGACATCTGGTGTTTCATTCATTTTAGTAGAATGATTATCACCCGGAGGGCTTAGCAGCGTCTTTAGTAGACACTTGAAATTAGTATAATGAATAGGCAAGGCAGACATGTTTGTATCGTAAATGCGGTCTTTTTCTCTTGTTTCGTCTTTTCAGAGTGTCTCCAAGGTCAAGCGATGAGTTTATATAGCAATGATTGAAGTGAACTGCATTGAACGAAGAAGCCCTGTGCCGTCAAGTCCTTTATATAACTTTATGCCTCAACGCCTGCAGTATCGCTTCTCAATCGCATAAGTTAGCTGTCGGCGCAAACAAGCGGAAGACGCACTTTCTCTCGCAACTCACCGAAAGTTCTCTTCCGATGCGGATTAAAGGCATTGCGTTGACTTGTTTATTTGCACACCCTTCATTAAAGCAGTACAGCCACGTCAACAGCAGGATTCTTCATTGCGCCCGGCTAGTGCCAACGCTACATGCACCCTCCAACGGCCTCATCGAGAGATCCAAGCCACCAGATCGCATCGAAAAAGAATCGGGCAGTGTCAACAGACGCATTGTGCGCAAGTTGCCTTGTAGGTACGTACACTCTGTAGCTCAGCCGCCTCGTGCAAGACGAACACACATGAGCGTCTACGGCAGCCAATGGGCTTGGTTGGCTACCCTACATCTTGGTGAGCGAATAGGCGTCGTGCGGATTGATCGTCAGTAGCCACAGTAGACGACATCAAACTTTATGTCTTTACTCATTGACAATATTGCAGCTGCATTCACATTCTTGACAATTAGAGGACTTAAATTCTTATACCAGGCCAGCTTGAACATGCAAGCCGCTTATTAAACGAAACAGGTGATGATGGCTTTAAAGGACATTATGAAGGAATATTCGCGTGTAGGTCATCTTCAATATCATGATAAGTAAATGTAATTGTTTTGTGTGAATAGATGTTGTATTATCTACAAGAAAGGTAATTCACAAACTACCTATAACTATAACTGGTCCGGTAGTAAGCCTCCCTAGGCGGAGATCATATGGTGGTAATATAGCTCGTGTTTCCCAGCACAGTGTCCATGACCTCTTTGCCGACGATCTCCGTCGTCTCGTCGGCTCGAATGTTTGGTGGTGTTGATAAAAGTGTTGACCGTTCAACTTGCTCATGAAGCTCAGAACTTGCAGCTCATGACCGAAAACAGCAACTCGAATACGAAGTGCTCATATGCAGTAGCTCGACAGATAAGACTTTAGAGGACCACGTGAAAACTCAATCCAACATTAGAAATCTATTGTCGCGTATATTATTTCGTTGGTTTCGGTACGATTATTATCACAGAGCCTTTGTCTTTTTTCTCGTCAACTGGCTTCGCATTGGTAGGTTGTGGTGAATGGTCGATTATCGTGGCTAAAAGATAGTTGTAAGAGTTGCGCTATGTACAGTTTTGATGAAAGCGAGACTTACCAGGCATTGTTAGTGATTTGAATGAAAGGCGGTGGTGTACTTTGTTATGGTCAAGACGTTGTTGGAAGACAATGTTGCTGGATATCGAGACTAGCGACTCTAATAAAGATGAGAATATAGATCAGAATCGATTTCAAAGAGACGGCGATGCTGCCTCCATATATTAATAGATTTGACAATCCCTGTCTCTATCTTTCCTTCCTCTGTCACGTTTCTCTTATCTCAGGGATGGATCCTTCACCGCAGCAAGGATAAGTGCACTTAATGTGACATTCTCGGTGAGGCAAACACTCAACAAAAACGAGATAGTCGGAAAGGAAATTACACGTTCGCCACTTCAATGCAGGAACAGGTATTCCGGGAAGCAAAATCCATCGTGAGTCATATACAATGGTCGAACTATGGAGCTGCTGCCTCATCATATGCTAACTTTGTGACGAAGTCCCCGGTCTGTGCTACTGTCCCCTTTATGCCTTACCGGGTGGGTGTCGCGTTTTCAAAGCCGGGACCCATGTCAACTGGTGGATATAGCACAGGCATTTCTACCCCAATATTTATGTCAGTACGTTGCTAATTCACGGGAGCACATCCGAAAGGCTTTGTACCCATAGCTGCTACGGCTGCTAACCTATCACAGTAAATGTACCAATGCCGTTGAAAGAACGTGTTGATCCAGCAGACAGAGCTGGTTTGGGCTACTTCAGCACTAGGCTGATGAAAATGGAAAAAGTATTAAAGGAACTCGATAAGATAAAAGGTGATGTTATCTAGTTACTTGTAAGATAACTATTATGCTGTGAGCATAGCCGTGTCATGCAAAGGAAGACACGGTGCCCCGAGCTAATGCTTAATCCTTGAACTCCAAAGCTCCAGAAAATTGACCAAAAAAGACTTAATAGACGCCACGTTTCATGTTTTGTCCATCTCATCCAATGATTCTTGCTTGGTACGTCAAAATCCATGTATGTGAATAGGCAAAGCTCGTTTAAGCATCGCTCCTCGGGTCTCGGGCCCCGCTTTGCCACATGTAGTCCCTGTCACTTCGCCTGTCACTTGCCCCTGGTTAAACATGGCCTTCGGATCTTTGCTGCTGACAATCGGTTGTAGTATTCCGTTGTCTAGAACTGACTGGTCGCGGCATGGCACCAGCGTGGAAAAGCTGGGGTTTCGAATCTGATCTCACTTCGTCGGTCCCAGTCTCTCCATGCCTGCAAGCTAAGCGATGTTGTAGATTGAAGCTGGAAGAGCACTGAGCTGCATGCTTCTATGTCTTAGATTCTTCAGCAGCCCACTCCTCCTCTGAAAAGTGGTACCATTGGGAAAGACCAGTGAAAACTGCCCAAACTTCAGTATTAAGAAGAAGGTGAATGAACTCGGTCCACAAATAATTCATAACTGAAGTCCAAGAAAGGCCACTCAGCAGGTTCGTCTGGCATATGTCGTCGCAGGGCAGCCCGTTTCGCAAACAGTACGCCCGCGCCACTAGACGTAGGGCTGTTGCATCATACGGTGTCATAAGTAGCCGTGTTATCGAGTTAGAAAGCATGTGCGAGGCCAGAAGCGCTGGGATCTGTGTGAGCAGCGTGTCCAGGTATATAGGTTGAGAACTTATAGAGCCTCTTGAGTCGGTATTAGCAACACTAGGCCGTAACTCGGCGCTCCATAAGCCCTGAGGTGCATCGGTGGATTCGGTTGCTTCCACATCGAAGCTTATAAGAGTGGCCCTTATTCCATCATTGTCTTCTTCATCGCTCCCATAATCATCACCTCTAGCCGAGAATATACTTGGCCTACGCACTGCATCCGCGCTGCCCGCGTCGGTTGGCAATTGACTCTCCACAGGCGCAACCGGCGTTCCCCCTTCATTAGAATGGATCTCGCTGGGAGCCTCGTTTGCAAAAGACTGTGACATCGATGGCGGGGATTGAGGAATTGGTTTGCCATGAAAGACGGTGCTTGGTAGGCGCTTGAAAGTCTCAGCCCATATATGTGGCTTCCAGTCGCGAACCATTCTTTGAGTCATGATAAAGACGAGGAATGGGGTATTACATATGAGGAGGCCGCCCAGCCATTTTAGAATCGAAGAAACCCCAAAGCCTTCGAGAGGAGGTGGAGCAACAATTGGCGATGCCTCTGTAAAAGGGATGAAAAAGGACGGGCTGGGCAGCCATTGGTGGCTCGGTATTAGGCCAAGCCTTTGCAATGATATGTGTAGCTCTAGGTGAACGCGAATGTATGACCAAGCCTCGTGGATACTGAGATGATCGGTTTAGTCACCTTATGAGGCATGAGGTTGCAAAGAGAGCGATAGAACTTACACACGCCTGGCAGTAAGCTTTTCTTGTTCGCCAAGCCACAGCCGGGCGACCGAGAACTCAATGTAGTTCGATAAGAGGTTTGCAGGAGCGCCAGGGAGAATATCTCTAGAAAATGAGAAATCATGCCGTGCCTGCTGATAGAGCTCCCAAAACGGGATCTTGGAGTATCGTTTATAGATCTATAAATGTCAAATTAGCATGCGTGGACACAGAGAATAACCCAGTCCGTCCGGAAGTTAGAGAGGTCCCTCACCAGAATCCGATCTCTGAGGCCGTTGATACCAAAAATTCCAACCGCCTCGACGCAGCGTTTGGCTGACGATGCCAATTTAAGGCCGATAGCTTCTTCATACGCACCGTGTCGCCTCAGCGAGTCTACTTCAGGGCCCGGGTTTTCGGGCTCTGCGATGCCGATGATAAACATCACCTGGTTGTGTGATCTGATGATGTCTCTGTTGATCCTCATGGTGTCGGGATTAATCGGACGCCCGCCATGGTCGTATTGCTGGTTTGGAGCCCGCGAGTCATCCTCGCCTTCACCCTGAACCACATCATCGTATGGCGAACGGCCCTAACAATGTCAGTAATGATACACTGAGATCAGCGTTCTCGTCTCATACCAAGGCCTGAGCCATGAGCGGGCCTTGCATCCCCATAGCGAGTAGCTTCAGAAGCACAGGAGCTTCTCAACATGGCAGATCACGCAGGCATGCTCTGTGGATGTCAAGTTTGAGATGGATCGCAAGACTGTTGAGCCGCGCTTAACCCTCCGTCATTATCTCCTTCTCTCTCCAGCGCAACGACAGTGGCTTGAGTGGGAGCTACCCATACCCGGCAAGTGGAGCTGAGCGCGTGGTCGGGTAAACAGTGGGTGAAGCAGTGGAAGCCAGTCATGGTTTAGCAGCTGCGCCTTTGCTCGCATTAGTGGGACAAGCATGCTGCATTTTCTTATCGCTCTCCTTATCGGCTACAGATCAAAAAATTTATGGACTTGGCGCATGCAGTCTTCTAGATCTCTCTGAACACGACGAGCCGACAAAGCGACCATGGCAACAAAACAGCCATTGAAGACGACATTCGACGTCGAGCGTGTCATCCGACCAGTCTATACCGGAGGCTCCGTTGCGATTGACAACAAAGCGCAAATTTTAGCAACAACCTTGGGCGAAGATGCTATCCTGACGAATCCCTCCAATGGCAAGCACCTGGCTCAGATTGAGGGCGTAAGTGGTGCCCCGCGAGTCTGCAAAATTGAATGGAAAGCTGATTGGATCAAAGGATGGAGAAGCTATTTCGACATTGACACGTTCGTAAATTTTATACATCACTAGCGGAGAGCAAACGTTAACACTCGTCTAGTAACGCCGTCCGGCTCCCATCTCATCATTTGCTCGCGATCACTGTCTATGAGAATCTTCACGCTCAAATGGTCCTCGGAAGGCGATTCGATCGAAGCATCACTGGTGCGCACACTGAAACCTCACACAACTCCAGTTATCGTTATCGCGGTTGATCGTACCGGCACTCTCCTTGCGACGGGCGGAACCGATGGGGCAATAAAGGTTTGGGACATCAGCGGCGGCTATGTTACACATACTTTCCGTGGGCCATCGGTGTTAGTCTCAGCACTGCGCTTCTTTGAGGTCGCAGCACGGTCCGCGTCGAGCCGCAATTCCAAAGGAGCGAAGAAGCAGTCCACGGCAGCAGACGAAGAGGACGAGGACGAGACGGACAATGCCACAACTACAAACTTCCGACTGGCTTCGGGTAGCCAAGACGGAAAAGTGCGAATTTGGGATTTGAACAAGAGGAGCTGCATCGCAAACTTGGATTCCCATGTGTCTGACGTTCAGGCGATTGACTACTCACCAACCCAGCATGCCATTGTTACGGCTAGCAGAGACAAGACTCTCATTTGGTGGGATGCGAAGTCCTGGAAGATTCGAAAAGTCGTTCCTTGTCTCGAGCTTGTGGAAGCCGCAGGTTTCTTGGATGATGGAAACCTCACGTACTCTGCTGGTGCAAATGGATGTCTTCGCATCTGGGATACCGACAAGGGGTCCGAGCTGACACCGAAACAATCTTCGAAGAGCGAAGAAGAAGGAATTGTAGCCGGTATCTATCGACCAGAGCTTCCCTTCATTCTTCTAGTCCAGGTCGACCATACATTGGCCCTATATGAGCTGGCATCAAAAGCTTCAACAGCCACCTTCGCTACACCTGAGCCCTTCCGTCGAATATCCGGTACCCACGACGAAATCATCGACATGGCCTATCTCCTGCCTGACCACTCCATACTTGCTCTAGCAACAAATTCAGAGGATGTACGATTGGTATCTGTAGCCGAATCCAAGCAAGATGCGTCAGAGATGACATGGACCAAATCAGAGACCTCATACTTTGGTCAAGATGTGGCTCTTCTACGAGGACACGATGATATTGTTATTGCTCTAGATGTTGACTGGTCTGGACACTGGGTTGCCACGGGAGCCAAAGACAACACCGCAAAGCTATGGAGAATCGACCCTGCCAACGACTCTCATATTTGCTGGGCCACTTTTTCAGGCCATGCAGAGTCGCTTGGCGCCGTGGCTCTACCACGCACTCTCCCCGCTGAAGGCTCGGCGGCGCGAACTGACCCTCTCAACCATCCTCCGCCGTTCCTGATCACCGGATCACAAGACCAGACAATCAAGAAATGGGAAATCCCTCGAACCCCCCAGCAACGGGACCAAAAGACGAATGCGAGATCTGCTTTCACAAGAAAGGCTCATGACAAGGACATCAATGCAATCACCGTGCATCATGCGGGCCAGCTCTTTGCATCTGCTTCACAAGATAAGACGGTCAAGGTGTGGTCAGTAGAAGAGGGAGAGGTCCAAGGTATTCTTCGCGGCCACAAGCGAGGAGTGTGGCATGTCCAATTCTCTCCAGCTCAGATGCCCGCTTTGCAAGGCGAGGATGGCCCAATTACAGGCAAGGGTGTCGTCTTGACAGGTAGCGGTGACAAAAGCATCAAGCTCTGGAACCTTGCGGACTATACCTGCATCCGTACCTTTGAGGGCCATTCTAACAGCGTGCTCAAAGTAGCTTGGCTCAACATGACATCACGTTCGGAGCAGTCGAAGGGATTGGTTCAATTCGCAAGTGCGGGTGGCGATGGGCTTGTCAAAATCTGGAACGCAAACTCTGGAGAAGCTGAGTGTACTTTGGACAACCATGAGGACCGAGTTTGGGCCTTGGCTGTACACCCAGACACCAATGCTGTAGTCTCTGGCAGTGGCGATTCTACTGTTACGTTCTGGAAAGACACAACTTCCGAAACCCAGGCGGCGGCATCTCAAGCGGCACTGAAGCTCATTGAGCAAGAGCAAGAGCTCGAAAACCATATGCATGCTGGGTCGTACAGAGAAGCCATCACTCTGGCCCTGCAGCTGAACCATCCTGGTCGTTTACTTAGCCTTTTTACATCTGTTGTAACAACCAGCAAGCCCGAGCAGGGCAGTCTGTGCGGCATCAAGGCCGTCGACCAAGTACTGGCGACTCTTTCCGATGATCAGATATACCTGCTACTGTTAAGATTGCGGGACTGGAACACGAACGCTCGTTCAGCCCCCGTAGCACAGCGTATACTACGGACGTTGATCAAGAGCTACCCAGCTTCAAAATTTTCAAATTTGCAAGTCAAGGGCTCAAGAGGAGAGAAGAGCTTGAAAGACGTCCTCCATGGACTCCGGGTGTATACGGAAAGACACTATAAGCGCATGGAGGAGTTGGTCGATGAGAGCTACCTAGTAGAGTACACTCTGCAAGAAATGGACAGTCTCGCCCCGTCGCTCCAAGGCGATGTATCCTCGAATACGGATACTATCATGATTGGCTAAAGCTTTTACATGGAGAAAAGGTTATACCTTAGAAGGCCCCCACTTACTAATACAGAGAGTATATCAATGGCTAGCTGAGGAGATTTGGAGAAATATTTGTGAAATTATCATATATAGCGCAAGGGTTAGATAAAAGGCAATTATACACACAATGTATATACACTATGATTGGATGTAATGATGGTTGAGTCCGTTTAGATGCTGTTACGCACGAAGCCCAGCCGAACAGTAACATCAATGGATCGTATGCATGGGTGTATGGATTAAAAACGTGAATAGTCTTTTATTTCTACTTTTCTTGTTTTATAAAGAATGCTTCGGATTCAATTAGCTTTGTAAAACCCTTTTGTTTATTCTTAAGTAAAAGACTTCCAGGATCTCTCACATGTAAGACCATCCTCCAATAATGGCCCAGGCCGCTACACCAGCACTAAAGACCCACTACATTTTCCACTGCAGCCTTGTCAAGCACTTGCGCCAAACTCGACTCCATATTCCTCCCCAACTTCAAGGCGCCATTGCTCTCCTCCCATCTCACAGCCGTTCGCAAATCTCGCTCGTTCGTGCGCCATGTCGAAACGCCAAGCTTCAGAAGCTCTAGACGAGCTTCTAGACATTGCATCTCCCTCGTCCAAGCGCTCTCGAATTGGCGACTTCGACTCACCCCTCGCGAACAGCCACGACGAAGCGCAGAGCCTCGAGCAGGACGGAGAACGAAGAAATGGCGATGCAGAGGACGTAGACAACGACGAATTCGATGATGAAGAGGATGATGAATCGCCCATGGTGGCTCCCCAACGCCAAAAGGGACCGGCAGACGGATACGACGACCTCTATCTCGACACCATCGATCGCAACGTGCTCGACTTTGACTTTGAAAAGCTGTGCTCCGTGTCCCTCTCCAATATCAACGTCTACGCATGCCTCGTGTGCGGCAAATACTTTCAGGGCCGCGGCGTAAAATCACACGCCTACTTCCACTCCCTGGACGAGGATCACCATGTCTTCATCAACCTCGAGACGCAAAAGGTCTACGTCCTGCCCGACGGCTACGAGGTCAAGAGCAAGTCGCTCGACGACATCAAATACGTATCCGACCCGCGGTACACCAAGAACGAGGTCATCCAGCTGGACCGCCGCGCCAACCACGTCAGCTGGACGCTCGACGGCAAGCAGTACACGCCGGGCTTTGTCGGCATCAACAACATCAAGGAGAACGACTACCTCAACGTCGTGGTGCAGGCGCTGTCACATGTCTCCCCCCTGCGGAACTACCTGCTGCTGGAGGACTTTTCTAAGAAATCAGAAATCGTAAAGAGGTGCAGCATCCTCTTCCGCAAGATCTGGAACCCGCGCGCCTTCAAATCACACGTCTCCCCTCACGAACTGCTCCAGGAGATCGCCCTCCTCTCCAACAAACGCTTCACGCTCACGAACCAGTCAGACCCCGTCGAGTTTCTCTCCTGGTTCCTCAACAACCTCCATCTCGGCCTCGGTGGCAGCAAAACAAAGCCTGGAAGCTCCATGATCCAGCGCACATTCCAGGGCAAGCTCAAGGTCGAGTCGCAGGCCATCACCGCTCGAGCAGACGCAGGAGACCGCCTGCGCTTTGAGGAGGCTGGCGAAGTCAAAGTCGACATTGTGCGCTTCCTATTCCTGACGCTCGACTTGCCATCAGCGCCGCTGTTCCAAGACGAGCTGGAGAAGAACATCATCCCACAGGTCCCTCTCAGCACCATCCTAAGCAAATACGACGGCAAGCAAGCGCAGGAACAACACGCACAGCGAAAGCGCTACCGCCTTCTGCATCCTCTCCCGCCGTATCTGATATTCCACGTCAAGCGCTTCTCCCAGAACAAGTTCGTCGCGGAGCGCAACCCCACCATCGTCACCTTTGACGCAAGGAATCTCGACGTTTCGCCGTATGTGGAGCCCAATCCTAATGAGTGGCCCGTGGGCGAGCCGATATGGTACGATCTCGTAGCCAACGTCGTCCACGAGGCAGTCCGCAAGAGGGAAGACGTCGCCGACAGCGGCGAGGAGAAGAAGACGTGGAAGGCCCAGATCAAGGACAAGGCCACCGGCGAGTGGGTCGTCTGCCAGGACCTGTTCGTTGACAAGGTACAGAGCGAGCTGCTGTATCTCGGAGAGACATATCTGCAGATCTGGGAGCGGAGGAAAGTGCCCACCAAGGGGAAAGGAAAGGCGTAAAAGATTTGAAGCATTTTGTACAAGATTTAGTTATACCACATAATACCGGCGTCATGTCAGAAAATTGTTTAAAGGCAAAGAAGGGAGGCCCCAGCAGAAAAACGAATAGACTTGGATACTTGCAGAGCAAACAAGCCTGCACAAGAGCATCTTTATTTTTCATCCTTTTCTTGTCTTTTTTCATCTGTTGTTTCTTTCTCTTTGAGCACAGAGAGCGCCGTTTGAGAATCGTCGGCATGGCCAGTTTCCTTAATCAATCGAGGTCATTTAAACCATACTATAGTACATTATCCACATGCAACAAAAAAAACAAAACCCAGCCCTTTCCGCCCACCATTTTCCAGGTAGAGCAAGAATTTCAGTTAATCTCCCAAGTGTACATCCCAGAATTTTCCATCCGCGAAATACATCACACGAGAAAACTACCGCACTCCAAAAAAAGAAACGTGAAAGTGAAAAGAAGTGAAGCCAGTAAGAAAACAGGACGTACGGGGATAAAAACCAGGAAATGACGATAAACACGTTACGGAACTGCAACATTACCCAAGCGCTCTGCCCGGTAGTGTACAAATAACAAGAGGAAACCTTTCATAGCCGATAGAAAGGACGACGAAACAACCGGGCTTAATAAGACAAGGATGGCAAGGGCGTGCGGGCCCTTGATGACGGATGATTTGCTTCTTTATTCGAAGCTCTGCTTGGATGAACTATTTGTGTGCCGCTTGTCGCCCTGGTGTTGACTGGCCTTCTCGCGGCGTTGCTCGTCGATGGCAGTTCGTTGCTGGATGCTGGAGTCGTGCGACTTAAACTCGAGACGAGTGTTCGCCGGGAAGTTGAGAACCTGCTTCATGGTTTCGCTACAGTAACAGTAACGCGTTAGTTAATCGATCCCTGTATAACAAATGTGTATGACAATGGCTTGGATATAGCCTCAAAACGTACCGAATCTTGAGCACGCGACCGCCGTCGGTTCTGGTCCAAATGCTCAAAATATCCTCGCCATTACGCATACTCAGTACGGCACCACACACGTCCTCTCCAGCATCGCCGAACTGGTCGCCAACAAGAGAAAGCAACAAGTCCTCCCAGTAGCGATCAGCCACACCCTTCTTCAGGCGAACAACCCACTTGCCTCCCTTCCGGTTCACCTCATCCTCCCATATCGGCCGGATATCCTTTTTGAAAAGGTGGTAATCGGACACGACAGGCAGGTTTGATGGCCGTTTGAGGTGCGAGTAGATTTGCCAAAATTCCTCCGCCGACCGCACGGTGGCGATGCCATGCAGTGTATTCTCATATTCGATGAAACCGTGCGCCTTCGAGATCGGGGGTCTGTACCAGAAAGACCATGCATCTTTCAGCATGTGAATCTGTGTGGCCCCTGCCGGGGGTTCTGACGCTTTGGTCTCGGAGATGGGCGCCATGTTAGGCGGCCTAGCTACGGGCTTTGCGGCATCCTTGAAGGCGGTTTGCTTCGCGACGGCTGAGCCCATGGCACTATCAAAAGGGTTCCCGCCGGACTTTGGTGTTTTGGCTGAGCCAAACGAGCCAAACGAAGCAAAAGCCCCTGATCCCAGGCCAAAGGCGCTGGAAGCCCCCCCCGTTGGAGATACCAGCCCACTCCCCGGAGTAGTGTTGAAGGATTTGCCATGCGACGACTTCACCGTGGCGCTGCGGGAACCGGATTCACCTCCCCCCAAGCCACTGGCGCCATTGGACGGCGTGGTCAAGGAGAGCTTTGACGAGCTGGACACGGGCATGTTAGTCAGAAACAGCTGCGCCGTGGAGGCGACGTATAGCAGGGCCATCATACTTGGTTCGACGAGTCCATAGATTCTCCATTAAGCCTTGTTGGTGGTGTCGACTTTGATGTTGATGCTCGTGATGCGGGGAGGTGGGAGGGACGCCTCGCTCGGGGACAGATTTTCGAGGGTCAGGCGGAAGTCGAGAAGCGGCGCTGGGTAGGGCGTGGCAAAGGGCGATTGTGCGTTTCTCGGTGCGCTCGCGGGCGGTGCTCGGAACTCTTGGTGAGGACGTGGAAAATTGTAGCTTTTTGCGATGCGAAAGGGAGCGAGAGAGGGAGGGGGGCCTTGAAAAAGCTGGCGAGTGCAACGGCGACGGAGGGGTTTCGAAGAGACGATCGCGAGAGGAGGATGGATGCTGGATGCTAGTAGTAGAGATGTAAGAGGAGTGACGACGAATATTGCGCGACGGTTTGAAGAAAAAGCTGCTCGAGTTTGGGGAGAATTATGTAGTGAGGTTGTGGATCTTTGGGGTTCTTGAGGTGGAAGAATTCTGCGTGACATCGACATTTGCTGAAATTTACGAGTACTAGCAGGTACATTACCGGCCGTACCCAGCCAGCGGTTACGGGTTACGGTTAGCGGCTGGACAGAAGCCCTCCCTTTGCTTTTTGGGGGGCTCCCATTGGGGGGGATCCACCTTCAGGCCCTTGGAGCCGGAACCGACAGCTCCTGTAACGGTAGGAGAGATTCAGTGGATGTTTTTTGCACGGGCAGTTACAGTTTGCAAATATCATCAATCTGAAAGACCAGCATGCACTGCGGCTGCGAGTTGCAGTGGGCAGCATTAGTTTTGTTACGATGCATGGATATCTTCTTTGTTTGATCCTTTCAGCGCCTGAAGTTGGGATGCAGGAGCAAGCCGAGTATAGTGCTACATACTTGATGCACGCGGAGCACGCTAAGCTCGCTGCAATGGAAAAACGAAATGTCGATGGCGTTGTATGATGTATGACAGAGCGCGTCATATGCTGCATACGGGGAACATGACTGCATATCGGCCCAATTAGGAGCTACAAGTACCATTTTAGCAAAATACATAGGTCTCATCGAACTATATTCATGCTTCATTTGCACAGAGTTGATGTTTGAAATAGAGCACACTAGCAGAAATTAACAACGCTGTCGATTTTGCCAATTGCATTCAACGGCCTGGCCAATGTCTCAGCCTCTCCATTCTTGCCGATGGATGCGACAGAATTGGCCATTGGCAGATCACCAGCTTGCTGACTGCCGATTGGATCATCCTGCAGCCTGGTCCGGAAGCACCAAAGACAAAATTATATGGAAATACTCTAAAGAGCCTGCGAGTGCTGTTGAGGGTATTATTTATATATACCATTGAGGATAGGTACTCTGAGGGCTGTAGTAAGGTAGAGATGAAAGAAGAAGACAAAGTTTCTCGAGCATCGTTTGTCAGCACAGATTCTACAGCAACCGCTTTCAGTTCGTGGGGGGTTACCATGTACCTAGGCTAGGTTCTGATACTACTCTGGGATGCGTGTAAGAAGAGGGAATCCAAAAGGAGCCTTGCATTAGGCGGATACCCGATCTTGAGTAGGTACCTACTACTATATTTGTTGAACTACCTAAGACAAGTTTGGGAGTTGCTGTTGGCAACATTGAAACGAAAGTTACACGAGACTTCGAGCGCCGCACTAATATCAGGCCGAGCTTTTTCGCCCAATGCAACAGTATGATTCTAGAAGGCGTAAGAGAACTTTAGACCACCAAATGATTTGCCCCCACCTCTCAAGGTACGGGCGGCTGTACCTTTCTTATCGCCCCTCTGCGAAAGCGATAAGAACCGATAAGCCCAAAAATTTCTGCCGGCGCAGGCAAAGCTTCCTGCAGCGATCTTTGCGACTTTGTCCATTGAGCAACAATCTTCACAATGGCTCCCTCCAAGACACGGACAATCAAGAACAAGCACGCCGGGCCAAAAGGCAGCACTGGCGCGGCTGCAAAGGGCGGCGTAAAGCGATCGGCCACCGATGGCGTCTCCAAGCCCAAATCCAAGAAGCCCAAGGGCCCCGTCGTGTCGCAGCAAGTGAAGGAGAAGAACCGCGCCTTGCTGATGAAGAGGCCGAAGAAGAAGACCTACACGGCGGAGGAGCTGGGCATTCCGACACTGAACATGATTACGCCCATTGGCGTTGAGAAGCCCAAGGGCAAGAAGAAGGGCAAGGTGTTTGTGGACGACAAGGTGCGTTTTGCCACAGGATGCGAATTGTGTTTCCTACAAGAACTCTCAATTGCTAACATATGTGATTGAATTAGGAGAGCATGACGACAATTCTCAATCTCGTTCAGGCCGAGAAGGAAGGCCATATTGAATCGAAAATGATCAAGGCTCGACAGTTGGAGGAGATCCGCGAGGCCAGAAAGGTAGAGGCCGAGAAGAAGGCGGCAGAAAAGAAGTCCATGTTGGAGGATACCAAAGAATCCCTGAGGAAGAAGAGAAAGAGAAAGAATGACGGCAAGGAGGATAACGACACGAAAAGCATTTCATTGACGGGCACAAAGGCGAACAAGGCTTCGAGGAAGAAGGTCTCATTTGCCTAAGAGGTGGGCTGAGGAGAGAGCTATTGACATGTACATTTGCATCGAGTTGTATTTTCTTTCTTCTGGCGCATGGAGTTGGGGCATACCATAAATAGCGATACTACGGGAGAATATTGCTTGATAAAAGCATATACAGTCTACCTAATCAAACAATGCCAAAAATACAAACCCACTATGATAAAGAGGTGATTTATCACGTCTGTTAAAAAAAAAAAAAAAAAAAAAAAAAAAAACTCAAGCGTCACAATCGCTAAAAATCTTACATGAAGTAGTGCAATCATCATATTCTATCCTGGCTACTCTATATAATAAACGACCCATCTCATTGGAGAGTTAGTTCTCTATGCCTCGTTATAATGTCTATGAAAATAAGCAAAAGGAAAGTGTCCTAACTCCGCACAATATTCATTTTACGCCTCATTGGCTCATAGTCAGAGCCCGCAAACGCTTTGTTTCTAGGGGGATAGTCCATGGGCGTTAAACCGTCAAGGTCAGCTTTGAACGCCAAATGGTTGAGGAAATTGCACACCTGCGCATTCATGTTAGCGGTTTTGAGCATCCTATTGATCCCGAAAAGTAAACAAAACATACCGGACGAGTGAGCCAGCGAGTTCCACCGGTTTCGAACCAGCATAAGTGGCCACCGAGGGATGTTGTGGTGAGAACTGTGTTGGGGTTCTGGCGGAATTCCTCGAATGGGATCGCTTCTTTGACCGCAATCTAAAGACACCAATTTGTTAAACAAGCGACTGTATTTGACAAGAGAAATACGTACGGGATCATCAATGGCGGAAATGGCCAAGAAAGGTATCTTGATTGAGAGAATGGCATCAGACGATGAAGCATCTCGATAATAAGCAGATTCAGTGGGGTATCCCCATGTAGGACATCTAGGCACTGTCAGCATACTGGAGAGATGTGCGAGTATTAAAACTTACTGGATCTCTCGGTCAAACTCATTCAGGTAGGTTGTATTGGCAATGGCAGCCAGATCCAAGTTGGAATACTGCTTGAGCTCTTTTTTGTGTCTCTCGATTAGAGCTTTCATCGTAGCTGTAGTAATTTAGGATCTCGCATCGTACATGGAACACCAGGAGTTGCAAAACTTACTTCCCATGACTCGAAGGTAAACTTCTTTGCCGATCAAAGTGCTCGCCATGGTCTTGCTGGCGACGTCCAGATTGAAGGGATTTGAGCAAGCAATGGCACCTTTGAGCAGACAATCCGAGCCCTCCTCGCCACAATACTGATCCAGAATAGTTAGCCACAATGCTTCCCCTATCAAAACCGCAATACAGCAATGCCGTATATTATATGGCAAGAGACCAGAGTTTCGGCCTTAGGATACGTACGTTGGTCAAAATATTGGCACCGAGTGAGAACCCTATGCCAAATAACGGACGATTTGGAAACGTCTTCCTAAGCCACCTGACCATCTATATGTTCCATCCAGACTCGTTAGAAAGGTTTCAATTTTGAGCATTATATGTGGAGCTGCTTACCTGGCGCGTATCCCATGTTGCGCGTGCGTTGTATAAGATGCCACTGGTGATTTTGCTACCTGCACAACCTCGAGAATTCACCACACAGATTTCCCACCCCTGTTCAATAAGGGGGGCAATTGTATGCCTCAAGTAAACTTCATGAGAACCGCCTGAAAGACCATGCAGCGCTACCAACATTGGCTTGCTATCATCCGAGCCTATACTCGCAAACTCTTCATCAGAATAGTAAACGGTACGCGGAGGCAAGTCTTCGCTTCGGCTGTCGTGAGGCGCAACGACAAAGTCAACGGCAAACGATCCGTGATAGGCTTCATGCTCGGCCTGGAAGGTCTTGCGTTTATAATAAACTGCCGGTCCATGTGGTTTTGTCGCCGTCCACATGGTCTGCACGTGGCCATTGAACAACAGCGGGTTCATGTAGCAGGGCGGCGTGCTGGCCTCGCAAATCTTGAGGAGATCCGTCTCGCTGCCATCCTTTTGCTTGATTGTCCTCGGCGCTGGCGCATGAGTGAACTCGATTTTGGCTTTGCCAATCCACTCCATCACGGCGACGAATCTGGTACGCTAGCGCCAGTTGATTATCACAAGCAAAAGCGAAACTCAGACAAAGTACGAGAACACGATAAACGAGCGACGATGGCGATTCTGCACGATTGCAAATGGCAGCCAACAAAGCCAGTCAAACACCAGAAAAAGAAAACCCTTGATATACTGTCTAAGATGGAACGCGCACAGGCGAAGGGGGAAAAAAACTGGTCCTCAATTGATAATAAGTTGCACAAGGAACATGGAAATGTCCGCGACTCCGAATCCCGTAGCAGGTACTTCGTAGAGTGGGAAACAAAGGCTGTGGTGGCAAGAATTTGGTGGGCTGGGGAGCACAAGCACGCTGTACAAGATACTGCGTGTTACTTTCAGGTGTCTCTTCGTTCACGGAGCACTGTCTCAAAAGTAGCAGAGCCGCGGCTCGCCAAAAATGATGCCTCGGAAGGCGGTGGGCCTATTTCTGATAAGAAGAGAACTGCCGTGTGCTATTATTATACGATTTGCCCAGCAAGGACTAAACTCTGCATAATCAATAAAGAAAGCTGCGATTTGGAGTGTAAGATATTACAAGATAGATGCGCTGTATTACATCTCACATGATCTAGTCCGGCCTTTGCTTCTTCTTTCGGTCATTGCTGGTTGCGTCTCAGTTCTAAAGGTTGCCTGTTCCAAGCAGGCCATGCTAGTCAGATTGTCTGTTGAGGGTCCAGACTTGAACCAAGCGGCGGCATTAGTTAGAAAACATTTCAAGGTTCTTTATTAGCGGCCTCTAGCAAAGGCCGGGATGCATCTGATAAAGGCACGGTGAGGCACCTGCCAATCATGCCAATCTACTCAAGGCAGACGCTCCACTAGCGCGAGCCAGGTCACGTGAGTGAGCCGCCTTTTTGCGATGGGCTCGCACCGAAGTAGTCTACAGAACAACATGCAAAGCAGCACCACAACGCCACGAGTCCACATCGACGCCCAAGGAGATGCGACGCCTGTGGCCGTCGGAACCTCTTGGAGAATGAGAGCCGAGATGCTTCTCTGGGACGCTACACTATTTTTTGGCAGCGGCGGAGGAAGTGGGATCTGGAGCCTGTGGACACCCTGACGAGCGATTTGGAGCCTTGTTCCCCGGAATACCCTTTTTGCTGCACGAGCAGACACGCTGGATGCGGCCCACCGATCGAGTATGGGCTTGTTGAGATTCTGAACGGCGACATGATATAATAGCATCGCCCAGTGAGCGAGCTTGTCGCCAATACCCCGCTACAGCTTCTATCAGCGCCGAAATAGGCACCTGTAAACCACATCACTGTGCCCCGTATTGCAGGTCCTCTGCAAACTTACAGCCACTCTCAGTGACGGCTGTTTTCATATGGGATGATGCCAACTCTTGGTTGTGACGGATGGATTGCTTTAAACGGCGCGACTCATTTTGTGCTTTCGACACCAGAGCACCTTATTTTGCCTAACGTTGCGTTCTCATTATTCTGCCAGTCTCGTCACCTGTCCGGAGATTGGACTATTGGCGGGATGTCTCTGCCTATGGGCCAAGCTGAAGCTTGAGTCCATTTACCTACGTTGCTGGCAACATCTTTGCTATAACGCTCAAGCATGATTCTATGATTTGGATGACCTTGGGTCGATGCAGCCTCGTTGATGGCGCTGATCAGCCCTGAAGATCAGCCCTGCGCGCTGATTGGCTCGATTGACTCATGAGCAAAATGAGAGGAAATGGAAATGAGAATGAAAAGGGACACAAATGACGCTGCATCATGGCAAACGGCCTTATCGCGTGAAAATCGCGCTTTCATATCTGCATATGCTTGATGAATCGGCACCATCATTTGGAATCTTCACGGCAAATCGATGGCCAAGGTTATAGCAAAGTTGCATGGCGGACAAGGATTATAACGTCAATTGATGCCAACGGTAAGTCTCGTAAATGATCCGCGAGGATACGTATATAGCGCTCTGCTGCCGCCATGACGGCTCCAGCATGCTCTGGCTGTTTTTGAGGCGACTGGCAATTGCAGGCTGTTGTCTGCATGCCGCGGAGGTATCAAGTGAAGGGAAAGGCGTATGAGAAAACTGCCATTCTGTTGACAGCTTGCAAGTGCATGTCCGGGAGACTGATGGCGTTGGCCTCATATTGGGGTGGCGGATATGCGGGACTGCGCCGGGGAAGGACACACTCAGCCTGTGCGGGTGAGGCTGAGGCTCAGGGCATCCAACGTCTGCCCAAAAAAATCATCACGGCGGTCAGCTCTAGGGGCTGCTTCTGCCTGTGGCACCAGGCCCCTATCGCGCTTTTGTTTTCATGTTCCTCTCCTTTCCTTACCCCCTCCCTCTGTTCTGTATCTTCAGGACCCTCATCTCATCGCAGCGCCATTTCTGTCGCTGGCTGTGGGACGGCACAAGCCTCGGACCCTTGCTACCCGGCTAAGGTGCGGCGATTTACCAGCGCTGCAGCGCTAAAAACTCAAACCAGGTGTAGGTCCCGATGGGGCAGACTACATTGCCTCCGCGTCGCCCTCGACATGCTGCCATGAGAGACGACGGAGGAAGTTATGATTACAGAGAACGGCCTCGATCTGGCAGAGGAGTGACGTCCTCGGATCGACCAGGATCTCCTCCCCACGGGGCCCGTCTCGACTCAGACTACGCCGCTCGGCACCACCACCGTATCAGGGACTCAGCTCCAGCGCAGCGGCACCGCTCACGAGACCGTAGCCGAGACTACAATCGGCGAGACAGACCTTCATCTTCGCGCCCACCCGCCGAGTCGGAAGACTTGATTCCTCGCTATCGTGAGAGCAAGGCGCGCTCCTCAGACGCCAGGCCCAGGACGACTCGGGGCAGTCGTAGCCGCAGCCGTGGTCGTGACCGTGGTCGTGACCGTGACCGTGGGGGTTTCGGCTCTCCGTCGTCGTCGAAGCGACACAGAAGTCGAAGCCGTAGCCGCAGCCGATCCTTGAGTTCGTCTCGTAGGAAACGTTACAAGAAGACCCACAGCCCGCCTCCGCGCAGCCCAGCTCGAAGCTCCAAGGACGCCGAACCGAGGAGACGAAGACATCATTCCACCGACCGTCGAGATTCTTCACCGCGTCACCACCGGTCTTCCCACAAATCTCCCTCTCGAAACGACGATACCCGCCGACATTCGAGGCGAAGATCTCCGCCCCGTTCCCCGGCGAGATCTGAGGCTGAGAAGAGACACTCCCGACGCGACTCCTCACGCCACCGTCACAGGTCTTCTCGAAGCGTATCCCGAAATCGGTCTCCATTGCCTTCTGACAAACGACGTCGTTCACCCTCGAATCGTAAAGATTCGCCGTCACGAGTGGGCGATTCTGCTCTGACAGTCCGCACTGCCACTGACGACCAATCGAGAGGTGACGCCAATTACCGATCGGCTAACCGAGACCCAAGGCCTCGATCTCCCCATATCTATCGAGAGGGAAAACGAGATAAAGATATACCCGAGCCGCATCATACCTTGCGGTCAGACGTCGACGACGATATGACGTCTCGGAGTAGTTACCGCGGAGGATATAATGCCGCCTATTCGCATCAGTCTCATCATAGCAATGATCCCCGCGGATATTCTCAGTCGCCCCAAAATTCTGGCTCCTTTCACAATTCTCCATCTTCCTCATCATATGGCGCGAATCGTTCTGGGTGGAATAGTCACCAATATTCACCACAACAGTATGTTTCCTTCTCATTCCTTTCCAACGCAACATATGTGTTTGCTGTTTCATAATAAGTTGCTAATAGAGCAAGTAGGCAATACCCCCCACAGTATACCCATGGGAGTAATAACTATGCTTCCAATGGCCCTCCTCAGAACGGATCGCAAAGCCATTACCACGGTAATTCATCGCATTCTCCGCCTTATGCTGCTCCTACTGGTCCCCAGGGTAACTATCGAGGAAATCATCGGGGTGGCGGTTTTCGTGGCGGATCTTTTGCAAATCGAGGTAGCTATCGCGGCTCCAGCTTTAAAAGCGCTCCCAGGAACCCTTCGTCCCAGGCACCACCGCCACCACCCCCTCCGCCCCCTCGAAGCAATGGGTTTCCTTTAGATGAAGACGAGCAGGCGAGACCAACCGTCGCGGATGCAGCCGCAAGTCCCAGAGAGGGCTTGGAACCCACTGATACTCATGAGCATACCGCGGCGGATCGCTCAGATGATTTATCATCAGCCCCTTCTAATCATACCCACAAGGACAACCATGCTGAAGCTTCATCGCAAACCTCGACTAAGCCAAGCAACGGTGCTGGAAAGTTTAGCTTTGCCTTCAAACCGTCATCAAAGCCGACGCCTGCGGCTCCGAAGCCAGAGATATCTCAAAAGTTCAACGCTGCTCCTCAAAGACGAGAGTCTGTGCAAGCTCAGGCCCCTAATCGGGATCGAGAACCTCCTCCTAGCGCCCCTACGGAACCGTCATCAGTGCGCTCCCGGCGAGAGCGGGAGCGTGAACGCGAACGGGAGCGTGAACGAGAAAGAGAGCGAGAGCGAGAGCGAGAACGAGAACGAGAGTTCAGGCATCCCCCTGAGGGCCCAAAAATGGCACCTAGAACACGGAAAGTCATGAAGGTCATGAAACGTCTGAAACCTCGACCTTCTCTAACTGACGACTTAATCACTTCTGAGTCGGTATTCTTCAGGAAACCAGGAAATGAATCCGTCGTGGGCTCGGGAACATACGGTAAAGTGTTCAAAGGACTTAATGTCTACACTAAGGGACTCGTTGCTCTAAAACGGATTCGCATGGAGGGCGAAAGGGATGGCTTCCCAGTAACTGCCGTGCGGGAGATCAAGCTGCTGCAGTCACTGAGGCACACAAATATTGTCAATCTTCAAGAGGTCATGGTGGAGAAGAACGACTGTTTCATGGTTTTCGAATACCTCTCTCATGACTTGACTGGCCTACTAAACCATCCTTCCTTTACTTTGGATCCAGCCCAGAAGAAGCACTTGGCGAAGCAGCTTTTCGAAGGCTTAGACTACCTTCATGAGAGAGGCGTGCTTCATCGCGACATTAAAGCCGCAAACATTCTTGTCAGTAGCGAGGGCATATTGAAGCTGGCGGACTTTGGTCTTGCTCGGTTTTATGCGAAACGGCACCAGCTTGACTACACAAACCGTGTCATTACGATCTGGTATCGATCACCAGAGCTCTTGTTGGGAGAGACAAAGTACACTGCCGCTGTCGATGTATGGAGTGCGGCGTGCGTCATGGTAGAGATATTTACACGGGTTGCCATCTTCGCCGGAGACGGGACGGAGCTCAGCCAGCTCGATAAGATATACAATATCCTCGGGACGCCAACCCGCCAAGATTGGCCCGGCATCACTGATATGGCATGGTTCGAGCTGCTCCGGCCAACTGCGAAGCGGAAGAACGTCTTTGCAGAAAAGTACAAAGACAAAGTCTCCCCTGCTGCGTTTGACTTATTAGAGTCCATGTTCTGCTATGATCCGGCCAATAGGCCCACGGCGGCTATGGTCTTACAGCACCCATACTTTACCACCGAAGAGCCGTTGGCTACACAGGCAGTAGAGTGAGTCTACCAATTCTTCAGGCTTTACATCTTTACGCTTTTGATTTACTGATTTTTTTTTTTTGATAGGCTAGCGAATATTGGTGGTGATTGGCATGAATTTGAGTCCAAAGCCCTGCGTAAAGAGAATGAGCGGCGAAATCGGGAGGCTCGAAAAGCTGCCAAAGACAGTACCCGAGACAACGATAAGAAACGTGTCACGGAATCCCATGACCGTGAGAGGGGCGTTAAGAGAGTACACGTCGAGCAGAAGCCACTAGAAAGTCGGAGCAGCAGCACGATAACGATAGCGGCAACGAAGAAATGATTTTTCACTTTTTCCAACTGTTTATCTGATTATGTGGACTTACTTTCTATTTCTTCCTTGTCATATATACCGCCTTTTTTTTTCTCTCTCTTCATTTCTTTTCCCACGCTACCTCGGAGCCTGGGGATAGGACAGCGGCTGCTCAGTGGTTGTAATTGCCGTGCATTTGGAGTGCTCTTTCTCGTTCGTTTTCTTTTCCCCCAAAGGTGTTTAAAAAGGTTATAATTGGCGTTTCATGGATGTGGGAGGGTTGCATTTTCTCTTTTCTTTCCAAAGAAAAGATGACGTTTACATGGTAGGGATAACTCTGTGTCGTTTGTTACGCTTAGGAACGTGTAGAAGTGGAGGCCCCGTCAGAACAATATAAAAAAAGAACCTTCTTTCCTGGGAAAATAACATGAGATACCTGTTTCCAAATAAAATACCTAATAGTACTGTGATCTTCTTTTACAATGGTATCTAGTTGTTCTGTTAAAAGCGAGCGTATTTGCTGCCAAGTTCAAGCTACCTAGGCATGCATCGAGGCTCAATATCGAATAAAGAAACTCGTAAAAATTCGTGTTCCGTATCTCCTATTTATTCCACAGCTATATATACAAACAAATCGAATAAAACAACATGCCGTCCCTCCAGTATCATGGTATCGTCAAGTAGGTAAAATGATTACCTTTCATCATAGCATGGTATCATCAGTTTTCCATTCTCCCTTGTAAATGTCATCAGATCATACAGCGTTCACAACCAATCCCAAAACCAAATCTCTTGAGCAAGAGAAAGAGGAATATTCGGTCTGTTTCCATCCTCTCTTCCTATGTCCCACAAAACAAGGAAATGCCATGCCTCGCCAACCATTTGTATAGATAATGAAAGCTCTTTCAGCTGCCCAGTAGATTTATTGCAGTATCTCTGGGCCTTTTCCTTTCGGCTCCGTGCTCCTCAGTAGCTCACGAAGGCTGCCCTCAGCAAGGCCCCTGTGGTGGATAAACGGAGACGATGGCCTCCAGGGCATCCAGCCGTTGATGATGGAGAGAATGCCACCGCTAGCAATGTCCGTTCCGATAGGCGTGATAGCCCCCTTTGCGACAGAGTGGCCCAATCGCTTGGGATGGTGTGGCGTGTCTTTGACGACAACAGGCTGTCCCTCTGCAACTTCACTTGCAGCTGTGCGGATTTCAAGCTGGCTGGTAGATTCTTGAGGCTGTGCCGGTTCGCTGACCAGACCGGTGGCAGAGGTTCGTGGAGAGTCTACAGCCACGCCATTGTGTCGGGTAGAAGCATCAATGAGAGCTAAGGAAGACGCTGACTTCTTCGGCGCAGCTTGATCTTCCAGATGTAAGTCTCGGTGCTCGTCAAGAGTTCCGCTCGAAGAGCTGCTCGCAGAGGAATGCCCCGAGCTCTTTTGTGCTGATCGGCCGCGAACTTCCTCGGCAATCTCGGCCGCGGACTTTTTTCTGCTGGCCTGCTCTTCGTCCGAGGACCGACTGGATGAGATGATGGTTTCTAGTGTTCCTACAGCTCGGCTATTCCTTCGGGCCATACGCCTCTTCCTACGGGTTGATGATGCTGCTACGCTGTGCTCGTCCTCTGCGGAGACGGCCTGTAAAGTTGGGCCTTGAGAGTCGTTTGACTGGGCTGAAGGGTGCAAGAAGGAGGCTCCAGAACCATGGGGGGTGTAATGGACCTCATACTGGTTGCTCAGCGAGTACCTGGACCTCGCACAGATCTCGGCAATGCGGTCCAGGTCAGCACTGATATCGCCGGCGAGACCGCCGCCCTGGGCTTCTATATTGTCCATGAAGCTCTTGAAGCTAAAGGCATCTATCGGGGGCAGCCGAGCCTCGTCCTCGACCCGGCCATTGACCGGCTTCTTTCCAAATGACAGGACCATGGTGCTTAGCATGCCGTGCTCGCCCGACACCAGCCGCGACGGGAGGGGAAGACCGCCGGCGACGGCCTCAGCAAATCGGCCGACCTGGGATCCGGCGCCAACGCCAGAGCCGGAGATGGAACCGCCGTGGATGGCGGGGCCGCGGGACGAGCTGGTCGGCCTGCTGGACGGCAATGGTGGGTAGTAGCTGCGGACGATGACGGGCTCCGAGTAGGTGCTGCTCTGGGCGCCGGTGGACTTTGCGTAGCGGTGGCTCGGGAAGTTGTGGTTGAGCTCGCGCAGGGCCGAGGTGCGGTATTCTACGGTCGAGTCGTCGACGGGGATCGGCTTGCCCTCGGCGGTGGACGGCACGAGGCTGGTGCTGGTCGGCGACGGGTTGGGCTGCTGGAAGGAGAAGAGAGGGAGGGGATTGCCACGGTCACGATGCTCCGAGGGGCGGAGGAAGAGAGCAGACGGGGCGGACTGCTGCTGAGCTGGAGGCTGAGGCTGTGCGTGAGGCTGAGGTTGCGATTGAGGTTCAGACTGCGGCTGAGAGCCTGGTTGGGAGCCTGGCTGAGATTGAGATTGAGATTGAAATTGAGATTGAAATTCAGATTGAGCGCCAGGGCCAGAGGTGGGCAAAGACATGGTGGATTGAGAGACGGCGCAAAGGTGGTTAAATACGGTGGTTATATGTCAGGTAGGCTGGTTGGGAGAGGGTTTGGGTATCGGCGACGATCGGTCCAGGGTCTCAGCAAGACACCGGGCGCGGCAACATGCAAGTTGTGCAGAAACTCAAGGCATTCCCGTCGTCTGGACAAGGGGTCTGATCGGGTCTGGCCTGGCCTGGTCTCGTCTCAGGATGGGGGAGAGAGAGGAGGGAAGGATACGTGGTAGGGCCGTATTAGTTAGTGTGCTGCTCGCTAGCGACAGAGTGGCACGACAGCTGGGGACTATGCTTGGTGATGCGTCTTGGGCGATGGCTAGCCTTGGTGATGGCGGAGCAACAAGTCTCACACAAGCCGTAGGCAGAGACGGGTGCAGATGGGACTTGTGAGTATGCAGTATAGTAGCAGCAGCAGCAGTTGGTGGTGGTGGTGGTGGTGTGGCGTTGGCGTTGGCGTTGGCGGCGGCAGAAGACACGCAGTAGCAGACTGAATCAGCTAGCTGGACGAGACAGCCAGATGGCCAGAGACAAAACACTCTTAGCTGCTGGCGATGCAGCAAAATCCTGCGCAGGGCCCAGATCGAGTCTCGCAACTGACGAGACACCAGCAGTCGATCCCAAGCCGACGGGTGTAGTCGTAGTAGAAGAAGCAAGTATTTGATAGCAGCGCCTGCAACAGCAGAGCTAGGCAGGGGGCAGCAGAGTGAGGGGCAAGCAGAGCAAGAGGCGCGTTTGATAGACGTCTAGACTGACAGACAACGGCGAGGCTCGCTGTGAGTGGCCAAAGAGCAAAAAGGACGCAGGATGGGAGACAGTGGCGAGTCAAAACTCATATCGCAGACACGAACGCCGGACCAAGGCGCCAACCGCTCCCTCCATGCAATGCAGATGCACAAGCGCAAGCACAAGCACAAGCACAAGCGACATGCGCAGCTGCACGGCTGTCGTGGCGGCCGCTCAAAGGGCGTCTGCGTCGAGCCGGAGTCCTGCGGGCGCCGTCCGTGGCAGCCGAGGGAAGAAAAGAGCTGGAGGTGATTGGCAGCAGCAGCAGCGGCGGCTTCATCCTCTGCAGTCCTGATAGTCTTGATGCATCCCTGCCTGCAGCGCCTGTAGCCGTTTTGCTGCCGTGGGCGCCGGCGATTGGCTGCGTGCGCCTCTTTGCGGGGAATCTCGTCTCGACGTGCTGCTTTGCGGACCGATGCGGGTTAGCAAAGGGCAAGGAAGGGAAGGTGTGGGCAGAGCAGAAAAGGATCAATCATATGTGCTTGTATATCGGCGAAAAGACCAGACATTGGCAGCTCAGCGTTGTTTTCGTCTTCGCAAGTATAAGCCAATCACGGCGTCGGCAAGTGATGCTGTCTGTTGGGGAGATGCGTGGCTCGCCCGTCGGTCAAATCATATCACAGCTATGTCTGCATCGTGCCATTGAATGGCCAACAATCATTATCACACAGCCAAGACAGCATAGGTATCACCGGGCAGTCTGGGGGCCTACGTACTTCATATGCACGTACTAAAACTATTCGCCTATTCCCCCACACAATCCTTATCAACACGAGCATCTATGCTTCCTACACAGACCCCCTTGCCTGATCTTTTCCCTCCATATGCGAAATTTGTTCAATCGGGCATTGGGGATGAGCATCCGGAGCCGGAGCGGGGCACACGCGGGTAGAGCAAAGCAGAAGATGAGCCTTAATGCTCCAATTAGTGGATATAAATCACTGATCCTTCTTGATGGATTGATTCGACGTCAAAAGCTGGGCAATCGACGCATGCTCGCAAGGTGTTTCAGGCCAGGGCAGCGATTCATTTCTGGGTTCCAATTGACCATCAATCAATCCATCAAGCCATCAATCCATAACCATTATGCGGATACTATGACATTGCTAATAATAAGTATTCTATGCATGTAGCACATACCTTAGGTGCTTGTATGAGAGCCGTAAGCGGAGATGCCTGGTAGTGGTGATGTCATCCACGAGTCTCATCATCTCACTTCATGTACAGCAAAGCTCAAGAGGAGCCATTTGACCACGATTACTCTTTGATAAGTCCTTGTATTGGTACATGCTATTATTACCATTAATACTCCTGATTATCGGCACTTGGTATCCTTGCTCTTCAGCGGTCGCCACAATTGCAGTTCAGCTAGAGTGTGGCCATTCGTAGCCTCGAGTGTTCATACCGAACTAGCCCAGTCAGAAGTCCACGCTGATTTGACCCTTCTCAGCTCAATCCATTTTAAATATACTCCCGAAATAACCAATTCAATCGACATCTTACTCCAAACTCTCTTCAACTAAAGCAGTCTTCTCCATTCCCACTATCGAATTCGAGGCTTCAAATATATCCTGCTTGTTGGTTGCCGTGCCCTTGGTTGTACCCTTGATTGCCATATCCCTGGTTACCATATCCCTGGTTACCATGACTTTGGTCATATGGCTGATTCCCATATCCCTGGCTTTCGTACGGTTGGCCACCAATGGGCGCTGGTCCTGTTTGCGCAGCCGGTGGCGGCGGTGGTGCCGGTGGTGGTGCTGCTGCCATTGTTCCGTAATTTTGTCGAAAGGCTTGCCCACCCGTTTGCACCTTTTCGGAGTAAATGCCGGGAGCACGACGTGGTGGAGCATAACCCTCGCGAGCTTGTTGCCGCCTATCATAGTAGACATATTCAAGATAAAACGCGTGTATGTGGCCTGGCAAGTATCCGAGAATCGTCAGGAATATGTTGATGACCAAATCTATAGCGCTTTGGTTAGTTCACTGGTCCCCTTCATGTTGTCCAATACCGCGAATCAACTTACCCATTCCACATCCTGCTACAGCCCATGCGCCGAGCGGAGGGACTAAGCAACATAGTTAGCACGATGTGAGTCTCCAATTTGGCATCTCAACGTACAGATAATGGTGATGAATATCACGCATATGACCGAACAAACACCCATGATGGCGACTGCGACGAGGTATAAGTCCTTTCAAGATTCTCTATAAAAGAGCCTGGTGTTTGTGATTCAGAGACCTATATTGGAGTATTAAGCAAAATATAGAGTTTTCTCTCTCAAGTCACGAAAAAGAAGTAACGAAAGATCAACCGTCGAATCGGCGGTTACGGGAGGAAATACGCTTCCATTTATTGCATGCCATCATCCCACAACAAGGGCCGATTTGGCACGCAATGGCTGGTTAAACTTTTTAGCTTCTTATTGCGTAACTGGATTGTGCGCGCAAGTCACGCTGACATTGAGTTCACGCAATCAACAACCATCAGGCTGTCTTTTGGGATTGGCCACCAGCTGCAGCCGGCAATCAGAAGCCGCGATGCGCCACGAATGACGCAGGCAAGACAGAGCTTGGTGCTTGGTGCATGACGTAGTCGCACGTGGATGGCGGTGCTGCTCTCATTAAGAAGGAGCAGCTTGGTAGCTTCAAACTCAATTGAGCTGCTCAAGCCACATATTTCCTTTTCAGTCTTTCAATTGTCTTTATTGTAAACATTAGAATAACTATATTCTCGCTCTTATATAAATATCAACTCTCTCACCTGTTCTTTTGCCAATGCTAATGCTCGCAAAAGGCATCCATGAAAGGCGAGCAAAGCCGAGGGAACACAGTCAACGAGATTGCTCTGCATCACCAAGTAACGCCGCCTATCTTCCCTGGCTTTAAACTATGACGACGAGCCGACACTTTTCTCCATAACAAAATTTCAGCTTAACACCTTCAAATAGTTACTTGCTTCTCATTGTATCCGACGACTCCCATAGCCTATGCGATGCCGTGACTCGGCACTATCGTCGATGCAACGGCTCGGGCACATCGAGCCGGCTAATGCAGGACTCATAACGCCCGGCTCATTCGATCATCGCTTAATTTTTGGTAGCGTGCCATGGTCAGTGATAGCATACACATTTACCTTTTGAACAATATGTTCAGATACTGAATGCTCAATGCCCACAGATCCGCGAGAACCGGCTGGTTCGACAATCTTCACAACCTTTCAACACGCCCCAGCAAATTATACTGCGCTGGCCCTCTTATCCTCGGCTATCCGGCGACTTAAAACACAAACACCCGATATAATCAAACGCTGCCACTGCTAGGTATCATCGACTACAGGAATAATTTCCGGTCTTTGTGACGGGCGCCAAAACAGTCTTCTGGGATCAAAAGTGAAACATTGCCAAGCAGGTCTCAGCTAAAGATCGGAACAAAGGTAGGTTGGATCCGTTAACTCCTGCGGCATGCGTCCACGCTAAGATCACAGTAGCCAAACAGAGACGATGCCTCCCAGGCTTACAAATTTACTTGCGTAAAAGAATGCAAAATTCCATCAGGTCGTCCAATCTATCTTCTGTAGATATCATTATCTGCTACTACAAGTACGATGGTGTACTCTGGGACGCATGACAGCTGGTGATGCACGACTGGGTACATGTAAGCGACGGTGGCCAGGGCAGCAGGTATCCAAGACAGTGTCTCTATCCCCGGCGCTTCTGACATCGTTCTAGAAAATGGTCTCTGGGTCAATGGCGGTGGCACCAATGAGATGGCTGAGCCGGCAACCCGTTACCCGTAATGGCCTCGTGCTTGACCCGAAACTTGACATTGTCAAGGGGACCCCCAGTCACCCAAGACATACTGTACAGACAACTCTAGACGCGTCTGAAGGCCTGCCTTTTAAAGGACGCTAAAAAACTAGAGAGGGAAGCGTATTTCTTTCGGCCGCGACTGGTTTGCCGACTCTGAGCGCCGTCCAATATATACCGGAGCCTTGCCCTTCTTCTATCCGCGGGCTCAAAATCGGGCCACTTTCCACTCTTCAGGCCTGCTAGATGGCTCCTCTGTGAAGTCGGTAAAGCGACTCTCCTTTTTTTTATTGTAATTGTGGAAACAATAACAAAAAAGAGGCCGCTTGCCCTCGACCGCGCCGTGGACGACTCGCAGAGCGGGTAATCCCGACTACCGATGGCCATACGGAGCAGATACCTGCTCTTAGTGCTCTGACTAAAACAGCCCGAATCTTTAATGGGATTTATTCTGGAGTTGGCATTTCGTAAGATACTTCGCGGACCCTAGTAGGAAGAGAAGCAAAACGAAATCGTTGTACTTTGGCCGAGTGCTTGTATGTGAGTTGAACTGGAAAAGCGGCTGGTATTCTGCTTAACAATAACAGCAAAAAGTAAGAACAACGGGTATTCTATACCGAACACGGAGGAGAAAGCGGCCCCTCAAAAGAGACCATGATGACAGGAGACTCGTCATTTTGCACCCAACACAAGCTCCTGTCAAAACCTGATTCAGCATGAGGCCGCCGCAGGGCATCTGCACACTGTGTCGAGCTCCTGCGCGCCTATGACCAGGCGCAGCCCAGACTGACTGCTGCAGCAACTCCTAATACGATGAATAATACAAATGCCAGGCGCCGCTTTATGCTCCGTAGAATAGAGGTCAGTTTGGTAGCAAAGACAGGGGAGCCGCCAGAGATCCGCGCCACAGACGCCAATTCTATCTCGCCACTCAGTTCTGGCGCCTCGGGTATAAACTTCAATGGGCTGCAGCTGAACATGAGACAGTCTTGTCTTCCAACGCGCCAGCTAACCCTCTACAGATCACATAGGCCAACTGCTGCCGATTAAGCGCCTCAAAACTTGGGCAAGCTTGCAGCTTGCTATTTCGAGCCCAGGCGGTAGTAGTATGTTGAGTAAGAAGTCTGCCAACTGCGTATAGCGTTGCTCCAGGATGCCAGGCTCTGGCAGCGGTGAGTGTTCTCCTTTTCTCAGACTGAGGGTCAATCATAATGCTGCTGTTGGCTCTTGCGGAGACAGCGAACCGTCACCTGCCCATGCTGATCATTGATGAGACGATTAGAGCCAATATATCTGTATTATACAGAGCGCATGTAGAAGAGCCCGACTGCATGGGCAATAGTAAGTGAGGTCGGTGACGTATACGCGCCCTCACCCTCGCCATATACTGGTCGAATAGACGTAGACGCCACGGTCCATGATATTGGCATCAGAGTACTGGTTGTTTGTTTCGCGGAGAGAGCTGCTTGCCTCTCCCCGAGGTTCGCCTATCGAGCCAATTCGTCTTCCGATCATGTACGGCTCCGTACTCTGTACTCCGTATAACCTAATATAGATCTGGGGAACTTGACGCAAGGCTACCTTGACAGCCGAAGCAAGTTACGGTGTACAAGCAACAGCAGAGTGCCGAGACTGGTGCGCTGCAGACAGGCAGTGGAATGATAATCTGGGACAGCCAGGGATCTGCCTGGTATTACCAACGCCTGAGCTTGCACGGCCAGGCAGCACAGACAGGGTTGGCCGTTGGAGTGTAAGCAAAGAATGCGTCTCTGTTGACAGCTCTGCGGGCACTGCAGTGGCAGCAGCTCGAGAGGCTCAAAACAAGCTCTCGCCGATGAAATCATTCCGTCTCCGACATACCGGAGACTGGCCCCTTGCGTCGTGAAGAAAAAAAGACCCCGTTTGGTGGGACACAGGCAGCCAGTCCCGATAAGCGCTCCGTAGAGACTCCGCCAAGTACTGCTGGTACCGATACCTCCTGGCAGTAGCGGTGCCGCGTCTCCAGGCCGGCCAAGCAGGGCTAGCAGGGGTTCCAGTACAGCGAGCGCCCTGCGCTGGCCACCCGCTGCGTGTCCACTAGCGCCTATAGTTTAGCCACTGAGCGCCGCTGAGCCCGCACCTGCACCCGCCGGCCGCCGCTACAGAGCCCTGAAAAAGCCCCGTGCGTACGCCAGCCAGCGAAGTACAGCTACAAGCTGCTCGTACTCCGCGGTGGCACATTGGAGGGCCAGCAGGGCAGGTACCTGGAGCTAACTACAGCACTGGCGGCATCTGCAGAGAAAGAAAAGTGTTGGACCACCAATTTCCCGCTCGGCCAGCGGTCTCTTCCAAACCTCACATTCTCTCATTTTGCAGTCTTTCTTCATCCACCTCAGAGCTCGACTGTTGCGAGGGCGTGTTGCGCATTTCTGGCAGGGCGCGGCCAATCTTTTCTCACTTGTCTGACCCTTTATCGTGTCCTCACTTTTTCTTCTCTCCTCTGGCTGCCAAGCCGGAGCTCCAGGCCATTTTCTCCGCGGCTGTTCTTTTTGGCTTCACGCCTCCTGAAGCTTTACCGAAGTGGTTGTACCCGCCTCCATCGTCCTTTGTTCTGCCTGTCAAACTCTTCGAGCCAGCTGGCGTCTGAGGCTCTCGCTCCTCGTTTACATACTCACATCTCTCACGACAAGCCATTGCGAGCGGCCTGGCGATCGCTTCAGCGTCGAAAGTCGTTGCCTGCACCTTGCACACGCCAGTAGCCTTGAGCCGGCAGACCCGTTGCTATCATGACTTCGCAGCAGGTGCCTCAGCTCAACATCGACCGCTACGTCGTGATCCACGTTGCGACCACCTGCGATGAACACGGAGTATATGTGACCAAGGATTCCGCCGAGGTCATTGAGCTTGGCTGGATTCTCATTGATGGCCACTCTCTTGAAGAGGTTAGAAATCCGCTGTCCCCCCTGCGCCACTACCCGGCCACAACACCCACACGTAGCTGAAAGAAGCATCGCTAACCCGGCCGCCATTGCAACAGATTACCCACGAGAGCGTTCTTGTCAAGCCCGTTAACACTCCCATCACTCCACTCTGCAGTAAGTTTTTTCAGTCCTGCGAATCGTCTTTTCAGCTTGTTTTGTCGCGCCTGCTTTCTCCCCCGCCATATGTTGCGCGGCTGCAGAGGAGTTGGAGGGGGACTAAAATTTCTAAAAAAAACTTCTCATGGTGAAAATCGTTAAACACTGCGGCTGACTGAATGTTCTTTCCTCTCATCTTCTTGCAGCGAGCCTAACGACTCTGACATGGGAACATGTTCGAAATGCCGGTACTTTTAGGGATGCCATTACCCGATTCGACACGTTTGCCACCGAGTACCTGACGTCCAAGAATCTCGACTTCGTCTTCGTTACTTTGGATGCTTGGGACCTCCGAGTTCAGCTCCCTCGAGAAGCCCGCGACAAGGCAGTCGTGCTGCCTCCTTATCTGCAGCACTCTCGCACCTTCGATCTGCGAACTGAATACCAACGCTGGCAACAGCACCACCCAGAGTCTCTGCCCTTTGGACCTTCCATGCTGTCAAACATCTGCGCCGCTCTTGAGGTCGAGCCAGTGCAGTCCAGCGCTCCTATCAAACACAATCTGCCTTTCCATCTCCAGGCTTTGGCTCCCGCCTCTCCCCGCCGTGCCATGGAGGAGGCCGTTACCCTAGCTCGAGTTCTCCGTGGTCTGATTCGCAAGTCTCAGCCGCCGCACGACCATCCCGACGTTTTGACCAGGCCTATGGATGCCAGGGCGGATGTCCGGGCGTTCCTCTCTGAGAGAAGCAAGGTCCTGCACATGTCTGGTCTGCCGCATGATACTACCCAGTCTGAGCTGGAGAGCTGGTTCACCCAGTTTGGTGGTCGCCCTATTGCATTCTGGACACTTCGAACCCCTGAGCAGCACAAGCCCACCGGCACAGGTTTCGCCGTCTTCTCTTCCCATGAAGAAGTGAGTTTACTGCGTACATTCCCAGATACTGCCTCTAGCCATTTCTCCCTTACACATGACCTTCCTCCCCCTTTTGAAGTCGCTGTTGCTTCGTGTACTGATTTGAACTAGGCTGCCGAGAGCTTGTGCATGAACGGACGTGCACTAAACGAGAAAGCTATTGAAGTTTCCCCCTCTTCCAGCCGTGTGCTGGATCGCGCTCAAGACATTTTGACACCTTTCCCTCCCAGTAAGAACCGCCCCAGGCCTGGTGACTGGACTTGCCCCTCTTGCGGCTTCTCCAACTTCCAGCGCCGCACAGCTTGCTTCCGTTGCTCGTTCCCTGCCGTTGGAAGCGGTGGGCCTGCTGAAATGGGAGGACCTGGTGGCTATGGATATCAATATGGACCTCCAGCCATGATGCCCCCTCCGCACCACGGTGGTCACCACGGCCCTATGGGACACGGTGGACGTATGGGCGGCGGCGGTGTTGTGCCTTTCCGCGCCGGTGACTGGAAGTGCGGGAATGAAGTTTGTGGATACCACAACTTTGCGAAGAATGTCTGCTGTCTTCGCTGTGGTGCCAGTCGCGCTGGTGCTGCCGTTGTTGCGGACTCTGGCTATCCTTCTCCCATGGACAATGGCTCACAGTATGGCATGAGCCAAGGATCAATGGGAGGTACGCCAGGTCCTGGCCCCTTTGGTTCCGGAGCATCTTTCGGATCCGGAGGCGGCTACGGCCAGCACTTTGGTGGTCCCCCTAGCCACTTTCTGCCCTCGGGTTTGGGTGGCGGCGCTGGCGGCTACCCGGGCTCTTTGAACTCTCAGGGCTTCCCTTCTGCCCCAGGTTCGCATTCTGCCGGCCCCTTTGACAGTAGGGCTGCAGAGGCGGCTTTCCAGTCTGCGACCAACGGTCCTGTCTCTGGCGGGCCCGGCAATAACTTTTACAACAACAACAGCGGCAACCCTGGCAACAATGAAAGCGACCCCTTTGCTTTCCTGAGCAGTGGTATCGGTGGCCTCACTGTCAGTGGCGACGCTCGCCAAAATGGTGCCGGCGCTACCCCAAGCAAGTCACCCGTCTAATCGAGACGGGCAGACGCTTGTCTTTTAGATCATGATCTTTATCTCAACTAGTTATGTACCTTTCGGTATATCTTTTTCGTTCCTATGTAACGACTTTGGAATGATGAACATAGAGCATTTGACCTTGGCAAATATCTTCTGGACCTGGCTTGCATGCTGTTTCAAGGGAAAGGGGCTGGTGTGAATTCGGTTTGTTTTTTGGAGGACTAGGACGGAGTGTCGGATATGTTTTAGGTGGTGCTGTGGTATTGTTTCGAGGGCTGGAAGACAAAAGTGAAGTACACCACGGCTGTTCTGGGTCAAGACGAGTCTTGTGGTACAAGCATTGCTGAGGAAAGTAAAATTTTGTTGGTTCTCTTTCGCGCTTTAAAGGGGGGCAAAACATGGTTCTTGGCAAGGGAAATACGGTTGTGTGGACTCGATTATCGGTCGGACGTGGCATTTTTTTTGCTGGAATCCTTTTGTCCCGGTGCCGGTGCATAGCGAAAGGGGGGTGTAAGGATATATCTTGGCCTTGATTTTGACTCAATTATCCAGTTCACAGGTGTCGGTTTTATCGCTCAGATTAGCCCAGGTGTCTTTTGATTCTTGCTTCAACTCTTTCTCCTTGGTAACTTGCTTTTCACTGGTCTGATTCTCTTGGTCTTTTTCACTTCTGTTCTCCTTTTTGTTTTGTCCATTTTCCAGTTGTGTCTCTTACTCTGTCGATCTTTTTTTTTTTTTTTCCTTATTTTCTTCTACATAGGACATTCCGACTTCTCATGTTGTACTTTTCGTACGCTCGTTCTTTTTCTTTTCTTTCGTTCTTTCTTCTTCTTTGTCATTTCGGCAATTCGGAAATTTGGACGAGCAAGGGTGTTCAAAGGTAGCAGCATTTTTTGGGAGCGGGGGACTGGCGGGAGTTGGGACTGAATTGAGTTTTTTAAGGGAAACCTTTTTGGGCAAATGAAATTCTGACGATGGAAAGGGAAAGGGAAAGGGAAAGGGAAAGGGAAAGGAAGGTCGTAGATGGGTGGTTGGCTACAAGGTTGATTTTTGCTGAGAATATGAGAATGCTCTGATGTCTTTTCGTCCGAAGGGGGGTGGTAGTTAGGCATGAAACTCTTTTAACAAAAAGTAGAGTGATTTTTGAAGAAGAATGGATGTTCTAATATACTATGTTATTGACTTTTTACTCGTGTTTTCGGATTAATTCTTATTTTGAGTTGGGGAAAGTTTGGCGTTTTTGGGGGGTTTTCGATTTAATGATTATATGATTTGAGAATTACTATGTGATTTCTGCTGCTTTTGACAATGAAGCCTGTGAGGTCCAGCTTGATAGGGAGAAGTGGGTGTATAAACCGGTTAAAGTAGAGTGTTGCATGAAAGGAGACGACCGTCCATCACAATTTGCCGAGATGTGATTAGGTTTCGTTGAATGCCATCTTAGCACATGGGACTTTTGTCGATATTTTGGTGCTCGCTGATATCTTGGCTTGGAGGTGAGTTTTTTATTAATTATATGTGTTGAAATGTCTGGAATTGGTTGTTCGACCTAGTATGAGGAAGCAATAAGGATTGCGGAGCAGGTACACTTGTCTTTGTCTCTCTTGCTACCGTCTTTTTGGTTTATGCTTCTTTTTCTTCTTGGTGACTTTTAAATGTCTCTCGCTACTAGTATTCCTCGGCTTATGCTGATATTATATCATTCTGACTACTAGTAGTACTATCAACTGGGCTTTCAATACCCAAGGTAGGTAGGTACTTAAGATACATAATTTGTAGGTACTAGTACAGTCGTTTGCTTAAAAAGAACCAAGACCGTAGAATGAATATCCACGTACAAAACCTTAATTAGAGCACCATTAGCGTGGGCTGATATTAGCATTAATGTGTGCGTGGTTACCACGTTGTGTTTAAATTCTAAGTCTAGCTTGTGCGCTAAGTGAAACTGGAGAGGGGAAACAACGATGGAGAGGGATTAAAGTACCCTAAAACAATTTTTCGCAAGCAGGCGAGACTTCTGACCATTTTATCCCACCATACTGCTGGAAGATTATATGCGGTAGCAAATACAGAAAGCCTGTGGAAAGCAGATACTTAACGTGGACACAATTCTTTCTTGCAGAGTCATGTTCAGATCTTAGGGAAGCGTTTCTCATAAATCTTAGGACGATGTCTTAGCAGGTAAAGTAGCGCACAACCTTCAACTTTATCGTTGTGGTCGCTGCACCACTTGTAAATAATCTAGATGCGATCCAGGCAGGCCGCAAACGGAAATCTATGCAGGAAAAAGATGGTCAAACCAACGAAGAAAACAAACGCATCACTTACTCTTATTCTCATCAAATGCAGCCGCCAGACACAGCAGCCGTTGCATTTCGGTGATTACAAGAGCAAAGCGATGCGCTTGCTTAGTCAGAAATGCACCGAAAATGGCCCTTTATAAGTTAACTAAAAAGGTAAACTGTCGCCTTCGGGCATTTGGTCAATTTATAACGATACAGGTAAGGCTCAACTCTGCACTCCACAAGGTCGCAAGTTCGAATCGCTAACAGTTCACCAACAGAGAAGATTAGCATGGCCCCTGCACTAAGGATGACACGCTCAATCAAAGAGAAGCTAAACATTTTTTTTTGTAAATTGTTTTTTTTTTTCTTCTATTAAGTTTTTGTAGATTCCCTCTTTCTATCTGTAGTATCCCATCAACGTGATGCCCTCTCTGCGTATCGATTGTCAGAGTGGGCCAGCAGCTCTGCAGCCTCTGTATAATCAGATATCCCTAACGGTTGAAACCAGGTGCCTCAGTATTCTAAGCTACAGCCATATTATCATCGCCCTCGTCTTCTCCGTCATAATCAATCTCCATATCATCTTCACCACCAGCATCATCGTAATCGCTCTCTCCTTCATATTCATCTTCAGTATCGTCCTCCATTTCATCGTCCATTTCGTCCTCCAAATCTTCTTCATCCTGTGATTCAGATGTCACACCACGCTGCTGCTGTTGCGAGGGTCGATTTCGCCTCTCTCTGATCAAATCATCCCAACCCCAATCCTCTCCTGGATCGTGGTTTGGATACGAGCCCCAAGCCTGAGCCCTGATTTTCTCGTCTTCTCCGAGGTCAACGGGTATACCGCCCAATATGGACTCGTTGACAAAATCTATCCAACCCTGCATGTTATCAACATCGGGCACTGTAGATTCGTGATCTCTGGGCTGAGGAGGTACGATGAAGCCGCGGTTGATTTCCTCGTCGAGGTCAAGAGATTTATCAGAATCAGAATCAGAGACGCCCTCCAAACTGCCGGCATCGTCGTCCGAGTTACCGCACCAGGCTTGAGCACGCAGCCGCTCGTCCTCTTCATCAGACAGGATCTCATCCTGCTGCTCGGGGGTGAGGTCGAACCAGCGCTTCTTCAAAACATGCCTTGGCTTCCAGTGCTCAAGCGTATCAACGTTTGCAAGAATGCCGTCTTCATCCTCGATATACATCTCTTCCATAGAGGGCACAATGTTCTCTCCCGTCCTCCAATCAAAGTATCCCCAAACCATCATTTGGCTCAGGTGTTCATCGAGTTGAAGCCCCCTGCGGACAGCTTCTATAGGTATAACTTCGTCCGGCCGCAAAAGGTGTGCTCGGCCTGCTCCCCAGCCCTCCTTGTGCTGCTGGCCAACTTCCTGGAGTGGTATGCCCTGAATCTGGCTCAGCATATTTTCCAACCAGTAGCCGCCTTCGCTAAAAAAATCGAAGTCATAGCGCAGCTTGAGCTCTAGTATGTCGGAAAGCTTATTGAATTTCTTGTGGGTAAGAAGCTGCCATAGTTTGTAAAGACCTTTCTGGCCCAGCATAAGTTGCACCAGGTCGTATTTGCAAGGGCCATAGACGGGGTCGTTGAAGAGCATGCCGAGCTTGATGATGAACATTTGCATGTTGTAGAGATCAATATCCTTAAATAGGTGCGTCATTCGTAACATTGCCTGCCTCTGGTGAGATGTAGAAATGTCCATGAGAAGCCAAAGCCGCAGCAGCGAGTGATGCATCGTCGTCGGCATGCGATGACCGCATCGAGCCATGATGGCGAGAATCTCCTTGCAGTACTTGTCCCGGCCCAGTACCAGCTGCAGATACTTTAATCCAGGCACTTTGCGAATCTTGCTGTCTTTGTTCGGCGACGTGGTCATGCCCTGCTTCAAAGCCATCCAAGTTCTTCTCTGCGGATCGTCAACGAGATGCCTGGCGTAGAGCTGGTAGTGGAAAATGCGTCCTGCTTCCGGCGCCCTGTATTCAATCCATGTGCGGATGCTAGAAAGAAGATAGACGTTGACGACGTTGTAAAAGGCACGGTTTGCGAGACAGAGGTTCAGCGCGTCTCTGCCGTTGAGATGCTTGCCCAGCTCGACAGCAAGCTCAACGTGCTGGCATAGCACTGAGATGAGATCTCTTCCAGTATAATCAAGGCGAGATTCCATTGCTTTCGACGTCTCGTATGGATCAGTATTGTCAAAATGGTCTTCGATATCGAGGTCGTCAAACTTGAATTTCTTCTTCTTCATGCCATTCACTTCCACTTCTTCAATCGTGATTCGATTGATGCCCCTCAGAAGTCCAACATGGTCGGCATCCATCTCTGCGCCCGCGTCGCCCTCCATTTCATCATTGTATTCGTCAAAATACTCATCCATTCCCGTCAAATCAATCCCCATATCCTCTAGCATAGCATCACGCTCGCTCTCTGCCCATGCATCACCTTTAGAATCCTCGGCCTCTTCCAAGGCTCGCTGCCGAACATCTTCGGCAAGCTGATGAGAATCATTGTTATCTGTTTGTTGGCCGTTGCTTGGCCTGGCCTGCCCGTTTGCGTCATTCATTATCTCTTCTTGTTGACAATATACGCGTGGGTGATGTGTCACTGCTTGAGTTCTTAGCTAGGCTCATTCAGAACTTAGGGTGCATAGAGAGACGTACAGAAAGTGAATTTTCCTCTGTCACGTACCAAGAGGACTGTGAGATTCCTGCAGTTGAAGATATGCGACGTTCATGTGAAACGGCCAAGAGATATCGACCCAGCAACAACTAGTAGGTGAATAATGCAGCTCCGAGCGCCTGTCCATCGACTCTGCCAGCTGCCTCACAGTTGTTATAAAAGCGCACCATTTTTTTTTGTTCAAAAGCTTCGAAAAACTATATTAACTAACACGGTTGGGTAGCTTTTGCTCTTGATAAGTATTTGTAACTCTTAATCGTCCTTCCTGGACAATTCTATTTCCATTTCTTCGCCATATTCTGCCTTGACACTTGCTAATTTCGACCTGATATCCGCGTTTTCGCCTTCGCTGACCTTCGAGAACGCGTAGCCATTAGGTCTAGTTGTCCAATGCGAGTATTCGTCCTCGGCATTCTCAGAATCGTAATCAATTTTATTAGATTTGACCGACCTAGCCCTCTCATTGACAAGTCGCATGTATTCTCGCATCTCCTCTTCTTCGCCTTCATCCTATGAAGACCGACTCTTCTCCCAGAACTTCCACCTCATCTATCGGTCAAGCTCATCAACTGGCAAGTCGCCATCATCCTTTCCAACAATAGATTCCGCAACTTTCCAAATTTGTAGCAGGTTGTCCTCGGCGGCACTGGCAACCAACCAAGGCTCATTGGGGTTCCAGCTGAAGTCGGCCAAGTGGTTTGTATGGCCGCCATGCATGAATAGCCTAGAATGTGGTGAGTGGTTAGCAGACCGAAAATAACAAAGAACTCAACAAAAATGATACTTGAGAATACACATGGTTGCAACTTACAGCTCAGGAGGGCCGTCGTCCTGGTCATCGGGAAGCTGTTCCTCACCGACGCGAGATAAGTCCCAGAAGATAATTCTTCGGTCATAACTTCCACTTCCCAAGATGCCGGCTTCGGTGGGATGCCAGGCGAGGGATGTTACCGCGTCATTGTGGCCCTCAAGGGTGTGCACCTTCTCCTTCACATTTCGTAGATCCCAGATTCCAATCGTCTTATCGGCGGAAGCTGTGGCGACAAGGACTTCAGACTTTGGATTAAATGCTAGCGCATTGATGGCATCTAAATGGCCTTGCTTTGCGACAACGGCAGCCTTATTCGTCTCGACCTGTCGCAGATCCACGATTTGCAGGGTCTGGTCGTCCGATACGGAGCCAATAAAGTTCTTAGAAATAGGGTGGTATTGAACGTCGTTGACAATTCGGGCATGGTGAGTATATCTGCGAACAGGTTTTAATATCCTCGAGTCGGCCTCAAGAAGCTTCAAATCCCTGTGTTCAGAAGCAAATCAGCCACAAGGTCCTAGGATGTCGTCAAATGCTTTACTCACCACAAACACATGGTCGTATCCTCACTGCCTGAAGCGAGGCATCCTTCCTCATGGGGATTCCAGTTGAGGCCAAAACCTTCCTCTTTATGGCCGATCAGCTCAATCTGCGCGTTCACTTTGCCCAGCGATGCAGGTTGTAAGGGGTGCTTTGTCCGATCAAAGATGAGAATTCTGCCATCAACGCCAAGAGTAGCGATGATGTCTGGGTTTTGAGGCTGATAGCGAGCCTTGTTGACCTCTCCGGGATGCTCAATTCTTTGTACAATGTCGCACTTTAGGGCAGCAACGTCGCCTGCCTTTCCGTAGCCTCCAATCTCGCCTCGTTCCTCGTCATAGTCGTCAGGGTTCGGTACTACAGCTTTGGGTATCTGGACATCGGCGATTTGGAGAAAGTTGGCGCTGCCGTCGGAGGTATGGGTTCCGAGCAAGAGACGGTGCATGCGATAGTTTTTGCCCTCTGGCTCCTTGACGTCAGGAAACCATTGGACTGTTAGAGTTGGCCAAGTCAGGGCCGTTCTGAAACACAGGTGTCAGAGCACAGATCCAATCATATGACTGCTAAAGAACAAAGTTACCCAAGAATCATATCGTATAAGAATGGGCTGTTTTTCTTCCATGTCTTGTACTCTAGGATGAGCTCGAAATCAGTTCACATGCCCCGCATATCGAGAGCCAGTATCAGCATGATGGAAGCTTACCCTCATTGATGAGACGTTCCTCCTGGTCGTCTTCCTCGTCATGAACCATATCGACTGCAGGCGCGTATCAAGATTAGCATGGGATTGCCGGAGTCGTTACGGCATTGAGCCAGATTTAGTCTTGACAAACCATCGGGAGGGTCGAGCTCAGAGCCTTGAGGCGCCATGGTTAGATATATAAGAGATTTTGGCGAAGAAGCCCAATCAATGCTTGTTGAAAAATCTGTTAGGAGAACACAAAGAAGATGCGGTGATTCGCCCGGAAGGAGCTCCAAGATCAGATTAATGAGGTCGAGAGAGCGAAAAAAGGCTGGCCTGGCGGAAGCTTGAAAAGAATAGCCGGTCGCGTCGCGCGTTAAGTGACGAGAGGCTGGCAGGGCGTGTCGTTAGCGGGCAGCAGCTGAGCCTTGCTCGCCACCCCCCTCCCCTCAATCCCTCAGAGCCTGGCCTAGTCGCTAGAGTCATTCGCCGCAGCGCATTGTCATAGAAGCCGCCTCCAGCATCAACTCGCTCTTTTCCACGCCGCTCATCGCTCCCAGCAATCTCTTCGTCCGCCCAGCTACAGCTGCCTCGTAGCATTGTTGTTGGATAAGCTACGGGATCATTAGCTGCAGCAGCTCCGCGGCTCTCTTTTCCGTCGTGTTCGTTGGGGTTGCTTTCTTCTGTCCTGTTACGACCTTGTCGCGAATTGGCTGAATCTGCCGGCTTTGTGACTTTCGGTTGGCATTCCAGCGCTGCTCAGTATACGAACCATCTTTCTCCTTTTTGTTCGACATATAATTGTTATATATATCTTGGGCGCATAGCTGCCCGACTACCGGCATCATGGGGTTCGTTTCATGACTGCGAAAATCTGCGTGCTACCAATGCTGACGTCTTTGATCTATAGTGTTCCCAAGTTCTTCAGATGGCTCTCAGAGCGTTATCCGGCCATCTCGCAAGTAATTGCGGAAAATCGCATCCCAGAATTCGACTGCCTCTATGTAAGAGAGAGCCTAGAGTACCCCTTCTTGTGGCAGCGAGCTAATGCCGGTATTCTCCTTTTAGCTTGACATGAATGGTATCATCCACAACTGTACACACAAAGATGCTGGCGAAGATACTACTTTCCGACTCAGCGAAGAAGAAATGTTTATTCGCATATTCAACTACATCGAACATTTGTTTGGAAAGATTAAGCCTAAGAAGCTTTTCTTCATGGCAATTGATGGAGTTGCTCCCCGTGCCAAAATGAATCAGCAGCGTGCCAGACGTTTCCGAACGGCCCTGGATGCCGAGAAAGCTCGCGACAAGGCGATCCGTGAGGGAGTAGAGCTCCCAAAAGAAGAGCCTTTCGACAGCAATTGCATCACACCAGGTTCGCCATGTCCCTGCACAATCTCCTCATTTCATGCTCTAACCCCCCAATTTTATTTCTAGGCACTGAATTCATGGCGAAGCTGTCACAACAGCTCCGATACTTTGTGAACAAGAAAATCTCGGAAGATACCGATTGGCAGGGATGTGACGTTGTCCTATCTGGGCATGAGGTTCCAGGTGAAGGAGAGCATAAGATCATGGAGTACATCCGAAACGCAAAGGCACAGCCAAACTACGACCCGAACGTACGACACTGCCTTTACGGTCTTGATGCCGACTTGATTATGCTTGGACTTTTAAGCCACGATCCTCATTTCTGCCTGCTGCGTGAAGAAGTTACATTTGGACGAGCCTCCAAGACGAAGTCAAAGGAACTTGAACATCAAAACTTCTATCTGCTCCATCTCTGTATTGTGAGGGAATACCTGGAAATGGAATTTCAGGAGCTTCAGAATAAAGATGCTTTAAAGTTCCAATTTGATCTCGAAAGAGTCATTGACGACTTCATCTTGATGGCATTTTTCGTCGGAAACGACTTTTTGCCAAACCTTCCTGGATTGCATATTAACGAAGGCGCTCTGGCGAACATGTTCAGAATTTACAAGTCTGTCCTTCCACAATGTGAAGGCTACATCAACGAGAACGGTGTTATTCACCTTGACCGTTTGCAGCGTCTGCTCGACGAGCTCAGCAAGACAGAGCTGGACCACTTTGAATATGAAGTTTCTGATCAACAGTGGTTTGCATCCAAACAAATGGAGAAGAAACTCGAACAAAAAAATGGAGCCAAGCCGAGATCGCAAAAGAATAATCAGATGATCATGACTTCATTTCAGAGAGATTTATGGAAACAAAAGATTCGCCCTTTCATCTCAAACAGATCCCAGCAGCCACTGGACTTGGGATCAGATCTCAAGGCTGCGGATCGAAAGTTTGCTCAAGATCTTGCCGAGTCTATGCACTTGGAGTGGTCTACCAAGGAAGACGAAGAGGGCAACCGTCGCCTTGTAATCGCGTTCCCCCCTAAGAAGGAAACCAGCGACGGCGAGGACGATGACGAAGAGGAAGGAAACCTCGCAGCTTATCGTGTTATGAAGTCCTATGACAAAGCGACCATTGCTGACGTTTCCCCCGAAGATGCTGAGAAGCAATATGAAGAGCTATACCAGCAAAAATATCAAGGCTGGAAGACTAAATACTATCTGCAAAAGTTTGAAGAATGGCCTCAAGACAAATATGAGGAAGAACAAAAGAAACTCTGCGAGAATTATGTGCAAGGCCTACAGTGGGTGCTCTATTACTACTACAAAGGCATTGCCTCGTGGCCATGGTTTTACGCCTATCACTATGCACCACTCACGTCGGGTAAATATTGCTGCATAAAACTTACCACACTATGGAGTTGTTTACTAACGAATATTGTATCTAGATGTTACCAAGGGCCTCAGTGCCGACCTGAACTTCAAGTTAGGTCAGCCCTTTAAGCCTAACGAACAACTCATGGGTGTGTTACCAGACCGAAGCAAGAAAATTGTGCCAACTGTTTACCACGACCTAATGACCAATGCAAATTCTCCCATCATTGACTTCTATCCACGAGACTTTGAATTGGACATGAACGGCAAAAAGATGGAATGGGAGGCAGTGGTCAAAATTCCATTCATTGACGAAGCGCGACTTCTGGCTGCCATGGCGCCCCAAAACGAGCTCCTTAGCGACGACCAAAAGGCGCGGAACGGCTTTGGAGTTCCTCTCAAATTCACATACTCTCCCGAAGTCAACTTTACTTATCCTTCTCCACTTCCTGGAATTTTCCCAGAGATACAGTATTGTCATTGCATTGAGAATATCTTTGATTTACCCAATATTGAGGGACTCGATTACGTCTCTGGACTGACGAATGGAGCTCTGGTGAATATAAAGGCTCTTGCTGGATTCCCGACTCTACACACACTGCCACACACGGCACAGCTAGTAGAAGGATATGGAGTCAATGTTTTCCAGCAAGACAGCAGAAATCCAAGTGTCATCGTGACTCTTACCGGTACTGAGATGCGGACAAAGGTTGAAACATGGAAAAAGAAGCTAGGCCAACGCTGCTTCGTTGGCTATCCATTCATTCAAGAAGCCAAAGTTATCAAGGTACAGGATGAGCTATTTTCCTACGAGCTGGCCGAAGATGAAGAAACTGTTGTTACCAAAGATCATGACAACAGAACAGCTTCCGATTTTGCAAAGGAGGCCGAGTTTCTAGAGAATTGGCATGCCAAACGCCTGGGAATCACGGTTGGCCAGGTTGAATGCCTTGTTCACGTTCATATGCTCAAGGGTCTCATCAAAACGGAAGAGGGTGCTCTAATCAAGGAGTACGCTGAAAACCCCAGCTTGCGCAAGGTCTACGCGTCCCAAACCATTGTGGAAGAAGTAGTCAACGAAGACGAACGTTTCATCGAGAGACCAGCCCTGCCGATTGAGGAAGAGTTCCCTCAAGGCACACGAGCTTTCTTTTTGGGTGAATTCGCATACGGTCGCCCCTTGGAGGTGACTGGACATGTTAACGGCAAAGCAAATATTATGGTCTTGGTTCCCAAAAATAAGGAGCCAGATATCACGAAGAAGATCATTTTCCAAGCAGAGCGATCCAACCCGTATACGCCATCCTTCGCAATTGCCAAACAGCTAGGCGTCCATCCTCTCATCCTTAGCAAAATTACGTCGTCTTTCCAAGTTATCAGTGCTGCCGGCCTGAAGCTAAACCTGGGTCTCAATTTGAAATTTGAGGGTCGAAAGCTCAAAGTGCTGGGGTACTCACGCAAATCGGAGACTGGATGGGAGTTCTCTAACCTGGCTGTGAAGCTTATTGCTGATTACATGGTCGCATTCCCCGATTTCTTTGCAGCGATTCAGAAAGAACCGCAAAGAAGTGAGATTTCTGAGAGCGACCTGTGGAATGATCCGAGCGTTGCTTCGCAGCGGATCAAAGACATATTAGCGTGGCTAAGGAAACAAGAGACGAGCAAATTTGAGCGAGTCCCCCTTGACGCTGAGCAACTCGATTCGGGAATTGTCATGGCTCTCGCTACGGCTGGAGAACAGTTGCACCAAGCGAGCATGGATGCGGCTACCAAGACGCTCAACTCTGTGCCTCGTACAGCCTTGTTGAAGCCGGCGGATGCGGAGATGGTGCTAGGCAACCAAACGTTCAGGCTAGGAGATCGGGTTACTTTCATTGCCGCTGCCGGTAAGGTCCCAATTGGAACTCGGGGAACTGTTGCCGGCATTTCTCGAACGGCAACTGCTGTTCTCTTGGACGTCGTGTGGGACATCTCCTTCATGAGTGGCACGACTCTCGGCGAGAGGGCTCCAATGTTCCGTGGGCAGACCGTTTCATCATCGACGGTGCTGAATACTACCAATTGGCAAGTCGTCTCTGCATCATCAAAATCGCGACAGAGGAAATCTGTTACGGCCACGGGATCGGTTGGATCATACGGTTCAGTCGGTGTTACACAGTACAAGGACGCTCCAGCCCCTCCTCCCCTCCGAGGCGGATGGCGTGGAGCTGCTTCAGGCGATTCAGCTTCATCAGGCCGTGGGCGGAACAGCCCTGGTCGCGGCGCTCGAGGAGGTAAGCCAAATCTATTGCACAGCGGACTTGTCTATCGGCCGGGCCAACAAGGTGGTAGCCCAAGCGGTGACAACGCTCCCAATGGAAATCACGCTCCCAATGGAAACGTAAATGGAAGAGGAGGAAGTGGCAGAGGCCAAGGACGTGGTCGAGGCAATGGCGGCAACAGAGGCTCGCTTGCTCCTCAGACTGGACCTGGACGAGATCAACCAGCCCTCTATGGCAACGTGCCGCCTCCTGCAAACCTTGAGACGTCGCGAGGCGGTCGTGGTCGTGGTCGAGGAGGAAGGGGACGTGGTGGACCTAATCCCAACCGTGGCCGTGGCGGTGCTGCCGCTCAGCAAGCATAGGAGCTTGCATCTATTGATATTCGAGCGGATGCAGAGCCGGTGGAGGTTCAAAAGCGTTGGAATACCCTATGATTGGCTTATGTACCTAGCTACGACGGCAAATGTTCATAGTGCGGCCACATGTGGCGTGTCATTGCAGGGGCAGCTGTCGATCTAGCTGTAGTAGAGTCTTGTGTCATTGTAGTATGCCAACGGATAAAAGAAAATGATTAACCCTCAAAGATCTCACTCAGCGTGCCTCATGATTGTTTCTTTTTTTTCGGTTCAGAATTAAACTTCATTCATCTTATTTGATACTATCGAAAAAACAGGCTGGCATCTCAAGGCTTCTTGCTCTTCTTGCTCTTTGTGCTGCTCTTATCCTTTGTGTCTTTGCCCTTAGTATCCTTGGACTTGAGGGCAGGAAGCGTAAAGAGGTCACTGACCCCACCGCTCATGGCATTCCACATGGCAAGCGGCTTATCCATGTCCCATGTCAAGATGCCGACCCAAGGCTGTACGTTGTAATGTAACTTTAGAGTTACGTCGGCAGTCTCGGCGATCTTGCCGCTAGGGTGGGTGATTTGGTACTTGGGCTTCTGGTTCTTGAGCTTGAGAAGTCCTCTAATATCACATATCGATTAGCCTTTGATATCAATTGCGTCTGCATAGGAGATTTTCTTCTAATTATTACCTTTCAGGCGCAATGCTCTTGCCTTCAGCGCTCCTCTTGAGCTTCTTCATAGCCACGGGGCCGATGTTCTGTAAGTGATCGGCACTGGGGTTGGTGATGATGCTATCCCAGATAACGGCAGTGTTGTTGATGCCGCCAGGGCTCGTCCAGTCTGCCGTTACATAGACAAAGAGTTGCTTGGTATTCCATGTGAAGAGTGAGGAGAGGTCAGCTTCTAGGGAGAAGCGAATGATGGCATACTCTTCCTTTTTCGAAGAGTAGTAGTGGGGTCGGCCCTTGACACTATATATTGCATTGCACGATAGCAAAATGGTTAGATGAAAAGAAAGAGCTGAGTAAAATATTTCGAGTTTGCTTTGCATACACTTGAATGTTGTCGGTTTTTATGACGCCGCTGGGTGTGCGAGCGGAGCCGAGATCTGTGGCAGCAATGAATGCGCCCAGGACGAAGGTGACGGTGGTGAAGAAGCCAAAGACATTCTGGAGTCGGGTAAAGGAGCTGTGCATGCTGGGCAATTTGTTGCTGGCGCCAGCTGAAATTTCAACAATGGAATCGATCGGTTTGTTGTCGTCAATTAATGCGGATCCAGCGCTGTAGAGAGAAGTGCAGCTGCCGCATGGATGGGCATGCGCTGGTGTTAGTATCACCAAGCTTGCAGTCGGTTTATAGCAGCTGGCCTTGGCTTAACAGGACACGTCGCTGAGGGACCGCAAATTGTCAGCCTTGCAGATGGGGTCCTGCTGTTTATTGGGCAATCGGAAGAAGGCTGCAGCTTGAGCTAGGCCCAATTGAGCGCTAGTAGCGGGACCCCTACAAGGTACTTGGCAGATCCAAGTCAACTGCGAGACGACTTGCATGGAAGGGCACAACAAACAGTAAATGCGATACCGGGCATTAGCGCATTGAAATAGCATATGATAATCCATAATTATGAAGGCCTCGAACATGCCTCTTGATCAGTATAACTCTCCGTTTTTATGTCTCTATATCATCGAGCACAAGTGGTGCCTTGATAGGCAGTCTACTACCTACTCTCGCTTACACGTATTGACGTACTGTCTGTACCGTTTGGTCTAGCAGTAAAAGGGCAGCTATCGACCCTGCTTAGCCCACCCTCTTTTTCCCTGCTTCCCACCGAGTGATACTTCGGCCCAGGCGGAGGGTTGCTCTGCATGGCATGTAACGCGATTGCACCTGTTCCTGTTCTGTATTAGCAAGCAGAGCTGTATGTCCCATCCGTCGCTCTGAGGTAGCCCTTGTCGTCTCTCTCCGGCGGCGATCGGTGCAATTGCTTCTTACATACCGCCCTCGCCTCCCCGCTTCCCTCGTCTCCCTTCCACCGAGTCAGGATACCGAGAGCCCTCTCTGTGGGCTGGTATTATTAGGCTTCGAACGCATCCGGCTCGAGTCGCTCCAATGCGATAGACGCCCAGCGCCCTGTTGCTTACATCAATAGCACCCTCAGAGCGCCTGCGTGAACAATGCGACGACCACAACAGTCGACGACGCCATGTCTCGCCGCGACGACGACATATCGCCCAGCGTGACCCCAAGCGGCCTAGGCGGTACTGCAGATCCAGAGGCAAGTTAAAGAGAGAGCGTGCAATAATACTGTTTCCCAGCAACAGCTCCTCATAAAGTGCGCGACCGCTTCATCCATCCCAATGGCTGCCTTGACGCCATCGCCTTGATTGTCGCCTGGAGATTACCTACCTCTAGGTAGTCTGCATGCCCTGTGGAGGCCCGAACGAGGCGCGCGTGGGCCCGAACGCGCTGTGACGCAGCGGCCTTTAGCCACTAAACTGCGCCAGCTCACCACGCCTCGTTGGCGCCATGGGCCGCTGTGCCCGCTATGAACTTTTGCTTTGCGTTGGCCACGGGCCAAGTTTCCCTTATCGAGCGCCTCCACTAATGATACCTGGAATACCCAGACCCGACCTCCAACATCATCATCGCCAAACGTCCGTGAACATGTGCAACAAGAGCCTGTAGCTCTCGGGGCCTCAAAGTAAGCCCGCCGCCTCTCCCTTTTGCGCTTCTGCACGATACGATCCCCCAGGCATTTGCTGAGCCGGACTAGGCTACCCAAATCGGCGCCGCGCATCGCTAGTCGAAGCCCTATCGAGGCTGCTGAAGAAAAATTCCCTGTCGGTCACGCGGAAACGGACAGCGATCCGAAGCCATCTCGAGAAAGCAGCAAGGCGACAAAAACCCGATGGGAGTATGTCGTCACTCTTATAATTCTATGCTGCCGCATCTCGTTCAAGCTGGGACCCAGCGCTGACCTGCAAAAGCCCATTTGCTCGCTATCACTCCAATGCGCACTCGTTCCCGGATTATGTGTAAGATTCGATGCTCATCCGGCAATCTCTTTTTTTTTTTTTTTTTGAACCTCGCCCAGTTACTAATCTAGTCTAGGGAACCAAAACGCAGCACTACCATGGTTCCAGAACGGCTGGTGAGTGATGCTACCAGTTGATCACGCTGGTCGGACTACTGACAAACGTGCGAATAGAAACAAATCAATAGAGCGACCAGGCCAGTCGATACGCTCAGCGGGAGACGACACGACTCTCTCAACGATGCAGATGCCCCAGCAAGCAAACGCCAGAAGAAGGATATCGTCCGAACGCACGACACGACAGCGAGCCCATATTTCCCCAGACCTAAGCCATCGAAGAGTAGCGATATTCAAGAAACACACGTGGAGGGCTTGCACGACGATATATATGACATTAGAAGTACTTCAAGCGCAGGAAACACAAGCCTAGGCGCTTTAGGAGGCTTGGACGAATATCGCCACTTACCGCCTATCAGAGGAAAGAATAAAGGGAGGCCCCGAAGGCGAAGCCAGATTTTATCGAACTCGGTTCACCAAACGCAGAGCGATACTGTTGGCACCAAACTCGACGGGTACCAAGCTCTCGATCCTCAATCTCCGAACCGAAATCGATTACCTACGGATATAGACAGCCCGGATGTCCTTGCATCCGAACAACGACCATCTACGGTAACAAATGCAGGCTTTGTCACCTCTCGATTCTTCAAAAGAGATCGGCCGTATCACCTTGCAGACAACAGTCGCCCCCAGATTAAGCGCCAAAAGCCTTCGACAGTCAAAGAGTCTATTGACGTCTCGGAAGACGAACTCCAGGCCGATTTTGCAAAGTACACGGAATCGAATGACAGCAAAAACACGGCATCAAGAACTCCCGCTCATTTGAGCCACCAGAAAAAATCTACAATGCGAGGAGATATCCACCCTACGGTTTTCAAGACTTCATCGCAACGACAGGCACGATCTGACGACATAGCCATAATCAGAGCGGTTTGTGGGAAACATGTCTACGAGCGCGGTGACAATACCGATATAGTGTTTTTGCGCCGAGAAGACAAGGATGGCAGAAGGCTTGAAGCCATATTTGAGAATGGCAGCGTCGCAAAAGAGCATTCTTGGCTAGGCATCGATCTGGATCAAGTTTCTTTTTTCGGATATTCTGAACCGTCAAGCCGCTATGGGTATATAATGCGTTCGAACAAGAAGGATGCCGGTCCGAAGCTTTATCTGGAATTCGAAAGTATTAACAAAACTAAGAATTTCTGTGAACTTTTGAGATCTGTAAAAGTTGACCGGAGGCACATGTATGTATTAGATGCTTTAATGAGGCGATCAAGAGGCTAACATATATCTCCAGCGAAGATCTAGAAAAGAAGGCTGAGAAGGCCTTTGATGAAACGAAGACTTGGATATCTTCTAACACAACCTCTTCTAACACAGCATCTTCTAACATAGCCTCTAACGAGGACTGTAAGAAAATAAGCCAGCTCTTTTCTACAGACGAGAACGAAAAGGTTATCATACCAAGATCTTCTAGTCTGGATCGACGTCCATCATCAGGTGGAAGACTAAAGGATATCCTATTACAGTCAGCTCAAGATGCAGAGACTTCTAAACCTCTCCGTCGACTAGAAGAAAATGTCGGTCTCGACCAACGACGATCCACGAGATCATCTGCTCCGGCTACGCGCCCCCGTCTGCCATCTCCTGATGCTTGGTCAAAATCACATCCGAACTGGGAAAAATCATGGCTAGCGCCGCTGATATTCCCTGAAACCGGCAAAAACAGAGCGACGGTGGATAAAATTGACATTCCGAGGTTGAACGAGAGTGAATTTCTAAACGACAATCTCATCAACTTTCATATTCGCCACCTTCAATTTAGACTGGAGAAAGAAAGGCCCGAATTACTACACAAAGTCTACTTCTTTAGTACCTTCTTCTTCGAGAAGCTGAAGTCTACAAAAGGCAAGATAAACTACGACGGTGTCAAAGCTTGGACAGCCAGAGTAGATTTGCTCTCTTATGATTACATCTTCGTGCCTGTCAATGAGCATACTCACTGGTATCTGGCCATAATTTGCAATCTTCCTAACGCAGTTCGGGCCCCTTCTCCTGAAGAAAAAGACCCAAAATCTTCGGATGGCTCAGTCGATAATGCGATGGAAATGATAGATGCGTCCGAGTCTCCAAGATTGGCAACAGTCGAAAGAGATTTGACTGATATCTCATTAGAAGACGTGGAGGCAGCGGCACAAAAAGACGCTGATGGCTTCGTTCCACCTCATCGTACAGCCACACCTTCCACACCGTCCTCACCCCCTAGAAAGCGGAAATTTGCAGGGTCTACCCCGTCTAAATTCGACCCTACGCAACCCAGAATTATCACTCTTGATTCTCTTGGAAGCCCGCACGCTCCAACAATCAAGGCGTTGAAAGAATATCTCGTTGAGGAAGCGAAGGCGAAGAAGGGCATTACCTTGCAAACTATTCCCACCGGCATGACAGCCAGGGGTATTCCAGAACAGAACAACTTTTGCGATTGCGGAGTTTTTGTGCTAGGATATATGGAAGAGTTCTTGATAAACCCTGACGAGGCAGCTCGCAAGCTCTTCTCAAAAGAAGAGCTCGGCTGGAACATTCGTCCATCTGACCTGCGAAATCAGATGAGAGAGCTGCTATTCAAACTTCAAGATGAACAGCACAAACGACACCTGCAGCAGCGAGAGGAGAAGAAGCTCCTCAAAGCGAAGAGAAAGGCAATGGCCGAATCCAGCTCGCAAATTTCCTCGCCGCCTAAGCCGGTAGCATCTCCTTCTCCACCACTGAAATTGCCCGGTTCTTTCCCCAGCGAGTCGCCGGAGAGGAAACCAATGTCAGGGACTGAGCCCTCTTCATCAAAATCTATACAAGAGGCTGATACCTTAAAAGACAGTAACTTGAACGGCGAGACGTTGCATGAAGATGAGCAGAGGTTCAAAGCGCTCTCAGAGCCCCAGTTTATCAGCTGCTTATCAGATGCGTCAGGCGCCAGCCCTACCATCACGAAGGGCAAAATTCCTCCTATCGCTTCCTCCAAAGCGCCCGAAGAGCCACAACTCATTGGCTGCTTATCAGAGGGGGAAAGTGTCACCTCCAATATCCCAAACCCAAAGGGCAAAATCCCCCCCAGCGATTCTTCTTTAGCCTCCAAACGCAATGGTTACTACGGTAAACTGGTCGTGGAGTTGAAAGCCGTCAACAAGAGCGATAAAAGCCAGTTTGAAGAATCTATTCTGGACGATGATGAAGATGACTCAGTCCAATTTATAATGCAGCAATCGAGCGCTTCATCTGAGAATAACGAGGCCACGTCAAAACCAAAAGAGACGAGTCGCAACCGACAGTCATCTGTGGAGCTGGTTGGAGAGACAAGGAGTCGATCAACGTCGTCCCATAGGCATGACCAACAGACTAAACCCTTCACCAGCACTTTAGCACGGTTAAAAGCGCGAAAAGACGTCAAATCTAATGATACCCGAAGAGGGCCAAGATACGAGGGCATTGACAGGTCGGCGGCAATATCCTAGTACATACGTCTAAATCGTCTTTCTCTTTTTCCCTTTTGAGTTGTTTTCAGTAATCCAGAATTTCATTGCGAGAAGTACATGCATCGCGAACGAAGCGGAGTTATAGGCAAGCTTTTTTGCCTGCTTTGTTTGTTGGTTTGTTTTTTTTTTTTTTCCTTTGGTCCGTACCAAACGCACGTTGTGGTTTTAGGGAGAAATACAGTCGGGCATAGCAAATGGCGTCGCATTCTGTTTTTTTTACGGTTTTGTAGGGATGCAACTTTTCCCGAATTTCAAGGGGGATTTCGGTTCGTTGATTTATTCAACATCTCTCGCGTGGCTTGATAGATGGTGGATTTAGTAGATACAATACATGGCCGGTACTATCATGTTATGCTAGTGATATACTTATAAACGAAATGAAGATAGTTGACTTTGTAAATATGACCCACGATATTCACCAGTGTGTATGCATGCATATTATGTGCTCTTCAAGATGTGTATTATATACAAGAACCAATGCTGTGTACAAACGATCCGACTTTGCTATTATATGTAAACCTCTAGACTGTTGCCCATGCTTCTTTTCACTTTTTTAATCATCGCCTCCTTCGTTTTCTTCTCCTTCTCCTTCTGATGAATCATGTACGCCATTGGTTGATGCTCTTGGGGTTTTGGGAATTTCAAATACCACGCCACCGTTTCTTACTCCTTTTACTTTGCTCACGCTCCATCTGCCCAGGCGGTGGTCTTTAGCCACGGCGGCGACGATACAGACGCCTTCTTCGCCGCGGTCGCCACGCTCGAAGATGGCGATGTCGTTGATGACACCTTCTATGGGTCGGTAGTGAGGCTTGTCTTCGCTGTCGTCCGATGCGCCGTTGGTCTGTTCATCTGAAGAGCCGCCGAGGGTGGCGACGAGATCAATCTTCTTCTTGTCTTCGGACAGCTGCCATATCCGCACGTGGCCATCCCAGCTGCCGCTGATGATGACGTCGGAATAGGGGATGACTTTCAGGGCTGTGATCCAGCGAGGGGTGGGCGCGGGAACGACCTTGCGATCTGGGTTCACTTCAGCCGAGGCCGCTTCTGGCTCCAGCGGCGGGTCGAGGCCGTGGGCGAGGGGCTGGATGTAGACGGGCTTCTTCTTCGTCACGTTCCAGAGGGAGAGACTGCCGTTGTCGCTGCCGGTGACGAAGAGCTCGTCGTCGATCATGGCGATGCGGTCCATGCTGCCCTCGTGGAGGAGCGATCGCGGATTGATACCGGGCTGGGGCTTTTTGTCTACCGCGCCGCCACGGAAGACGAGCTGGGTTTCTTCTGCGACCTTCCATAGGCGGGCGGTTTTGTCGCGGGCACCGACACTGACGCATCGCTCCTGAGCGAGAGCGTCGATGTCGATGACCTCGTCTTGGTGACCGAACAAGGTCTCGATGTAGGCCAGCTCGTCCAAGCTCCAGACCTTGACTGTTCGGTCCTTGGAGCAGGAGTAGAGCTGGTTCGTGCCTCTCCGGAAGGCAAGTCCCGTTACAGCGTCACGGTGGTGTGTAAAGACTTTGATCGGTTTCAGGGTCTCAGCATCGTGGACGATAATCTTCTTATCCTGGCCTCCGGTGACGACGTATTTGCCATCAGAAGAAGCGGCAACCGCCAAGATATTCTTCGTGTGTCTCTTGTAATCCCTGTCTTCTTTCTTGTGCGCATTTCCCTTGATCCACAGCTCCAGCTCCGGTCGCTTTTTAGGTGGCGCCGGGGGCTTCTTCGGTTTCCGTTTTGTCGTCTGCGGGTACTGGTGCTGAGGGAGGTCTTGTATCCTCCACTTGTGGAGGTAGAGGTCTTTGGTGGTGGTGTAGACGTATGGTGCGCAGGCGGCAATGGATGTGACAGAGTTTGTGTTTGATCTGAAAAACGTCTGGCTGGCCTTGTCAAAGGCCAATTCGGCAGCCAATTCGCGGTAGACTTTTCCTTTTGATTCAGCCACATCTTCCTGCAGCCTCTCGGCGATCAGGTCTCGGTCAATCTCTGCGGCGTCGAATCCAATCTCATCCACGTGCTCCTTGACATTGTCGAGGTAGCGCTCGGCCAGTCGCAGTCGCTGCTCGGCGGCGGTCTCGCCTCCAATGTCAGAGTCGCTGTCGCCTTCGTCGTTGCTCGCGACAGAGGCGCCATTGTAGCTTTCTTCATCTTCAGAGTCGCTGCCGGAAATCGACTCGTCGTCACGCTCGACTCGCTTCTTACTCGGGGCGGCCTGCTGCTGCTTCGCAGACGGCTTCGCAGATTTCGCAGAGGTTTTGGCAGAGGATTTTGAGGCGGCAAATTTCTTCTTGGGCGCTTCCGGTGCCGAAGGTCGCTTCCTCTTTCCAGGAACTGTGAAAAACGACGACATTGTGGCTTCAATCCTCCTCGCCAATTGCCATGTACTATCCCACTATGTGCAGTCGACTTTCTCGCATTTACATCCGTACTAAGGAAAAAAAAAAGTTCGAGATAGGCGACCCACCGAACTTTTTCGACCCCACTATGCGGCACTGCAGCGAATCACGGCGCAGATCCGGGTTATAGTGCTTCCGGCCCAGGGCGGTCAGGCCTGGCGTGGGCAAAACGGCAGGTGGGCGGTTCGTTGACGCGCAGCGCTACAGCCTAGCGGGATGAGGTAGCTGTGGTGGGTTGAGAGGACGTCTCTACAGCTCTCGAGCAGCAACATACCAATCATACCCGCAACACACAATCACCATGTGAGTGCATGCGGATGCGCCTCTTCTACTCCTTGTACCGTTGCTTCGTAAAGCTAATGCCACTGGCTCCAGGGAGGTTCTTCTGGGAATTACAGGAAAGGACTTTACTCTCATCGGCGCTTCCAAAGCTGTCATGAGAGGAGCCACCATCCTCAAGGCATCCGACGACAAGACAAGAGTGCTGAACAAGCACACCCTACTGGCATTCTCCGGAGAAGCTGGTGATACAGGTTAGGCCCTTGGCGTTTGAAACACTGCTCAGAGCTCAGGATTTTGACGACGGTGCAGTACAATTTGCCGAATACATCCAACGAAATGCCCAACTCTACTCGATGCGCAACGAGACCGAGCTGTCACCCTCTGGTCTAGCACACTTCGTCCGAGGCGAACTTGCCACCAGTCTCCGATCCCGAAACCCATACAACGTAAACCTATTGATGGGAGGCGTTGATCCCATCACCGGAAAGCCCTCCCTATACTGGCTAGACTACCTAGCGGCGCTGGCGGAGGTACCTTATGCAGCCCACGGCTATGCCCAGTACGTGAACCTTGGAACTCCGAATTTTCTCTGAAAATATATTAGCATGATGGGAAACTCTCTCCCTTTCTTACATGTTTGCTGACAAAGTGGCTACTCTGCATAGATACTACTGCTTGTCGCTCTTAGATAAGCATCACCACCCAGATATCACACTCGGACAGGGAATCAAGCTCATGACGATGTGCATAGACGAGCTGAAACGCCGGTTACCGATTGACTTCAAGGGAATGACAGTCAAGGCCATCAAGGCGGACGGAATTGTCGATATAGAGTTTGATGATGACCGCATTGTGAAAAGCGCATAAGTCAAGAGCGGGTTGCTAGAGAAAGGACTGGTGTATATGGCTAGGTAGACTGGCCTAAGCTTGGTAATTAATATACAGCTGCCGTTTCTTTCCGGTGCAGTGTTCAGCAAGTTTCGATGAGCGACTAGGCAGTGCTTTGGGAGTATCAAGCGATGGAGGCTACGGAACTGAGAGGAGGGAGATGACTATCCAATAAAGGGCTTTTCGGCTTACGAATATGCCTCATTGATGTTGCTATTCCACCGAGTTAAAGTATGCCTTACCGTTTGTAGCAATTTAGCTTTCTAACCGCGCCCGAGCACTTCCATGGATTGCCTGCCCTGCGGCGAGTAGCAGCGTATCTACGTAAACGGTTATACGTAAACGGCTAGATATCTACCCATGTTTCTATAGCATATGCTTATGGCTTTCTGTATGATGAAATCATTGGCCGGGGATCTGCCTTGCTGTAGTGGATTAGAGGATTCGACAGGCCAGCTTGGAAAAGGCAAATGTCTCTTTTTTGGAATTTTTATGTCCGGCTCTGTCTGGAGTACTTTACACCAACAAACAGCCATATAGGTAGCAGTACCTGATACTCTGTAGATGGGTAATAAGGTAGGTACTTATCTGGCAAGCACATAATTACATATAACATGAATTGTCAAATACAGGCAGGTGATCGTAACTCATGGTGTTGAATTGTAGATACTACCTGGCCAGGACCCCTGGTCAAACTTTGAATCCTCCGTCGTTGAGAGTAGAGAGCACGTGTGAATGTCAGGAGAACCTCAGGCATCTTCCAATGTGCGCAAGGAATTTTCCAATCTACGTAAAGTCGTTGCCGAGCAAATCCACCTAATGCCCGGAAGTGCTATTAAGATTCTGTCAAAAACCTTACGGAGCCAAATTGCCATGAATTACATCACAGGAGCCGGCCGAGATCTGGAATATCGGGGGTAAGACGGGGTGGTTAGGCTTAAGGTAATACTCCGGACGGAGTAAGCGAGGAGAAAAAACACCCCCACTTTGAACAGAGCCCAGGCCTTGGAATCGGCGGGGAGTCAGATATTGCAGGCACAGTGGCACCTTGCTGCTGCAATGCCACTTGTTTGTACCCCGCCAAAGCACGAGATGGAGAAGGCAGAAGCCACCAAGGTGTCGCTATGTATACATGTACTCTATGTAATACTACTATAGCAGTAACGCTGCTTCGTTTTATAATAAAATGGCTCCAGAAAGTCTGAATGGTTAAACGGACTGACAAATTCCTTTTTGCGGCTACGCGCCTCTCTCTGCACTCATCCACGGGTGCGTCATGTCCCACTCCTGCAGGAGGGCGAGGCGGTATTCGCACCAGCTGTGCAGCAGCATCTATCGGTGTAGGGCCCTGACAAGGTCGCATCCCAGGCAGTCCTAGGCAAGAGTCGATTGCTGGGGCTTAGTGCTGGCACTTGACGTGTTTCGCCAATAGTGCCTGGACAGCACATGTCAGGCATCATGATAAGGGTTGTAACGCCACAGGGTCCCAAAACCATCAACCAATTTTGCGTGGGATTAGTAGTAGTACCTACAGTGGCAGTAGGTAGGCGGTACGAGTGATTTAGGACCTCACAAAGAGCACTGTATCTTCGAATTTTCGCAGTCTCAGCGAGAAACCCCCGCGGGCCGCTCGCCGAATGGGCTGCCAGCCTCGCTGACTCCGAAACGCTATTCACCCCGTAGTGGCGATTTGGATAGAAGCGCTGAGAATCTCTCAGCTGTCAGTCAGTAGGGAGAAGAAAAGAATCGGTCTGCTCAGCAAACGTCACAAGCCACAACGCCACGGAAAACGCAGCAAGGGAGGGCCAAGGTCTCCATCAGGTACCCTCTCAGTGCCCAAGTGCGCGACGAACGGCCCAGCTGTGCGCATCCACGTGAGGCGTCTACTTGGAGGGTACACGCTTCGTGGCTTCCATCCTAAGAAATCTCTGACCCCCTCGGGCACTAGCCTTTTTCTGTCCGGCTTGGGACCAATTTTTTTCTCGCCTTCGCCTCGAGGCTCGCCGTCCCTTTTTATTCTCTTCTTTCCCACAAACTCAACCCTCTTGACACACAACCTCTCTCATCTCCATCCCCCTCTCTTTTTTTCCTCATCCTTGCATCTCATCAGGCATTTTCGTCTTTCCTTGGTCTTTCCTTTGAAGATTCTGCGTGTTCTTCGACGGAAAGCGAAAGCACAAGTTGTTGAACGCGTGCCCAATTTTAATACGAGTCGGAGAAAAGAAAAAAATCGCTTGGGAACTCAAGTTCTTCCCGTTTCTTTCTCTTCGTGTTTGCTGTCTATCTTTTGCGGACAGGCTTCGCTACTTTCACTCTCATTTATTCCAGAGGGTGATTTACTTTTGATCGACCGAGTTCGATCATTTCCCTCGCGCCTCAAAAGCTCATTTTTTCCCCTACGATTCAAGTCGCTCTTCATCGGAAACTTGACGACTTTTCATCATGGCGGACCAACTCAACATGAACGGCCTCAACCTTGGTGCTGACGGCCCTCAGTCTGCTCCCGGGGCTCGATCCTACATTCCGCCTCACATGCGAAGCCGCGGTGGCGGCGGTGGTGGTGGTGGCGGCGGTGGCAACGCTGCTGCTGCTGCTGCTGCTGGCCTGAACAACAGCGCCTGGGCTGGGTAAGTACACAACACACCAACATTACTACAATCGCAAGATCACGACTGACATTTTCTAAACAGCAACGGTGGCCAACAAGGCGGCTATAGTGGCGGTCGCCAGGGCGGCAACTTCGGTGATGCGGGAGCACCCAACTTTCAGAACAACCGTCGCGGTGGTGGTGGTGGCAGCTGGGGCGGTCGCGGAGGCTACTCTGGCGGTGGTAGCGGAGGTGGTTATGAAGGCGGCCATGGCGGTGGTGGCCACGCTGCTCGCGGTTCTGGAGATGGACAATGGCGGGACGGAAAGCACATTCCCGGCCCCCAAAACCCCCGTGTCGAGCGTGAGCTTTTTGGTACTGCCGACGATCCTTCCAAGCAGCACACTGGTATCAACTTCGAGAAGTACGACGATATCCCTGTCGAAGCTTCTGGTCGTGACGTCCCCGAGCCCGTCCACCAGTTCACCACTCCTCCTCTGGATGAGCACCTCTGCCGCAACATCGAGATGGCCCGCTACAAGGTCCCCACCCCCGTTCAGAAATACTCCATCCCCATCGTCATGGGTGGTCGTGATCTCATGGCTTGTGCCCAGACTGGTTCCGGCAAGACTGGTGGTTTCCTCTTCCCCATCCTGTCTCAGGCTTTCATCCACGGCCCTTCCGCTGTCCCCGCCAACGCTGCTGGACAGTTTGGCCGTCAGCGCAAGGCCTACCCCACCTCCCTTATTCTTGCCCCCACTCGAGAACTGGTTTCTCAGATTTACGAAGAGTCTCGCAAGTTCGCCTACCGATCTTGGGTCCGCCCTTGCGTGGTCTACGGTGGTGCCGATATTGGCTCTCAGCTTCGCCAGATTGAGCGCGGATGTGATCTTCTTGTCGCCACCCCCGGCCGTCTGGTAGATCTCATTGAGCGAGGCCGCATCTCCCTGTGCAACATTAAGTATCTTGTGCTCGATGAGGCCGATCGTATGCTGGACATGGGTTTCGAGCCCCAGATTCGCCGTATTGTCGAGGGCGAGGATATGCCCAATGTCAACGACCGCCAGACCCTCATGTTCTCAGCCACCTTCCCCCGCGACATCCAGATGCTTGCCAGGGATTTCCTCAAGGACTACGTCTTCTTGTCCGTCGGCCGTGTTGGTTCCACCTCTGAGAACATCACCCAAAAGGTCGAATTTGTCGAGGACATCGACAAACGCTCTGTTCTACTCGACATTCTTCACACCCACGCTGGTGGCTTGACCCTCATCTTCGTCGAGACCAAGCGCATGGCCGACTCCCTTTCCGATTTCCTCATCAACCAGAGCTTCCCCGCTACTTCCATCCACGGAGACCGAACCCAGCGTGAGCGTGAACGCGCTCTTGAGTTCTTCCGTAACGGACGATGCCCCATCCTGGTTGCTACTGCCGTCGCGGCCCGTGGTCTCGATATCCCCAACGTCACTCACGTTGTCAACTACGATCTACCCACTGATGTGGACGACTACGTTCACCGAATTGGTCGTACCGGTCGTGCCGGAAACACTGGTATCGCTACCGCCTTTTTCAACCGTGGCAACCGTGGTATTGTCCGCGAGCTCATCGACCTTCTTAAGGAGGCCAACCAGGAGGTTCCCCCCTTCCTTGAGGCTATTGCCCGTGAGTCTTCCTTTGGCGGTGGTGGCCGCGGTGGTCGCTCTCGCCCTGGCGGTGCTGGTCGTGGTAACGCCAACCGTGACTTCCGTAAGTTTGGCGGCGGTGGCTTTGGCGGCTCTGGCGGTGGTTTCAGCAACAGCCCTCAGGGAGGCTTCAGCAACTACGGCGGCGCTCAGGGAGGCTCCAACTACAGCGGCGGCGGCGGTGGTGGTGGCGGCGGCGGCTTCAGCGGTGGCTACGGTGGTGGTGGCGGCAGCTACGGCAACCCTGGCGGTGCTGGAGCTCAGTCTTCCTGGTGGTAAACGTTATCACTGGCATCTGCCTAGAATGGGCACATCATTGTGCCCGTCAACGTGGCTCCTACTCTAGCGCCACTTGATTTTTCACTTTTTTTCCTTTGTCATCCCTATTTTCCTTTCACTTCTTCTGCTTTTATTGAATCGGTTATTTTCATATTTACGCATTTACGTCATTTGTTTTCAACGACACGGCGGCATCATGACCTGCGAAGACGGAAGAATGCCTTTTTTTTCTTTTTTTTTTAATTTACTGGAAAAAAAAAGGCAGCATCGGTCAGGGGCATTTCACGACGCATGTGATAGATTGCATTTCTTTTTGATTTCAGCATCCTCCCTCACTTGATACCCTTAGACCGAGAATAGAGGAACTTTAACGACATTGGCAGAACGTGGTGTTGAGGGATCTACAATTGCTAGATCTAGAAGGACATCACAAT